TATGTCTTTCATGGCTGGACATACAATGATCTTCGATGTCTTATTGAAAATCAAGACACAAGACGTTCCCCTCTGAAAATGCCGAACTAGAATAGCATCTCCCTCCTTGTACCCACTGAGCACTCCGTCATATGCAACAGCTTTGATGAACGCACTGTTGTCAGCTAAGCCTACTTCTACACTATGTGGAGTGGGCTTAAGCTTGGCGATTACAGCTCTGATCGCCTTCGGATACGGCACCTTCTTTCCCCCACACCGCCTAACTGTTTCCAGGCTATCCATCTCCTATTAATATGCAATAACAAAAGTAAAAAGAAACAATTAATAAAACCAAACAACATCAATGCCATATTACCAACTGCCCCAAATTCGCGCTGCCCAATATTCGCGCAACTTTCTCGTCTCGTATCTTTTTTCACACAACAAATGTCAAATCACCGTCGTTGATCCATCGTCACAACGCCTTTCTTCTCAATGTAGTTATGTGGAAATCAAAAGCTTTTCCGAGAAGTGTTTGAAAGAAACCAAAGAGATTGTAAATTATTGCCGTACTCACTAGATACAAAACGTAACATTATTGAATGGCCCAGAAAACTAATAAAAACATCGCTACGAATTTCCCATCAGTGTCGACGTTCAACCCCGAAACGTGAAAGACAACTTCGGTCGACTTTCACTTAACAACAGAGGGCATAATCAGAATTACGGAGCACGAAATACGACGTGCACCTTATATCGCGTTTTTATTTTACGATCTGTTTTGCAGAGATGCAGATTTCGGTACCGAGTTGTTTGTTGGAATGAATATGCCTTAAAATATATTTTTGTCGGAATAAGACCAAATCGTAATGTTTAAAGTACCCAAAAAGTAGGCCAATAGCCTACCTGTTTTTTTGTTTTTATTGTAATGATGTGTATCATGCAACCATGTGTCGAGGCGGCGCGATCGGATCAGCCACGGTATGGTCGACCACGTGCAGGCGCGCGCGCCTGTACAATTGATTGATAAATTGCAGATGTATTAGAATGAGCAATAAATGCCGGAGAACATTGTTACAGAAGGGTGTTTTTGTTATGTTTTTGATGGATGAGTCATTTCAAATATATTTGTCCATGTACTTAAATGATATAGCCACGGCATACTTAAGTTACATTGCAAATGTTTCTATCATTTAATTCGGGAGAATCTGCATAAAAATGTAGGTAAATATTTTTCTCGTGTGCCGTTAAATCACATGACCCTTGCTTCCAGTCGAAACCGGACGAAACCGGAAGTGGCTTATTATTTAAACATGGTAATAGATATGAACTTGCTTTTAACGGTGTTAGTCTCTGGCCAGATCCTTAAAAACTTGTACAGGTGACGTCATTAAATTCTCGAGCGCCCTCTAGCGGCAAGTTTAAAAATTTCCAAAATGCATTTGGAATAGATGTTTGTGCCGAAGTTTGTTGTAATCGCATGACAACTGGTGTATATGATGACCTTATGCAAGCAACACATGTGTAGTTTGAAACCGATCACGTCATTAGACCGGAAGTTACAACGAAAAAAACCTTTTAAAGTTAATAAGCGAAAAAGCCCTATGCTCTGTTGCAAACAGATATAATACCTCTAGTTGTTATTCTGCTGCAAAGGAAAAGAAAGAAAACCAACCCGTGTTATATGTGCAGATGTTCCGGAATGGTGGATGGTAGAACTAAATGATCATTTTTGTTTGGGGCCACTTGTAGATTATTTTCTCAAAGATTCTCTGTTTCCATCTTCTGTCGGTTGCTTCTTCTTCAGCTTAGTCTGCATCACTTTAATTATTGCTTTAGCCTCTGGTGACAGCTTATACTTTTAGAAGAGCTCAAGCTGCTTTGCTGTGTATATCAGCTGCATGTTGGGGGGCAGGAATGCTCAATAAAAAAGCTGGTAGGCATCAAACAGTCTGAGTGTTCCAAGTGCTATGTCATAACAAGACAACCATCTACAAAAAAAGTGATTAAAAAAAGAAAACATTAATCATCAATGGGTTTCAAGGTAAATTACAAATAGGCATGCATACAAAAATAGTCATCCCAAATTCTCAGTAACTTTTCAACAATCCCTTTACCTGTGGCTTATTAATCTTTCTGGCATGGTGAAACTGATATTCATCATTGAACAAAGCTCTGCTAAAACATCTCTCATGTCTTTTGACCACCGCAATGTACTTGTACTTTTTCGTGGCATTGTGAACGTGGTGGCAGATGTCACCGTCAATATCCAACATCCAAGGGGCTTTTTGTCCCTAATTTGCTTCTCCAACCCTACAATAAAAAACATTTTAACAAAACTTTGAATCTTTGTGTATTGAGAATTAACAAATGACAAGGAAGGATAACTTTTATTATTGTTAAGTAATACAGCCACAGTAGTCAAACAAAACATGTGGTTCTTACCCGACTTTGAACCTCTCATCACAGAACATGATGAGTCCATCACAAAGACACAAGATTACTCCAGGGTATGTCATGCTTCTCAAACAGTGCCACCAAGGTATTGTACAGAGACTCAGAAGTGACAGTTATCATTCCAATTGATGTCAGTTGCTCAATCATCACTACTTTGTTGTCATCATCTGAGTAGTAGCTCACAAGGACTGCTAGAACTTTCTTGTTATTGCTACTTGTAGCTTCTTCTATGTTTTATGAGAATGGCATCTTCCTGATGTTTTCTAAAGTACCTCCAAGGACAGTCTTCTTCAAACCACACTGCATTTTATAGGATGTAGTGGTCCTGTCCATTGAGAGTTCATTTAGAACTTGCTTGTCCTTTGCGAGTTCTTTAGCCACATCGATAAGAACAGGTGCCATGGTGAAAGGTAGCGAATGTTCAGCATTCAAAACACCCAAAACTGTAGCCTGAAATTATAAGAATAAACAATAGTACACATCCTCCATTATGTTCCAAATCTTTCATTCTAAGGCATTTTATAAGCACATTTGTAATGTACTTTTTGAATTAATTTTAATTACTTTTTACATTCTTTACCGTTTAAAACGTGAAGGAAAAATCTATTATATTCACCTGTGCCTTGGATTTCCTTTCCACAACAGTTACAATTGGTTTTGGGCTCTGCTGCTTTGGTCTTGATATGTGAATTCTTGAAGAACGGATGTAGCCCATATGGGGATATACCACTAGTTGATTGACCTAATGAAAAACTAATATAATAACACGCAATTATTTATCTTAACCACTGGCAAACAGGGAAAACTGGCAAACACGGGCATGAATTGTAGACTCGGCCAAATACCTAGGAGTGCATATAGACTCGAAGCTAAACTTCAACATACACATAGATACAGTCACCAAGAAGGCAAATTCTAGCCGTGCCTTCTTGAGCCGCAACTTCAGTCATTGCAGCCGCAGGATCAAGGAAAGTAGCTACACCATGTTTGTCAGACCAATAGTAGAATATGCATCAACATCATGGAACCCCCACACTCAACGTAACATAAAAACTGGAACAAGTTCAGCGTAGCTCAGCAAGATTTGTGACAGGCGACTACGACTGGTCAAGCAATGCTACTGACATGATCAAAGATCTCCATTGGCGTTCCCTAGCTGATAGACGGTACTTAGCTGGGCTGGAAATGATGTACCGCATTCGGTTTGACTTGATCGACATCAGATGGTCCCAAATGAGATGTCTTAGGTTTAGTGACATGAAGGATTAGTGGCATTTCTGGAAGAGGTTCTAATTCAGCAGCATTTCAAAAGGATTGGATGTAAGGCCTATAGAGTGGTAGGGCCTATCACATCCTGAGGATCAATTGTAGTTGTCAATGGGTGGACAGATGATGGACTGGTACCAGTGTTGTCTTCTTAGCTTGAGTAGCAGGTCACCCTCCACAGGCCTGTTGTGGCGTCTTTCACTGGTGCATCCATCCATTTACCTTTGCTAGTTCCTGTAGGGTGCCATCACGTGCATGGCACAGAATAAAGTAGGAACAACAGGTGCTGTGAATTCCCTAGTTGCTTCCCTGAGGTTCCACCTCCTGTAAAGAGGCCTGCAATTATAGATGATACTACCCTTTTGTCACGGTCAATTTCATGGCAGATGTATTTTTGGCACCTGTGGTTGTCTTTCTGTGCCATGAAGATTTTTTGGCAGAAGACACTTGCATCCCCATGGACTGCAGGAAATGCTTGTCCTCAGCATCGTCAACTGCCAGAACTGGTTTTTTCCCTTCTAGCAAGTGGCTCTTCTCACCTACAAAATACAACCCAAACAACAGTCAATAATAAATTGGCATGCATATACATGCATACATTTCATTACAATCTACTTCCTTTTTATGTTTTTACGTCCAAAGTAAGTTCGCAGACTCTGATTTGAGGCATGCCATCGCATGCCTAAAAGCTTCCCAAGAAGTACTAATAATCACCAGCCTACAGCTATATCCTTCTGTACTGAATGCCTCATCAGCACCCTGATTTAGCCAGGCTTATATTGTTAGTTGCTACTATTCTTTTGGATATAAACACTAAATTTAAATTCTATGAACTATCCTGGACCTTGCCAAGTATTTTGGCCGCTACGCACTTGTTGCTTCGAGTAAGCATCAGTCCAAATGTCAGTGTGCAGCATCTTCAATTGAAAGCGTCGGATCAGACATGTGAACAATACACACAAACTGATGTTTAACCACAACAATTTCCATAATGAAAAAAAAACATTGGCTGATAAATTCCCCCCCCCCCCAAAAAAAGAATTTTGGTAATTGACAATTTGGACAAATTATGTTCGGAAGGTGGTATTGCATAATTGTTCTTCCAATAAGCAATCAAATAAATTTTGTGGGGTCTCATTATACTGTCTTCAAAAAAGGGTCAGTCGGGTGACCCGAACCAAAGGTTTATTGTCTGGCCTTTTGCATTTTGCTCTAGAAGTGTTCTACAACTCGTGCTGTTTTGCTTGATTATCCTCGGGTCAATTAATATTAGTGTGCCCATGCTGTCGAGTTCATTGTCAAGTGCCATTCTTTAGATTTTGAGAACTTTTGCTGCATTTAACAATACAAATGGAAGTTGGAAATCTGTGTATAACTAAAATGCATGCATTTCCCATGTCATCCTTGTTTTGGTCTTCTGTGGCTGCCAGAACTGTCAAGGTGTTGCTTGTGCAGATGCTTCCCTCAGGAAGTAGGCCAGCCATTGCAATAAACTGGCTGAACTCGTATATGAAATGTGAATGAAAACATTAAACAAATGTATGTAGATATATATTGGTAATTGGAAAATAGTTTGCTGCCTATGACTGGAAAGGTGAGCAATATGAAAAGTTAATACCGTGCATGGTTTTAAAGCTTAATGTGTTCCATGCAGCATGTTGTCTCAAATGTCAGGACTGTACCATTCCCTAAGGTGTGATTAAATAGCAGCAGATTAAAATTGGAGGATTCAGGATGGTGAGGGTTTAATGGTAAGAGTTCATTAGCCTTACACTGCTGTCAAAAATGCATGTGAATAGATGCTGTATATTCCAAGTTTTAGGATTGTGTAGACTTGATTAGTCCAGCTCTTCATTGGAAACATTCCTTTTGATTTTAATGTGGTACTCACTCTGTATGCTTCTATAGCATTAGCTTCTGGCAGCCGTCTGTTCAGAATTCCTCCTCTCAGGAATGCCATGAAGCGTTCGAATCCGTACATCCATTGTGACGATGCGGGGCCAAACTCTTTCAGAGTTGCACATGCATGGTGCATGATGTACATGCACAATGTCTTAATGAAAAGAAAGGTTGGAAAAAAATGTTTTAATGATTTTTTTTGGGCAAATGTTTCTGTGAAAACTCTACAACAGCTGTTTAAAAAGAAAAATATTGTCAGGCTTCCCAAAGAAAACAGAAAGCCAAATCCTTTAACTTTTAGGGACTAAAACATGACAATTGCAATGACCTTTAATAGGCCATTTTGCAGGTGGCCATTTTGCAGAGAAATGTTGTTTTGTATGATCTTGAGCTACCGGTAACCAAAAAATAAGTTTTGATTAATACTGTCAATTTGTCATTATTTTGTTATAACATCAAAAGTGGCCATCAAAAGTAACCCTTGCACGACCTTGATTTCCATTACTTTTCTCCGACATTATGTTTTTCCACATTTTCCATGACTTTTCCATCTGACTTTCCAAGAGAACCATTTTCCCCCGGATTTTACATGACCATAGGAGCCCCACATTTAGGCAAAAAAGTACACATTGGGTAAACTAACCTGGATGCCAAGTGGAAAGTCTCTCTCAATGAGACTTGGCACATGGTGCATGTCTTCCTCCAGTATGGCAAGGCAGGTCAAGTCCACACTGTGGTCCATGAGCTCTGCAAGTACATCACAAAGCTGGAAGAATGTCTGCTGCTGGTTGTCACCAAACATATCCCGGAAGGCATATTTGAGAATGCTATTTGATGCCAACTCTAATGAAAGATATGTAAAGAATTAAGTTGTATGCCTAATGCAATGTGTGCATTATTGACCTATGGGGTTACTTCATATTCATACAAGAATTCAATTTCATGCCACAATGTAAACTGCATGGAAGAGATCAAGTTAATTTTAAGAAGGGGCGTGCAAAAAGGTTCCTGAAGATACCTTTTTCCAATCACTGCACTTCATGTAGGGTAATGCAGAAGTGCTAAACTGGGATGGCAGCCTTGTGCACAGCACTCTGACCTGTAGAAGTCTGTCATCTGCTGTCTTCTTCTCCTGGGATGTCAATGTCCAGGGTGAATTTTGTCTGTTGTGCTGGTGCCTATCCATGGCCATCTCGGCTGCGCGCATCTCGGCTGCGCGCATCTTGACTGTGTCATCTCTCCCGGTGAAAAGTCCAAAAAGAACAAAATCATGACAACCTGCGGTTGAGGATAATTAGCAATATTTAACAAGCTTCTTATTACATGTACTACAATACAGATCCACATCCACAATACAGGACACTGTAAAATACAACAACTCAGATGTGAGTTACTGAGTCTATTGAAGGCTGTTCATATCAGACCCTTAAGCATTTCCCATCAGATGACTTGATCATATGAGGTGGATCAAAGAAACACATAGACCGATGTGCCTGGATGTGCAGGATGCTCAAAGTAGGGTTGTAGTTGATCCTTATTGGCTGGAGTTGATTGGTACAATTGCAAGCTCTCTTTGTAGACAGCGTGTCAAGTTGATCAATAGGACAGTTCCTTAAAGACACTAACTACTATGATTACAAAAACTGTTGAAATTCCTTTTTTGTGCGAAGTGTATTAGCATTACAGTGTATATTGTATAAAGCCCCCTCCCCATGTACTGCTGACATTTAACTATAGTCAAAGTCCTTCAAAACTTTCTTCAAATGCCGCCGTTTCCCCCGGCCAGAGTTCTCCATTGCAGCAGTGGTCTCCTGTGCAGCTGATATGGGAACATACTCCCAACCACTTCCATTCCTCTTGCGCACATCTGGTGGTGGTGGTGGCCGAGGCTTGCGTTGACGGCGAGGCTAACGTTGACGGTGAGAGAGGCCGGCGTTGACGGTGAGACTATCTGCTGGTATGAAAAGTACAACATGTACTTAATATACTCACATTGAGTTCTTCCAATGGCTTGTCATCCAACCATGGCATTAAGACATCCCCGCATTTCTTTTTAGTCATCATCACTGAACAGAACCTGTTGGTGTCCAGGTCATCAAAATCTGGAAAAAAAACAAGAATTAACAAAAACATATTTGAAACATAATGAGGTTTGGTTGACACCATGCTTCACGTGTAGGACTTTGCTGACTCAATGACAACTGTCCCATTACTGACATCCTTAGGAAGTTTTCAACTTGTGACATACATTCTTTGATTTAGGAGATTGCTTCTGTGGCATTAAGAATTAAGCTGTCAGTAGTTGATTTTTAATAACAGGCTCAGTGATTTAAGAACAACAAATAACTCACTCTCAAGAGTGCATTAACTAATAATGGCACGGCAGTCAGTCAATTATTTTCAGTCAAAAACTGACGGTCAATTTCCCAATCACTTCCACAATTTGGATTTCTACTTGGGCACAAGGACTCTGAAAATCTAGTCTTATCCCCCCCCCCCTTTTTTTTTTAAAGGGGGAGGTTGTGGTATCCTATGGTTAATGTCTGTTTCTCCCCCCCCCCATTTTTTTTTGTTCCGCAATAAATATTGTAGCCCACAGTGTGATTTTATAGCTCAGGTGGTTTAAATGATAATCTTTGCTCAGGTTATCCGATATTACCTAAGATTGCACCACAGAACATCTAGAATCCATTACTTTTAATGCTTTTTCCTTATCTTATGATACTTCCCATTTGCTTTGTTGGGTTGAAAGTGAAACTCTCAAGATCTAATGAAATAGCATGGTTAGGCCAAAAAAGTATCCGGTTTCTGGTCTGCGCGCACGTCACGGTTGCCATGCGGTTCGGCAAAACTAACAAGTTTTTTTTTTCAATGTAAGATGATGTTTGAAAACCGCTAAACTCACTGGTTTTGACTGGAATCCTGTTGCTGCAAAATTTTAACGTGTTTTTAGATGGGGTTACGACCGAGTATAAGCTTTATGTGGCTTCTCTTGGCCCCCGTATATTTTGCACTAAATTTAGTCGGCACCATATGCAGTCATCCACCGACATTTGAAGGGGAAAAAAGGGGGCAAGCCGCGTCGTCGCACCACTTTTGGGGCAAGCTCCATACCAGAAACCGAAGACTTTTGGGGGGCCCTAGCTACATTGTACATCAATATTTGGGTTTTGCCCTTCACCGACGTATAAACACTGTTTATACTCGTATTGTGTGAGTATACAGTGCTTAAATACGTCGATGAAAATTAACAATGCCAAAGAGTTGTTTGGCCAGTGTGTAGTGTCTTTTTGATTTGAAGTGCATGGATCCAATAGCAATCATTGTCAGAGCAATAACAGTAATTCATACAATGTGACGTCATTACACTACATTCTTTGCGAAAATTACCAAGATAAATGTGATAAACGTTTGCAAATTCACTGCAAAAACTTGACGTGCCATCACAAAATTGCGTTGGCGTTCAATTGCATTCGTGCTGAGAATACGAACCAACCTTTTGTGTACTCTGAATGGTACCAGACAGAAGTGGAAAGCTGTGCACATTGGGGAGGGGTGACGGGGCACTATACATGTATGCAGTCAGTATTGAGTGGATGCATCCATTGTATGTACCAACAGTTGTAAAATGGTATTTGTATTTATCACATTGTTTTAAAATAACTAAAGTTAATTTCAATGTCTGTCCTTCGAACTTGCCACTGATTTTTAGACAAAGGGTATCAGTAAAAAAGTGTAAAAAATATGAATACTTTTAACGATTTATTAACAATAAGATGTTTCAGAATGACCTGTGTATATATCTGTTTTATAGATGCGAGGTGTGGATGCTTCTTTATTTTTGTAAATATCTCAAATGTTCGTGTTGAATGAAAACCATATTGAAAAAATGCAATGTTCAGTCAGAGCAACTATACAATAACTGTTTGGCAGTGGCTACAGAACCGGTCCCCAATTTCACAAGGCTACAGAACCAGCAGTTATATCAAATGACATCAGATCTTGATGTACACTTGAAATCATGTTATATTTGTTTAAAGTTTTGGTAGCCATTAAAGCGCCTCGATGCTCTAGTGGGTAGCGGTGGTATCTTATGATTACCAGGTCATGCTTATGGGTTTGATACCTGGTGAGGATCAATGTTTTATCCTCCCAAAAACGTCAAGTCTGTACTTCTTAATTAATTAAAATTAAATTTATTTTATTTGGCTTTGGAGTAGTTTGAGAACCAATTCCGAACGACTGACGCACGAGAAAGAATGTAGTATCCAGAGGCCACTTCAGTGGTTGTGTACAAAGTCTATGGAGAGTCAAGACAATGTTATAAGTATATTTTCTGACAAAATTGGAAATGTTTTTCAGTCCCAGATTCATGGCTTTTCAATTTTTTGCAATGATTGACCTTTATTGAGATGATACAAAATGTATATGAAGGAAAAAGTGGCATCAGGTTGCAACATTCTTTCAGACGCATGTGCGTTTTATTACTGCCGGTTCTGTAGCATCACGAAATCGGGGAGCGGTACCGGTGTCGTAGCCACTGCCCAACTCTTTTTTTTTTTAATATTGAAATGAGAGCTTTGTGGATCTGATAGGTGGATGCGGTACTGAAATCACAATGGCCCTTACCAAACTTGACTGCAGTCATTTAGCATTCCTTTAGCATGCAATTAACATGCGAATGCTATGAGAACTGCCATTTGATAGCATTCACAAAAAGCCATGTCTGTACTTCCTAAAGCATTTTTCATAGCATTCCTTGAGGATAGCAATCAGATAGCAGTTTTATAGCATGTCAGAAGCCCGAATTGCGTAAATGAGCTATAGCATTCGCATGCTATGGAGAATGCTATTTAGGCATGCAAACGTGAATGCTATAACAGCATTCACATGCTATGAGAATAGCATTCGCATGCTATGAGAATAGCATTCGCATGCTATGAGAATAGCATTCGCATGCTATGATGCATGCTATGTGAATGCTATCATGACTGCTATATCGTGACATGGACACGGGCATCCTACAACATACATTTTCAATGTCACAATTTATACAAAAAATTACTTGTGTTATATCAGCTTTAATAATTTCATGTATTGAACCATATTTAACACAGCTAACACCATTTTGAAATTTAATAGACCTATGTACATACAGACTGTGATCAAAATATATGAAATAAGAAAATTGTTCTTTAAGACTTTATCAGCCTCAGAATTGCTGTACAAACATGGGGACACTCTTTGGTTTTTGTTTAACATTGTCATGCTTATAAAAGCAATGGCCAGAAATTTAATGCAACAATTCTCTGCTTATAATTTGAATTATCTTTGAAGCAACCAGTAGTCACTTTTATGCCAGTTGGCATCACAATTAAAAACAGTTATCATCCGATATCCAGCTGATTCAAAAATTCAATCAATTGGATGAAGGAATGTTCAACATCACATACACCATGAACACTAACATACTCAAAGCCAGAATAAAATTGTCTTTATCTAGCCAAAAACTGAATACCCACCATGTAGGAATATAGACCCATTGGTAGTACAAACTGTAGACTTACCAAATACAAGCAGTTTGTGAGTGTGTTGCATACATGTGTATGGAGGCTCCATATTGCTTGGTTCAACTGTTGCTTTTAAGTTGTCAATTCCAAAGACTTTCAGCCAGTCATCCAGTGTATTTTGTCATGTACATGTACAACAATGTACAGGTTGAGTGCATGCATGTGAATATGAAATTATATCCACAAGCATTCATGCCATATAAGGTAATGTCCATGCTTTCTACAATTTCTTGCAAAACTATGTGCAGCCTATACTGCACTCTGCACTGACAATATTCAACTGACTGCAGTTTTCAAATTTCCCACACTGACTGTTAATCTGTGGAAGGCCATCACTGATCATGTGACTTGTAGTCCATGATATGATTGGCTTATATATTGAAATGCTATTGTGCAGGCTATGCTTATAGCCAAGGAATGCTATACTTTAAAATTATTTTACAATTGACTGCTAAATTGGAATGCTGTACTCAATTTGCAGTCCTCCCTCTTTCACTTGCATGCTATGCAGAATGCTTTGAAGCTCGCATGCTATTTGGAATGCTATTTTCCTTCTGCATGCTATTGAGAATGTTATATGGACTGCTAAAGTTAGCAGTCATCCAGTCATCGTTTTCTGTGAATGCTATGTGGATGCTATAATAGCATGCACATGCTGTTTAAATGCTATTGAAATGCTATGCACATGCTATTATAGCAGTCTAGTTTGGTAAGGGGGTACACATATTATTTTCTGAGATCTGGGTTATAGTTTCATTGATATCCATCTTTGATGCTTTTAGCTGAAATTAAAAGGAACAAAAAATAATTGTCTGTTAGTATATTTTGTGTAGCATTTGCTTTTCATGTGATGCATAAACATCCTGCTCGTAATTTGACTTCGATACGAGTAGTTATTCATTTTCATGTGCAACAAAAAGCAGTGAGAAGTATGTCAAAGTCAGTAATTGTCCACAAGGTTGCATCCCAATGGGTGGTTTATCAGCTACCGGTACATGTATCATTTATTGCCTTACTTGCCCACCAGAGGTGATGGCTAATTTTTAGCACTGTTGATATCACGAGAAAAACTACAAACCTTTATCCAAGGCTGACAAGCTGCTCAACACGCGTCGTGGTTGGGTGTTGGAAGACGAAGTTGGTACATAAAATGGTACGCCATAAATCATTCCAAAGACTTTTTGCATACTCATCACAAATGTATTCAAGATATTTAACGTGAAATGCTTGGTTTTAAAACCCATGGTGCTCAGTCATCCAGGGTTTTATACTTACATGTATTTGAGTTAGCTTTGATTTATTATGCCCTGTACATCTAACACAGTCAGCAGCATAGCCAGGGTTCTCATCCTTGGGGGGCGTGTTGTGGGGGGGGGGGGCTTGAGGTTACAATGGAGGGGCGCCCAAAAATTTCATCCGTGCTGAAAGGTAGACAGGGTTTTTTCACCGGACACCCGCCTTCCGTAAAATCAAATAAAGAACGATACAATAAACAGCCACTCGAGAAAAAAAGATTTCTGGTGAAAAATATGCACAAAATCGCAGAAAAAAAGGGACTTTGTATTCTCCCAGCTAATCATGGTAACTCATATGGCTGTGCTTTTCTCCGCATGCCAAATTTTCAGTGGGGTCCCCCCCCCCCCCCCGTAACTACGCCGCTGAACACAGTGCATGCATGAAATCAATTTTAGGACAAGATAATATAACCCTTTTCTTAAATAAAAGGTACATTGGGCTGTATTTTAGTATTTAAGGAATGTTACTTCGTCTGTGGAAGTAAAAATCAAAATGATAGTTTTAATGATTTAATGAAAAATCAAATTAATATTGATGTGTTAGTATTTCAGCATAATACGTTTTGCATGGGATTAAATGCGTTCAATGCATTTACATTTTAAACGTTTACATGTACACCATTGTAAATGGAGAAATAATTATAAAAATAAACTAAGAAATTTACTGGAGTGTTTTGGACCGTAGACTTCCAGATTACCATACCGACACTTAAATATCTAACCCCGTGTTGGCGGTTCCCGGGTAATTAGTTAATGTACTGGTACAAAAGAACAGCGTTAATTTGAAGAAGTCGGATTTTTTTTTTTACAGTTGTCAATGGGATTAGCTTGTGAGCAAGGTATACATTATTATAAATATCGTATTTTTGCAGTCTTAGTACAAGTTCATGTATTGCCAAAAGAATATTTTTATTAGATATTTTTCCATTCATATCCAATGTTGGTTCTGGGTTAAGTATTCTTTGTTTTCAGAATTCACCAAATCATACATATTGTAATTCTTTGTATGTTATTGACACATGGTGATTGTTCTCACAAAGATCATCTTTTTTAGTTCATGGTTTCAATGATACGTTACATTAAGGGTAAAGTCGTTGACAATACGATAAGTTGATTTCGTGTTGTGTGTATCGCCAAAAATGCATCGCAAAAAGATGGCGTCTGTGTCATTTTCCTTGGTGTTTTATTACATAGTGACGGTCGGTCATTTTATTTGTAGAATTTCGATGCTTACTTAAACCTTAACATTGTATTTTTCTTTTGACTCGATGTTTCTATTTTATTTTTAAAAAATAAATAATAGCAAACCGGGCCTCGCACATTCCGTTGGTTTTTTTTTAGAAGCGCTTCTAATTTAGAAGTTGATATTTGGTGTCCAACACTTGCCATGTACAGTCTCTGACATAAACAGAGAACAATTATCGACGTCATTGTTTATTGCGTGGTAAACCTAAAACTAAATTCTCAATTTGACCCTTCATTTTTAGCATTATACAAATGTATGTAATATTTTAGCAGCATTGTTCAACATTAGATAAAAGGGTGATGGAGTTTCAATTGAGATATGAGAAATTGAGGAATTAAGAGATTGGGAGTGATTCAAAATTTTCAGCTGGCGGAAAAGATTTTGGTCTTTGAGCTTTGTACATAAATGAAAGCAATAATTCTGAAAGACCCAACGGAGTGCGTTGTAAGTTGTCTACACCATGACTTTGTATGCTTTTGTAGTAATTCATGTTATACAGGGCTGGCTTCATTACGCTGTTCAGGTAAGAACGAGAGAGTTTTGCATATCCGAGCAGTCAGGTGGCTTAGACCCAATTTTGGACAAGCTCGTGACCGACTGGTCCAAAGCACCAAACTTGGCAGATATATTGTTATAGCCTTAGAGAAGATATTTAGAAGGGGTGACACCTGAAGTTCTTTTGGGAAGGGTGCCTAATTTGCATAATTCGTTAATCCCTACCGTGTAATATATTTTATTCCCATATTTGAGGATATTTTTTTTTTTTTTTTTAAAGGTATATTTTGGTGATTCCACTTACACATCCTTTCTTCAATAACATTTTCTAAAGCATTTAAGACTGACTGGATAATTATGAGGACACAGTAACGATCCAAAATGGCTACTATTATACTCTAAAGTTGCGCGCATTAACCTTGTCTCCAGATATCATCGAGTAGTCTTGCCAAATCTTAGTATTGATGGGCTTCAAATTCACCAAGTTGCTTACTGGCACAGTTACTCTATTAAGTCTTCATGGAAAATCATGTGGACAATGATAAAATTGTGATATTAAGGCCAGAAAACAAAAACGGGGAACTTGATCAAGTCCACCACAATAGGCAGGCTTCGCCTAGTTTTTAGCCCAATTTACGGACACCTCATTTCCCCCCCCCCCCCCTTTTTTTTGTTTTTGTGGGCTTAATATCAAGATGATATAATTTTTCACATGATTTCCCATTTATTTTTGTTAGGGTAACTGTGTCAGTAAGTAATTTTGGGAATTTGAAGCTCATCAATACTGAGGTTTGGCAAGACTACTAGGTGATATCTGAGGGAAAAGGAATGCGCGCAACTTTAGGGTATAATGGTAGCCATTTTTTATCTTTATTATGTCCTTATAATCTTCAAGTCTCCGATATGCTTTAGAAAATGTTATTTAAGTCAGGATATGTAAGTAAAATCCCCAAAATATTCTGTTCAAAAAATAACAAAATATACATCTACCCAAATATGGGAATAAATATATTACACGGCAGGGATTAACGCTTTATGCAAATTAGGCACCCTTCCTAAAATAATTTCAGGTGTCACCCCTTCTGAATATCTTCTCCAGGGCTATAACAATCTATCTGCTAAGTTTGGTGCTTTGGACCAGTCGGTCACGATTCCAACCGTATGCCACCTGACTAGAGTTGAAAAATCGTCCAGGCAAACTTGAGGATACCAAAGACGAACGGCAGTCTGTACGACTATTGGATGGACTTTAAAATATTGGGGGTTTTTAACTCTAACATAATGAATTAATATGTAGTATTTTCATCTTCCAAAGATACAAACTATGGTCAATATAGTTAGGCTTGGTTTATATAATTCCGTCTGACTGAGTTTTAGTCATCAATTATATGTATATGATTGAATTCATTAGTGCATCAATACACACATTATACCCGATTGAATAAAATTGCTTATCTGAAAGATTCATGTTGTTTCCGTACTTCATTATTACCAAATTGATACCTATAGGGACGTCGTATTAAGTTGCTTTGTGTTACAATTGCTACAACTGCTCTCATGTAGAGTTATTGTTTGGGTGTTGTCCCTCGCCAGCGCACGCGTACGCGCAGTGCATCATTTTTTTTCTGCAACCCAGTAAAGTCGTTCACCTCAATACGGAAGCGTGATCGATACCACGCAATTGAACATTGTGATTTTTATATAGTTTACATCTGGGGAAAAAAACGGGATAAATACCGTGGCGTGGCTTTGCCGGCGCCTTTTTGGATACGCAGGACGGTGTGAGTTCCAATCCCGAAGGTGTTACATTTTTCCTTAAAGTTTAATATCCCTCACTGATCTTTGAAATAAATTGTGTGTTTGGGGGGGGGGGGGCTTATTTGTGGCTCTGTATAATTTTGGTTTAAGGGAATTCGGAAACAAACACATATTCCATCAACACTACTGAATCACCATGATCCATTGACGATGCCTGCTGCAGAAATAAATGCGCTGGCCGTCGGTCAAAGTCGATTGGCACGCTGATTGGCCACGATTGACACGCTGATATAGGGGACACTTTCCGTCTCGGCGTAAAACTTGTTCAACTTTGTCGACTGTTGATTTTGTTTAGCGCTGACCATAGAGCAAGAAACCGTTCGTCCATATATCGACGCAAATTCCATCTTATGAATAGAAAGATTTCTATTGCAGTAACGCGGCAGGAAACACGAATTAATCTGATTTCTTCAAGTAAAATTGAGGGGGGGGATCACTTGGAGCTGGGTAAAAGCGAACTTCATTTACGATCTTTCACATCCTGCATCGCTTTGTCGTTCTTCAGCTGCACATTTGTTTTCATTTCGTCTACTTGTATACGAGAATGAGAATGTACATGTATATTGCGAAGATTTGCCTATCAACAACCGACGAGTTGTAGATTTAGTTGAGTCGGATTTAGCGGATCATGGGTGCAATCCCTTAAACAGTCTAGATGTAAGTTAAGATTTTTTTTCTTAAAATACGAAGCCCTTTGCCCCCCCCCCCCCTCAAATTATGTCAATGATGCTCCAGCATTTTTTTTTCAACCACCATCAAATATTCTTTTCAAAAACGTTATTTCTTCTTATCACCAAAATTGAAGTTGTTGCATACTGGTTTATTTTTTAATTATGCATGAATTTCACAATTACATAATTCAGAAGTTCGGGGTAAAACCTTCTCAATCCGTTGGAATCTTCAAAGTTTTAACGGCTGAACTTAGTTCAGCGCATGTGCATTACTCCACAAACCCAATTCAACCAACGGTCACTGCGCGAGTGCGCGTGCCAAGCATGCAGCAACTTTCGGTTATTGGTAAGCGGGACTGTGTTCAGTCAACATGGACACGTTCGTTGTTTTACCCAAAGAGTTGCTCCTAAGCGTAGGGCAGTACTCCCCGGTGAGCGGAGACAAAGTCCGTAGTGAGAACGATAGGACCGAGCAGCCGCCATGGCGGGCATGGGGGCTAAGCGTGTGGTCGGCGGTACCCCTACACGCCGGCACACGCTTCACTACCAACCAAGGCGTTACCGTCCTCGTACGATTGGGATGTGCGGTGGGAAATCGACAATACCCCCAGGTAAGCGCCAAACATAATCTGTGCAAGGAAATTAGTTTAGGATCAGTTAACATTTCAAAATTCACAAATTATTTCTAGTAGAAATATGTCCCTTTAGAAGTTGTAACAGCTCCCAATAAACCTGGATGATTTTTGAGGTGCAGTATTCACATTGCTAAACTTGGGCACAAGTGAACTTTCAAATGCCTGATAGCGTGGAATCAAGACTAACCCTAAGAGATAAGAAACAGTTCGGAATCAATTCAAGTTGAGGAAAATGTCTACGGAAAACATTTTACCTTTTTCAAATTGAATTTAATACATAGGTACAATACATGTTTTGTTAATTGCATTGAAGCCTCAAATTCTCGAGTACAAATCAGAAACAAATATGCTTAGAAATTTAGTAGGGGCCTATCCGAGTTGGATTTTAAACTAGAAAAAAACATTCAGCCCCTATGTTAGTGTTTCCAATTTGTGAAGAACAATTCAAAAATCCTAATTATCTTCCATTTCTTTGATGAATTAAAAATAATCGAAAACGTTTCGTGACCATAGGCATGATAATCACTGTTTTAGTGTACGGAGTAAGTTTCGTGTGAAGTAAAAGCCAATGCAGACATATACATTTTAACAAGTTTGGTGGAATAATTTGAAGAAAAAACTTAGAACTTTGCTCAACATAATTATCTGTAAAATGTAACTCTACCATACTTATATTGGATCTAGCATTCATTGTACATGCTGAAAAATATACGAAAGGCATGGTCAACTGACAGAGCACAACGTTTTAACGGATACAGTTAGATTAAATCATGTTCCATTTTTGAAAAAAATAAGAGCGATTGGTAAAACACCGATAAATTGGGATTTTTAGGTGGGAAAATGACAGCTTCAAAACATGCATGGAATTCTGATTTTTGCTTCGAAAGCACTTAAGAAGCTAATAATGCACAGGCTGACCCGGAACAAAATAAAGGACCGTTTCTAATTCAAAAGCGGGAGTATAGAAAATCATTTTATGGGGGTCCGCTCATAAGTCCGACGCCTCATAAGTCCGACAAAATCGCATCCCCTAACCAAATAAAGGCCCATAAGTCCGACGCCTCATAGGTCCGACTCCTCATAAGTCCGACGCCTCATAGCTCCGACGCCTCATAGCTCCGACGCCTCGTAGGACCGACAAATTAAACGCCTCGTTTTTCCGACGTCGGTCCAAAATTTCGGACTTATGACACGTCGGACCTATGAGGCGTCGGACTTATGATACGGCCCCATTTTATGGTAGGGTCTATCTTTTCCCCTATATCAAAATTTCACAAATCCACGTAGGAAAGATAGTGGACTACATAATGCGTCGATAGTCGTCTTCAAACCTTTTTTCTGGTTTGAATATTTTGTTTTCCATTCTTTTTGTGTTTGTTTGGGGGGGGGATGGTCCCCGTCCCCTCCCGATCCGCCATTGTTACTCTTTGTCTCCGCGTTTCCAAGATGAAACTAGGACCAGGGTGTTGAGTGTGCATTACATCAAAATTCCTCAATATAAATTTTACCTACAACTTATTAAATAAATTTTAAATCAAATTTTGAATCGAAAACACCAAAAGACTGTAAACTTGCAGAAATTGAAAACTTGAATTCTTTTATACTCTTAGGCTACATAGTATTTTGTACTTACGATGCATGTCTTATTTTAGCGATGCATGTCTTATTTCTGTGAGTTCAGGGACATGTCGCCAGGAACCATGGCCCGCGTATGATTTAGGCACTGCACACAAGAGAATACAACTCAAAATGTAAAACGGCAATATTAATATCCAACATGAATGTCATCTTATGTAATATCACACACTGATTTTAGGTTAAGTTTCAGCGAGGCTTTCTTGTGTCTTTCAATCGCCCAATTGTGAGCAATTTGGCCTTGTATTGTCTGTTTCCAGTGTGGTGTGAAATTGGTCTATATGAAATACAGACTCATCGGATGTACTGCGCACCCCTAAATGATGATACACTGTGTAATTGGGAAACTGACAAGTTGTATGTGAGGGATAAAGTCCGTATAAGTACAAGATACCAACATTTGGAAGGAGTTCAAATTTCATATGACACCGGCATGGCAATTCTTTGTATCGATGCCACGGGGAAATGGTCCGCAAGCGCCACCCAAAAACCTCCAACATACCCACAACTTGAAGTGAAGCATTATAGTATTCGTAGTCACGTTGTTCTTTTTCTAGCGTGATTGAGGACTCCAAAAATGATGAGTCTGTGATTCGATTCGATTCGAATCATTGGCTATGAAACCCGAGTCCAATCGATCGTTTTCACGTGAAGACTCGAATCGAGTCAAGTCACTGTTTTAGTGAGTCAAATGATAACCTGGCGTTATTAAAATGCCGGTGAAAACAATAAAATACACTTAATAGTGCTTAGATTTTATACACTTTTTGTACCAACTTCTTCATAAATCATATGTCTTACCTGGCCATGTATATATTTGTTTTGCAAATAATCACAGTCCTTTTGTTGAATAAACTACAGAAAGGGGCCAAGGACATACATGCAATATACTTTCGAGACATTTGGAGATAAAAACAAGAGGGGTGTTCATTTCTACATGAACCCTGACAAATATACTAATGAGTAGTCTGCATGTTTTTGCACTCCTGTGCAAAAAAAAAAATACGTCGTTTCCCACGCCACTACTGCGCATCATCAATACACCTTACATAACCTAAAGTTAGTCACCCATTTTTATTTTAAAGAATAAACATGAATTACCAAAGTTAAATTCTAAGCAAATTTAATAAAGTGAAATTAAGACTACTATTTTCGATTGTTAAAGCTCAACTTTCAAGTGTTCTGATTGGCCAGAGATCCACGAAAAGCATCTGAAAGATAAGCTTGGCAAATTGTTGATCATTAGCAGAGTTGGGCAGATACCTATGACTTCAGATTTGTTTGTTCAATATGTAGAGTATCACCAGACGCGACTCTGGCATGTTCTATCATCAAGTGAAACAATCTGCGCCCCTATCGTGACCTGTTGCACTTATAAAATATACAAAGTGATGTTAACATAAAAACGCTAACTTCAAACGTTTAGTGTTGACTGCGTTCATTTGTTTGTGTAGAAGTGTGTGTATAGCTGTAGTGGTGTCACGAACATGCTACTTGCAACCCTTTCTTTGTTGACAGTTCTGTGTTTGTTTTACTTGCAATATGGATTGTTCAAACTATCCAAACTTGCACAAGAAATATTGGGCTGCTGGTTTATTCGCATTTCAATTTATTTGGTGAAGTGGTGAGATATTGTGTGAACCATCTGAACGTGAGCGTATTAGAATTGGGCTAACATATATCTGACGTCCCGCTAAACTTATTCTGTAAAATCACAACACAAAGCTAGTATACGTACTGTCCATTACTCAACAAGTTCACGTTAAAGATCAACGCTTAAAATATCGGTTCCATTATAGGCTTTAGTAATGTCATCGCCGAAACTAATTAGCACTAATTTTGTTATCTCAATATTAATTATGGACAAAATAGAGTAGAGGATAAATACCATAGTTGATCCAGTTACACATACTGATGTCTTTAATGTCAGGGGCATACAAATATGCCGAGAATAAATATTATTTTTGAAACCGATGACAACGGGGGCAGGAAGGCAAAAACAAGTTGTTCTAAGCGGCGGAACTCAGACAGACCAGTGAGTGATATGACCAATAATTAGCGGTCGGGAATTTCAAGTGACGACACGTACACGGCAATTATGGCTGATTTGTTTCAGATGTATGCAACACATACATGTAATGACTAACGTGTTTTTCAGTAACAGTGTTATTTCAAACAATGATAATTAATATCTTGTCGGATGAGTGATGGCCTGACTCCATTCAACGCGCAGACATTGCAACCAAACTGTACATTATGATTAGTTGCAACTTTCGCTTTCGGCTTCAGTTCAATTAAGTCTATCTTGCAGTTGCTCGAAATTTCCTTGTATATTTTCATTGTATATTGTATAATTTTTGTGTTATTATTTGAAGTTACTTTGCGGGTAAAATTCAAGGTAAACTGTAATATAAAACGAAATGGGTTGGTATTTTGCCCAGTGTTTCTGTCTGCACACCAACTCCCGGCACTGTTGGGCAAATTACATAGTTGTAAACTTCTAGCCGATTTAGCCAACAATTAGTGAGGTAACTGTATACCAATGTTGCCCCACAGTGTTTTACCGAAGGTTTTACAGTGTACGTGTAACCGCAAAAAAAACACGAGCCGCACCAATCCATTCTTCACTGCGTTAAACTCTGGGACGTTATATTTGTTAATTCAGGCTGTTTGTCGCTTTTAAATATTTACTCTTCCAAAGTTTTTATTAAGGTTTTCCTTTTTCATCATAGATGGTTCAAAAGAAAGCCAACCAACTTGTTTGTATACGTAGTAAATTGAATTTTGATTTATTTCCCTTACAACGCCAGTTTTCAAACAGACTGTGATACCATAATTTAAAGCTGTTTCAACGTACCTTCCCCTCTTTTTCGAGAGGATGTTTTTTAAAGCAATGACTTTCCAGAAAGTATCTTTCTTTAAGTCAGTTGATAAGTATCCAAGTATCAATTCTTGTTTCCTCAACCGATAGCCCCTCGCCATCCACTCCTTATTATATAAGGAATAGTCCTCAGGATGCAAGATATTTATCAGGATATTGATCCTCATTTGATTAAAATCGCTTTTGTACAATTTCACAGGCGATGCTGTTCAATTGATCATATATAACAGTTAAAATCCGAGGTGTTCAAGTATATAGGTGCCCTGGAGCAGGGCATGGATGTCATGACACAGGGACTGAGAGAAATGTCCAAATGGGTTTATTGATGGTGCACTGATCCCACAAGCATTGAAACCTTTTTGAGATATGGTGGACAGAAAGGGAGGGAAGTGCTATGTAAACTATTTTATTTACCCAAATTAACCTACTCCAAATAGCGCGCTCATATTATGCGTCTATCATTTCTTAATAGCCTAATATTCCGTGCGCAACACTGCGCATTGCCGCCTTGGAATGCGTTGGGTTCTGTATATAAACTCTATTTGCGAAAAAAAGGTACCCCTTTTCAAAACAATTTGAAGTAGAGTGATTGTATATCTTGTTATTTGAAGGTCATGAGGTGGACACAAAGCAGTAGAAATTACGGCCATGGACGTGTAAACACGGTCCTGTTTTATGCCAGTCATTAATCACTAAGTCGCTGGGCTAAACCATGCACAGTGCTTGAATCTTATGATTTATTATGATGTCACTACTAGCTGCAACTCTGTGCCATACTGATTTCCTGGATGCAAGTTTGCATACACCTTTGCCTTCCGTTTTGGTAAATTTGAGATACGGAGATAATCCAAACGATCATTGCATTGTATCACCCAATGACGGCTGCGACACCATACTCTCCATGCTGTCTTGGGTTGATACATTTTTACCAAGAAGGATTTTTTAATGGGGCGAAACCTTGGTTGTACATGTCAAATCTACAAATATTACTTAATCATAGACCTGATTTTCTCAAATTTTGATCTAAACAACTTAAAAGACAACAAATTAATTGGACGTAGCAGGTCTTTTGGGGAAAAAACAAACGAAGGAATCTTTACTGTAGAAAATGTAAAGCACTGAGGTACTGTTTATTTTGGTAAAACTTTAACTACATGTACTTACATAAGGCCTGCATGCCCACGTTCATTTCAGCCTCCTAGTATATTTCGCTTATTCCCTTTTTGAAGGTATGGAGTAACTTTGGTTGCTACGAGGAAATTCACCAGGGCTCGAAGCACTATGAACGTCACTGCAACTGGGTTTGTTTCCTCCAATCAGTCGAAAGTCGAGACCGTGCTAACATTGTGGTCTACAAGGTCAAAGGTGAGACGACATATCCACACTTGGTCATGTGCGAAACAGGCGTTGTTACGGTTATGGATAATCCCCACAGTGCGTCAAATAAATTAAAAAAACAAATGCGAGTGCACATTAATTAGCTCTGGCGAAAAATTCGACGCCGATGGCACATATGGAACACCATACTTTTGGTCAATTTAAAAATTAAAAATCGCACCCACCCTCCTTTTTGAGTAATTTCCTCCTTCTGGATACCGTCCAACCCATTTTTTCAATGACTTATTTTGGTATTGTATTGGCAGGGAAACCCATCTTTGAAGTGATCAAGTTTGTACCAGCGTGCAGCCAACTAATGGCCTTCTTCCAAGTCACAGATCACAGTATTTGTAGCATTCTTGGTCCAGATATCAACCCGCCACACGAAAAAATGCTTACACAGTCTACTACGTCGACAAACCATGAAGGTATTTACCACAACATTGAAGATGGGTGATGACTGCATGTTATACCAGGATGGCATTGTTGAAACGTGAACAGATGCACTAATAAAGAAGCTGTAGTCACGTCCGTCTCCAGTCAAATCACAAGTCAATATCAAGACAATCACAAGTCGGTCACGAGTCAAATCACAAGAAGGCCGTCCAAGAAAGGGATAAACAATGACAGTAATGTCTTTATTACAGTTCATTTTGTGACTTGTGACTCGTGAGAACTTGGTGAAAATTCAAAGTAGCATTAAGTACTCAAGTTTGTTGTTTTTTGAAAAATCACTAAATTTGTGCTAAATTTGAAAGTATTAAATTGGCAATTGTACCAATTATCCCCAAAATAATGTCTTTGACCCAAAATATGAAAAAAAGGTACATAAAAGTGCTCAATGAGCTCAAAACCTTCCAAAAATCGTGATAGTGCCAGCAATATAACAACGGTGTAGTGCGAAACTTGGATCCTTTGAAACTTACGGACTCATGCATTAAAAGTGAACATACAAACATGCACATAGGCCTATATCAGTGACACGTCATACACGTGTGAGGGTGAAAGTCCATTGGTAAAGAGACCGTATTTCACAGGGCCCAAGTTTCATGTCATCTTATACAGAATCTTGGACTTGCCTACTGTAATAAAATTGGAGGGTCGATTAATATACAGCGATGGTATATACAATGAATTAACACTGCATTTTCTCTATTTTGAGCAGCTGAACGTAAGATTCTATGGTCGACGATAGCGTACCAAGCAAGGCGAGGTGCGGATGAATATTTAGCGAGTAATATGTCCCTCTCCAGCGCTGGGTTGTGCCATCCTAGCGGTGTACGGATTGCTGAGGTCAGGAAAGATTTGCCGCTGTGGACATCACCGCGTCGTGGCAAAGAACGAACATCATTACCGTGTGAGGTTTGCGGCAAATCGTTTGATAGACCGTCGCTACTGCGGAGGCACATGAGGACCCATACCGGTTAGTACTTACTACACCTCTATCAGAGAGGTGCATGGCCAGCAGAGGTTGGTTTTTTTTCCGAACTTTTTGTATGCTAAAGATGTAAACAGGAATATCAAGTTTGGTAATTCCAAATCCATTTATAATGTGCAGGTATATACGCACATTTCACCATATGGCCAAGTAATTATATTAATGGCAATCGATGCCGAAGCTTTTATATGCTATTTTGTGGAACAGACCACTCTATATAAAATTATGCGCTACTACATTCAGTTCTTTTAGACGTTCCGTTTGGCATCGTAAGATATATACATATTGCCTGTGTGAAGACTTGGCTGTTACTTCATTTTGACTTCATTTCATCAACATCCTGTGCTGGTTGGTTGTGGTGCTGGTTGGTTGTGGTTCTTACCCACCTGTTATGAAACTAGCCGCCTTCTTTCTAACTTGTCGAAGTCCGTCATTGATTTCCTGAAGACCGAAGTAAATCTCTAAACTTTTCAGCAGTTTAGTTAAAAAGGATAAGAAATCTAATTTTGAAGCACACATGTTTTCAAGACTTTCTTAGTATTATTATACGTGTAATGGTACCACTAAGGAGACACGGTATCGTAATTTCTTCGCACGTATCGGTCATGTCTCCCTAATGTCACAGCCCCCCTTTAGAGGCACCATTTTTTGTCGCAATTAAAATGTATTTGTTGCTCGTGGTGTAATTAGTAAACATACTGAAATTCGGGGGGAAAGGACAAGGGAATATTGGGTTAGGGCAAGTTTAAAAATTGAGTGCACAAGTCTATGGGGATGCCCAGGCGCGGATCCAGAGGGGGGGGGGGCAACCCCAGCTCCGTCAAATAAAAATTATCATACGAGTTCCTAAAAAAATAAGTCGAACCCCCCCCCCCCCCCCCCTGCTGTGACACCCCAAAAAATTTAGTGGTATAATGTCCGCTTGTTCAGAATACGGTACCTATTCTGTAATCTAGTGTTAATAATCGTCGGATTTGAACAGCGCCCCTATTGAAATATGGTACCAGCCGCCGCCCCCCCCCCCAACTTTTTGATTTTACGGAGTCCAAGTGTCCGCAGAAAAAAGCCTGGATCCGCCCCTGATGTCTCCCAAATGTCCAATCCAGGGTAATAATTACAATTATTATTGTCACTATTAGATAGAGAGAAACATAGAGGTGATTCAAGACAAATAAAGAATGTTTAATTTGATATCATAGGTGAGAAGCCGCACAGTTGCACTGTGTGCGGCAAAGCCTTTAGCACATCGAGTTCTCTCAACACACATTGCCGTATACACTCCGGAGAAAAGCCTCATGTATGCAGTGTGTGCGGCAAGAGATTTACAGCAAGCTCCAACCTGTACTACCACCGCATGACACACAGAAAGGTACACCCTTGTTTGTCTTGCATAATCTATGTGGACATTCCTTTGTTTTCGTGTAGTTAAGAAAACTCGGTACAAAAAAAATATTTACTTAAATAAACTGTGAAAAAAATTTCGACCCCAAATTTGTTTTTTGATTTCCTTGAATGTTCTGTTCATTCTGCGACGAATAACCCTAACCCGAAAATGCCTCTAAACCTGTTTTCCAGAGAGGGTGAGACGTTATGTGGACACGGCTTAGTCCACACAACGTCAACACAACCTGCATTTTGTGGACATCTTTTGTTCACATGTCCACATAGTGACTGTAAGACATACTCACGTAACTCATCGAAATTGAAAATTGCCTAAGTTATCCGAATACGTTTCCTTTGACACTGTGATTACCAAAATGTTCTTGTACCACAGGACAAGCCTCATAAGTGCACGCTGTGCTGCAAGTCTTTCCCTACTCCCGGGGATCTACGCAGTCACATGTTTGTCCACAATGGCTCCTGGCCATTCAAATGCCAGTTCTGCAATCGAGGCTTCAGCAAACACACCAATCTTAAGAACCACATCATGCTACACACAGGTCGGTTGTGAGTTGTTCTCCCAATGTTCTTATATATTTTCTTTCCCCTTAAAACTGCACAAATTTTACTTTCACAATATCCAATAATGGTTCAAAATTATTAATTTTTAATAGCATGCATTAATTCGGTTTTTTTAAGTATAGATAATCCCGTAAACAAAAACCAAGAGTACTGGTCTAAAGAGTTACACTGTATTCACACCATTGTTGTCAGAATGTATAATTATTTCCAATTTAAAACACAGCAAACTTTTCAAAGTAAATTATTCCATGTAATCCTTTGCAGGTTATATCATAATGAGAAATTTATTCCTTTTGAATTTCAATGTCTTCAACAGGAGAGAAGCCTCACGTATGCGTTTTATGCGGGAAACGATTTGCCTTAATCTGCAATCTGAAGTCCCATTCCAAGACCCACCAAGCCAGGCAGCATACAGCACAGTGTTTGTCAAACAAGACGACGTCTGCCTTTAATGGTCCACGCTGAGGCACGATCGCAGGAAAGAAAAACACACAATTTTAAACAGAATAGCCCGATCCATTAAACCCCGCCCCTTTGCCCCGCCCTATGCCATTTTGACCAATCACAGCCATGATTAATGTCCGACATGGGCGTAGGTACGGGTGCATGGCGCGGAGTTGGAACACGCCGCAGAACGGCATTGAAAGGTCACGTGTTGTTGCCCACGTTTACTATGGCGGGGCGTAATGGATCGGTCAAAAAAATAATAACAAAGTTAATTAATAACGGAAAGCCGTGTTTTGGTGAGGCACATACAAAAACACAATAAACCATGCCCTTTGATCATTGTTAAAATATACACGTTATGTGTTTAATTTCAACAACAAAAATAGTGACTATCACCTAGTAGGCCAACCTATCAAAGAAAGGTTTTGGGTACCAGGTCCAAATAAAGTAGACACTATTCTAGCGACCACAATAATTGTAGTGGTTCCTCGCTCATTTGAATGACGCATCATCGCATGTACAGTTAAATGACGTATACAAGTCTTGTCGGCGTTACCGTTAGTGTACTAACACTGCTTAGCTCCCAATGATTCACGGGATGCTGCTGATGATGTACGTTCACTACCCTAGGCCGATTAGACACGTGTCTGTTTTCAAATTGCATAATTATTGACTATGCAATAAGTATTAAGTACTCTATGGCGTTAAAGCTCACATAGAGAGTATACACCAATTTTCAAAAATATCAATGCCTAATCAAAGTTGATTTAGTATAGCAGTAGACAACAGTGTAGTAGACAACAGTGGGCGTAGCACAGTCATTTTTATGGGGGGGACGATTTCACAAAAAAGGGCACTTGCACATCCACGCTGAAATGAAGACACGGTTTTTTTTTATCCGGACACTTGGCCTCTGTAAAATCAAACAGTGGGGGGGGGGGGGGGGGGGGGAGGGGCTGTTCAAAACCGAAGATTATACACACCACTATAAATGGACAATAAATGTTGTTCATGCGCGGAATTCAAAAAGGCACCCGTAACGACCGATGGCACAAAAAGGGCACAATTTTTTTTTAAAGGCCACTTTTTCAGAAAAAAAGGCACTTGTTAAGGAAAAAGAGCACTTGTTCAGAAAAGAAGGGCACTCTTTACAAAATATTGGGGAGAGCGCTGGTGAAAAAAAGGGCATTTGAAAATTTGAAGTCTTTTGAATAGGGCAGTCTTTTCAAACTATGGGGGGTTTCCCCCCCCCTCCCCCCCCCCCCCCCCCGCTTGCATACGCCCACAAACAGGATAAATACCCCCCCCCCCCCCGCCCCGCTGGCTTTAAACAAACTTACGGGGATACACATGAATAACATTTTAACTTTTCAGTCAACGTGCACATGAAATGAATGTTGTGTTTTATTGTAACAGAGATTATAATGTTAAAACCGATGCAAGCACTAGTGTTTTTCGTTACAATAAGGGAATAAATGTACTTGGGAGGTGTTAAACATTGTGTATAAGACTGATTGGATGGATGGGTGATAATTACCGAGCCGAAGGCGAGGATAAGTCGTCACCGTTTTCACGAAGAGGCGAATTTAGTATTTCACTGCCTGAACAAACATTCGAGATAAGCGCGTTTAAAGTTGGTCCTTTTTTCATTTGACAATTTGAAACTTAAAGATGCATAAAATATGCAAGATCATAGGTATCAGAGGAAAAAAGAGCTTCTAATCTTCCTAAATGTAGCAAACTTTAAGAAAAATAGGTGATTAGTTTCGCAGAGTTAATCAATTAAGAGAAGTGGCTGTTCGTGAAAACGAAAAAAGGACCAATTAGCAAATTCTCCCCTTCGTGAAAACGCTAAAGTGACTACGCGCAGATTTCGCCCTTCTGCGGTCTGAGTCAATGCATTTTTTGTACAGTACGCGCGGATTCTGCTCCACTGCGCATGCGCCTTGAAATTCGCCCCTTCGTGAAACGTTTTCTGCACGTCGCACGCGCATGGAATTCGCCCCTTCGTGATGTACGCGCCATTGTATTACAATGTATTTATTTACTGAAAATGTATTAAAACCTTAGAGTGCGTAATTCGCCCCTTCGTGAAAACGCAAAACGGCACTTTTGGCAAATTCGCCCGTTCGTTAATTAGGTTAATTAAGATTTTAATTAATTTTTCGAAAGTATAGCCTCAACAGGTTGTAGGTATTGATATATTTATTCATTTTCACCAAAAAACAAATCTCGAAAAACAGACGATTTTCATGAAATTCGCCCCTTCGTGAAAACGGTGACGAATTATACACATCCCGACTCCAACCAGTCTTAAGCATAGTGTTTAATACCGACCAAGCACATATTTATTCCCATTCATAAATACCAGTCGTCAACAAATCAAAGATTTCCAACGATTGTGTTCAACAATTTTACTGAAGGTTTTTGATACACCTCTCTAGCTGTTATTATGGAGTGTCAAGCTCGCGAGTAGGACGTAAACAACTCCTTTTATGGAGATTTGCGCCCGCGTCGAGCGTACTGCGCTATGTCGCGCAGATGTGGCGAGTGCGTTAATTGTGAATTCATAAATACCTAACAGTTTACCCATTCCTATTGGTCGAGAGCCCGTCACGTGGCCGGTCTTAAACATATGATAAAGACATGGCTAATAGAGACATGTGCTGATAAAGATGGGCTTCGCCTATAGGGTAATTATCACCCATCCAGACTCCAACCATTCTCAAACAGAGTGTTATAATACCTCTCAAACACACATTTATTCCCTTATTTAAGACTGAGAAATACTGACATTGCCCATGCCTACGTGAGGATTATGAACGTTCAACCAATAAAACGGTGACAGGCACTGGTTTTCATAGGAGTCCAAATTTCATGTGACACTGGAAAAGTGTTTAAGACCAGCCAGCCCCGCCTTAATCACCCGTATAAGACTGGCCACGTGAGGGGCTCTCGACCAATGGAAATTGGTGAACTGTCTTAGGTATTTATGAATAAGTTTTAAATACAAACTACTTCCTTTTAAGTCTCAACCCTACCGTTTATCTTTTCACCAAACCACAACATCGTATCTGTAATTTGCACAAGCGTGTTTGGACGCGTAGTCCATTTAATCACTTTACCTGGGGCGTATGCACAATTATTTCAACAGATAACGCACAATGAAAATTATTATTAATTAATTACAAAAGACCGATATGTGTGAATTTCCATGAAATATTGACTCATTGGTTGTATTGCGCGTGCCTTATAGTGAACATGATTACACGGTAAAGAGGCCAGATTTAATGCAAATTCAATATGACACCTTTATGCATCTACATGAAATGGCCTTATACTATAGTCGCTTTTACACGGTTGCATCAGTTGTTGCTTGATGTAGCAAAGTAGTTCAGACACAATCTTAAGATGTAGTTTTGTGCTTAGAGATGGGCCGCATCTGCGAAGTGCATGTTGCAACAAGTCTTTCTCAGAACGATACGCATAGACCTGCTCCATATAGATTGAACTTTTCGTAATACAAACCTTCTACTAGGCTAATACTCTTCCACTGTGTAATCCATAAAAATGAAAAATATCCCTTTTCTTTTTGAAGGCACAATACATTTAAAATATCAATGGTAAACGTTTCCAATAAAATGGTATCTTACTCTTTAAATATAATATTATAACATTAACACATCAATGCATCGTACCTCGTTACATGCAACATATACTTGAAACCAATCAATTTGACATAATTACATACACCTTTAAAACATGTTTTATACATCTATTAATTCATATTGACCAAGCATGGTTACAAATAACACTAAAGACTGTATTTATCATTTGTGCTCACGTAATAACTTCAGTGATAAAGATATCATGGTATTACCTTTACTATACTATATATGTAAAGTTGTTCAAAGAATGAATAACAATGATTGTACCACGTTTCAGAAACCGCATTTCATTGGTCTGTTTCCCCCAACAGTTATTGGTACAGCTAGCTATCTTCGTTTGTAAAATAACATATCACATAAATACTACACCGCACATTAGTTACCTGTACGTAACCCGTATGCTTTCTTGCTGTTTACATCTGTCAAACATTAATTGTGTCATTGGTAACTATACTTTCATCACTGCTTACTATTAACTTGTCGAAGCAGATACCTGAAGACACGTTTGAGATTGACATTATTTTGGATCACATTTTTTTTCAATCTTTACTGAAGCTGGTGATAATCAATAAGAATTGAATAATGAAGCAATTCATGACTGCTACGACGTGGCACATTAAGGCCTGCACTTATTTATAGCTAAACTCCAACAAATCATATCATTGACAACAAACATAAGGAGCACCAAAAAAAACATATCAAGAACTGAGGAGATTAAAAAAGAATAATATGTTAACAAATTCCAACAGAAGAGTATTGATTTGTTTTCCCCCTCACAGCTATATTCGTCTAATGCCCAAATATTTCCCACTAAATGTGCAAACAAAACTTAGGAGAACATACGCCTCTGAACTAGTTCCGAAATCTTCCTTGCCAAGTGAGTAGGGACTGGTAACCTGCCTCAGGCTTTCTGCGTTAGCATACTTTGAATTTCTCAGTACATGGTTGATTCCACAATTCGTCACTCTTGTTAATTAATATTGTAGGGCAACGACTTTTAGGAGGCACCGTATATTGGCACACCGCCCAACTTCTTTTATGAATGTATTACAAGCGCCTTGCTGTCAGTCAGTACAGTCTTTGGTACAGTGCGCAAGGTATACGCGCGAAATCTTCCTTTTCAGTCTGCACTCCAAAGTGTGAGTATCGTAGCTCGATTTGTGCTCTAAAACTAACCTTTTTACTTAGGAAGACCATACTTTGTAGTTTCTGTACATTCTCATTTCATTGTGTTATTATCCCTGCCACTACTGGATGAAGTTTTATTTCATAGCATGTCACCAAAAGGAGTGATTTTGAGGTGAATTTCGTATCGTCTTCATCCGAAAGGTTTCATGTGCGAATCACAATCATGCAGGTTTGTACTGTTTCATGTTGGGTTTATGTGTCGGCTGCTGTATGTTTTACACTTGCGTTTCGATCTTTGCCTCAAATACTGTACTTTATCAGGTATAATCTGGGAGGCCGAGTCCACACAATCAAACACTTTATAAACTTAGACCTTTATAAACTTAAAATTTATAGAAACTTTGTAGCACTTGGAACTTGACCTTAAACTTTGAAATTAGAACTTTAAAGGGAAAAATACAACATTTGCAAACATCAAAAAATAAAACTACCAAATTATTTTGAAATACCTTGCTGGCCTGTTGGTGAATGACAGTCTTAAGCATCCTGTAAAACCATGGCACCTGTGTGCTGACATTTTCAAGAAAAATGGTATTTTCGTATCAATTTCCAACGCTGGTCGGCCGACCAGCGTTGGAATAAACTGGCTTTTTTCAGTACTGGCCACAATTGACCATATTAAGTTAGTCCACATTTGTTTGCAATTGATTACACACCTATGAACCGGTGCAAGCCTGCTAGACTGGTTCCCTGACCTTACAATATCCCAGTGCCTATAATTTGCTCCGTTTCATCTTAAATGTAGTCAGGGAACCAGACTACATGAAAATGATTGTTTTTCTTGGTTTTCATAGCATCTACGAATCCAACTCGTAAAACAGTCATTGAAACAATATTTGCTACATATTACCAACCCCCCCAAATCCATCCATTTCTGAAAAATACACCAAAAGCAAATGATGTATACATTGTATTCCCTTTAACTTAAGCAATTGGACTTGATAATTTGGAATTTGGGATTTGGAATTACAGTTTAGAAATAAGAGCTTAAGTGTAATTTGACTTGAAACTAATTTTGTGAGCTGAAATTGAGATTGATGTCAAAAGCCAGAAATATTGTAAAGCTTTTGATAAATAAAAGTTTTGTACTATTGGAGCAAGTACATTTTGTTGCCTTGGCGTCCTGAAATCATTTAAGCGGACCTCCTTAATGGCGTACTGCTACAGCGTCGCAGACTGGATGCCTTGGAAAACTTTCAATATTCACAAATATATTATACCTATTTGCATTCCATTTCTTTCTTATGCCTTAACCCTGGCATTTTCCTCTTCCCACTAACTCCAAAAGTTCACTCTTACTTCAACTGACCTTGTAAGGCATCCAGCAGCACATAATTAATTTTTTTCTTTTCTCATTAGTGCCTTAGGCCTAAACCTTATTTTCTTAATTTCTTCACAACTTGAACATTTCTATTTCATTTTAAATGCACTGAACAGTACAAAAATACAAATATAACTTCTGCATCCTTTTCCTCCAATGGAACATCTTCATTGTCTATATTTCATCAGCACAACTTCCTATCTGATCTGTATATTGACCTCATTCACATCTATTCACGTCCCTTGCAGAATTTCATCCAAACAACATATTTATATATTTTTTATAAAGCTAGACCTGATTAAATGTACTGAAAAACCAGTAAAGTTTCTCAACTCTAACTCCAAAGAGCTATGGACACACCAAGTACTGCCATCAACATAGTGCACCCTCCAAGTACTCGGGATGTGCACCAGCTACTTGGGATAATATACAAGACCTTTCCTCCCTAGCGGATGAGATAGATGTCCACTTGACACTAAACAACCAATACAACTGAAAACTCAACTCCATAATGCCAGCCTCTCGAAGGTAAACTAGAAACTACATGAGCCAGTGAAACCTCTGGTATAAAAGTTGGCTTCTATGGCACAGGACCTGAAGTCCTCCAAGGACACCGAAAGCGATGTCGAGTCTAAGCATCCTTCACCTGCAATACCTACTCCATACTCTTCTCAAGACCTCTTCAAAGCTACAACTTAGACATTCATGACACTTTACAATGACTGTTCATGACCCTTTCACAAGACGGATTGTTAACGTCTCATGCAACTGCCTCTTATCTCTGTCATTTACAGTACTACATGTACTTCAAAACAAGACTTGATTCCATGGACCTAGAGGACCTAACCAAAAAAGCTCATTTAAAAATGTAGACAGCCTTCCGCATGCCTGACGTATGTTTAGAAAGCCATTCCAGGCGTTTTCATGCAGTATACATTTCTGAAGGTTTGTATACATGTATTTTTAAAAACATCTTTAATGGATTTGAGCCTTTCTTTGAATCAGGTATTCATTTTATGTCAAATGGCACTACTGCAAACTTACTCTTATTGCCGACTTCACCATGTAAACCTTCAAACCTTATCTTTCATACCACCAAATTACTTCTGAATTACTTTTATTTTATTCACTCTATATAATTCTCGAAACTTTTAATATGTGTATATGTCCTAAGTTTTTTTGTGACTACATGTATATGAAGGTAACACGTCATGAAACTATAGTGCAGATTCCAAGAGCGTCTCTAGCTACCCCTCAACCAGAGTTGTGGTCAAATTACGTGCCACAATTTACCCAGTTTTATGGTTAGTCCGTGATTGGATCCTGGTCGCCTCGTGATTCACTCGAGCAATTAGCTCATGATTGGCCAATGTTTGGCTCATAGTTTAATGATTGGCTCGTAGTTTTTAGCTCATTGGCATATGTTTGGCTCATGGTTGGCTCATGATATGCCCACGTTAGGCTCAATGTTGGCTCACGATTGGTTTTTAAATGGCTCATGATTATAATTCATTATTGGCTCACGGTTGACTTGATCTATGACAGCAGTTCTTTAGAACTATAACACTTCTTTTTCTAATAGGATGAATATCCTTTCACGTCAATGCCTTTTATACTTTCTAATCTTTGTTGTTATGTAAATGCTTCATGCAAAGTAGTTCCTTTATTCAAAAATATACATTTATACAAATACAGAATAACAATTTACGACAGTATGACCACCAAGGACAAGCAAGCTCTCCTACATAATACAGACCGATATGCAATCAAACTAGGCAATGGGCATTATAGCTGTACGTGTATTTAGAGTGACGTGAAGCCATCTACAAACATTTCCTGAGCTAGCGGATCCACAGGTAAAGTTCCCTTGTCAATCATATCAAAGAAGCAGTTGGCAGCCTTAGCACTCAACGCCCTCAAAGCTTGAAGGCGCAGCAACATTTGGCCGTAGTGTTTGGTATCCTGGGGTCGCTTTGTCTGGCAATAAAAGTAGAAGCAATCCATGAAGCGTGCTTGAAGACGTTGCACTACCTCTTTGTCTTGAAGTCCCGCTGCATCTAAAGCCATAAATTTAAACAATTTCAGCTATAGAAATTCCTGAGCACATTCTTTTTTAAATTTTAACCAAATGGAAAAGCTTTTGTTTCTTTATTTGTAGCAAATTTCGACACAGTGGGAATTCAAAGGTCACTCACAGTAAAATTTTGCCTGATATATACGTACATGGACTGCACATGTATTGCCTACATATGCACTTGTGCGAAAAGGATTGCACAAATATGCTGCATGGATTTCATAAGTGTTCAACAGGGATTGCAACATGTGTTCAAACCAAAGTCAAAGTAATACATAGGAATTACGTGTATGTTAATGTATTGAGTAAGCACACGTCAAATGAATGTGCTTACCAGGAAAGGACAGTGTCAACACTTTAAGCAAGCGCAAATTAAGGAATGTGCTTACCAGCTAGGATATGATAATATCAATGCATTGAACAAGCAGAATTCAAAGTGATGTGCTTACCAGGAAATGACAGTATCAACGCATTGATCAAGCAGAATTCAAAAGAATGTGCTTTCTGGGTAATGACAGTATCAACGCATTAAGCAAGCTTAAACCATTGCTATGACGTCACACTATTGTTGAAAGTGTGGATTTGGAACTACAAATCTGATACACTGGTCACAAAGTGTGGATTCTGAAAAATGAATCTTTAGTAAAGTGTGGATTCGGAATTACGAATCCACACTTTGAACATGTCGGACAATTTTTTCCATAATGAGCATTATTAGGACCGTCTGCATGAAAACTTTCCTTCCGTATAATACGTAACTACCAATGAATCTTCACTGACAGATTCTCTGCCGTCACTGCAAAAAAAACTACTTTGAGTTTGAAAGAAAATTGTCGTATGAACTGTCCATGTTGACGTAAGGAGCCTACACACAAAATGACTTGGTAGTACGGGTGTGGCGATACACATGCTTAATACGCCACAATGCTTGATTACGTATTTAGCCTCTAAAAATCCTTTGTAAATAACCTTAATGGCCACGACTTGAGTACGGGAGATATGCAAGTCTTATCATCTCCACTCACGTACTGGACCGTTAATGACAATACTTCTTTTGACGCAATGGTTTAAGTCAAGTGTGGATTCTTAATTTACGAATTAAGAATCCACACTTTCTCATGTTTGAATTCAATAGAATGTGCTTATATTACTGGGAAATGACAGTATCAATGCATTAAGCAAGAAGAAATCAACAGAATGTGCTTACCGGGAAATGACAGTATCAACGCATTGAGCAGGCAGAAGTCAGAATAATCAACGTTCATCTCAGACAGGCGCTTTGCAAAGGTACAGGTGGACTTGATCAATTCAAGATCCCATCCCATTTTGACAGTTTCCTCTTCATTCAGCACCACCCCTTCAGCAAACTGTAGGATCTTATTGCGACAAGTAGCCATTGACCTGCCAACAAAGCAACACAAACACATGATAATGTATGGCACAGCACCACCCTCAATCAAGAGTTTCAGATACAGTTAATTAAAATTACTGACATCATGTTTTTGCAAACATATTTTTTTCTACCTTGTCAAAATTGATGTCGCTATAATGCCATACTGCCAAATAATTTCTCTTCATTCTAAAGAAGACGTGTTACATATACACTATAAACATACAAAGAACTAGAGATATGTGTTTGTTGAGTTACAAACCCTGCGTGATCAGGCTTAAAACTATTGCATAGGACATTGCCAAGTTGAGAATATTTGTCAGAACAGAGAAAGGATCATGAAATAACAGTCGTTTTTAATTTCCAAAAATATTATGCATATTTTGATGTATGATAAATATCAGTTACATTTTATGTACATGAACGTGTTATTTCCGGTTTGATGATGTTAGCATTTAAAATGTGCAAACTGGACACTGATATAGTTTAATAAGAGAGGATGTATGTTCACCATAGGATGAAAAAAAAAATGTTGAAAATGTGGAGATTATAATGAATGTTTAAATGTATGTATTATTAACACCTTACTTCCGGTTTGATGACATCACAGCATTTTGAAGCCCAAGGTCAACAAACTCAACATTGTACTGGTTATTGTTATTTTGTGGTACGAAAATAGTCATTAGGCACAGATCAAATGAAACGTTTGAATTTAAAAGAAAAGAAAACCGATCATTAGTCAATGGCCACAGATCAAAATGATGGATTTGCATTAAAAAAAAAAAGAAAACTGATCTTTTCAATAACTTTCGGTCTGACTACGTCCTGACTTTGTAACCTTGCAAAGTCATTCGCGAATGTTCAAAGAATACCTAAGGGCAATTTGGTCAAATTTTGGCCACAGGTTTTTAAATTCAAAAAGTTATAACTGCCTGTAATGACGCGATCATGCTGGAGTTTTTGTGTGTGTGTGTGTGTGTTTGGGATTCCCCACTAAGCCCTTCCATATTTTGTTTGTCTGTAGTAAAATGCTTTCATTTTCAAGTTAAATTCAATTTTTATTGCACTTCTGGTCACACCGGAAGTAAAGGTCAAACAGCTTTGTGCCCAGGAATCCCCAAATGTCGCCCTCAGGTGGCAATGTCTAAATGATTACAAACAATGAAAATGGTAATTCATTCATTTGAAAAGTTAAATCTCAAAGTATTTGTTCAAATTTTGACCTAAAATGGCTTTTTATTTGATACCTGACGACATCACGATGACGTCACAAAGTTTTTCACATTTTCGGACCAGGTTTCAAGTTTATACCAGGTTTCTTCATCATCCCTTGAATCGTTTGGAAGATATTTAGTTCATTTTGATCTAGGCTTCTACATGTACAATGTATCTGTACATTGTATTTAAAATTTACCTAACTTTGACCTTCAAGTGACTCCACATCCACAACAAACAAATTGTACATCAATTAACCCTTACTCTCTGAGGGTAGTTTACTGCATGTCAGTTGGTTATGCCAATGCCCTCCAGCTGCAGTTATTTGGCAGATAACAAGTCTTAACAGTGAAGGCTCCAATTGGCAGGAGTTGGAGGCCCTGGAGGGTGCCTGATACTGACCAGCTGGGGGCACTCACTTTGTTATCAGAGGACTCTCATTGTTCTCTGTGGCATGTATTGGAGTGCCTGTCCAGTTACCCTTGAAATGACATGGCAGATATTGGAGGGCCATGCAAAAAACATAGGAGATTTTCTTGAGGCACAATTGGCATGCATTGGAGGGTCAAGTAGGGTAAGGGTTAATGGTCTATCTGATTACAAAGTATAAACATGATATTTTATTTGGATCATGGGTTATGCATAATTAATGATAATGGTAAAAAAATGACCGGATTAGGTCATCTTTTACGACAAATCGCTTGTAATTTGATACCTGATGACATCATCATGACCTCATAGTAATGCACACCCGATGGTCTGTGTCTATGTTTGTGCCAAGTTTCAAGTTCATGCTATGTACCGTTTAAAAAAAAACATGGAGAATGCTCGAGGGCGGAAAAAATTGTACAAAATATGTACAATATCAAAACACCTAATACTAATGGACCATTTTAAAACGGTAATCTGGTATTGCCAGATCACCCAACTTTACAAGAGAATCTTTACTATGAGTACTACAAGATGTCTGCAATGAACAGAACCCAAATCTGATGTGTGGCACACACCACTTGCCATCATGTACTCTGCCTTTGGTAACCAATTTATTACATTAACCCTTACTCTCTGAGGGTAGTTTACTGCATGTCAGTTGGTTATGCCAATGCCCTCCAGCTGCAGTTTATTGGAGGATACTTAAATGTAGCAGTGAAGGCTCCAATTGGCAGGAGTTGGAGGCCCTGGAGGGTGCCTGATACTGACCAGCTGGGGGCACTTGATTGTTATCAGAGGACTCTCATTGTTCTCTGTGGCATGTATTGGAGTGCCTGTCCAGTTACCCTTGAAATGACATGGCAGATATTGGAGGGCCATGCAAAAAACATAGGAGATTTTCTTGAGGCACATATTGGCATGCGTTGGAGGGTCTAGTAGGGTAAGGGTTAATGTCACTCACTGGTCATTACAAGGTAGGAACCCTCTGTGCAACCACTTTAATAAATAATTTTATTGGAATTGGTATTAAGCGAACGGATATGATTAGCGTACCAGATAGGTCATCATTTGTGTGGTCTTGTGATGTCATACACAACTCTATCCATTACATATATGTATGTAAAGGCACACAATGCATAAGTGGGAAATGCATTAAATAGTCAATTTCACCCTCTTTTCGAATAAATTTGTGAGATATCCTAAAAAGATTGCAAACTGTTTGCAATCTGTGCACTGGCTCTAACGATGATATGCTCCCATACACAGACGACCCATGTTGTCCGACTACGGTATGTACAAACGCCTATCAGGTAGAGGACATTGAAAAAAAATCACCTTTAATGTGGCTGCACATGACACGCGATGACATAATCATGACATCACTCGTCCATGTACGACTGTACTGTGGGGTCTTAGTCTTGCTAAGTTTCATTAGGATTTAAATCAGTTTACTGTGTGAAATATGTCTATGGGATTTGATTTAAAAGAAGTTAAAAAAAAAAACCAGAACAAAACCAAAGGCTTTTCTGGAACATTCCAGAAAAGCAACAAAATGGAAACACAACATTTTTTATTTTGTTTGGCCTTGTAGGTTAATCCTTAATAACTGCAATGTCCAGCTCACAAGCAACAGTCAATTAGTCAGTTAGTGAGGCAGGTTACACTAGGCTGGCCATCTGGAACCACCCCAAACAATACATGTTAATGTTTGCACAACTGCAATAAACCTAATTACTTTTGAAAAACACTGTGAAATGTGAACTTTTGTTACGTTTGACTCCACTTTACACATCATATTACGCAACGCAGGGGGAGGCGGCTTCACCACCTGTCACCTGCGCCGCCTGTCACCTGCTTCATGGTGGAGCAACTCGTGTACAACTCGTAAACACAAACCCACACAGACTTGTTCTGTAGTTGTTGGGACTACACACGAGTTGTCCCATGGAACCATGGGACCGAAGACGCTGTGGGGACAGCAGAAAGTCCCCACAACTTGGTCCTAATTTACTGACAGTAAAAAACTTCCCCATAACATTGTGACAGCCCACTCACACATACCAGCAGGTTTGTTCATGGTGTAAATCAAGGGTTTTCTGTTTCTCCTCATCAATCTTTTGTTTATACTTTTCTACACGTTGGTTTTGTACACGTTCTCTCATCGAGGTTGTCCTCGATTAATGACTCCTGTCCTTAATTACTCGATGGTGATTCACATCTGTGTCCTCGATTTACACCATAAACAGGCACACACATACACCCTTTCTTCTTTATAGTATAGTGGTGATATAAGACCACATTGTTTTCATCCGACAAATTGTACCAGTTTTAAGGGTATTGTGCAACGATAAGTTAACTCTTACCTGTAAGCCAGCCGGAGAATATTAAGTTCCATAAAGGAGCTTTTCAAAAGACACATTTGATCGCCAATGCTAAGGTCTGTGAAGCCAGGCACTTTCTTAGCCCATCGGATGATGAGTTGTAGTTCTTTGTAGCCACATTGCATCATACTACTCGCTTCATCACTGGCCTGCTCACCCACTGCTTCATCACCTGGCCCTTCCACATCTTGTGATCCTGACAGTTGAAAGATACAAATACATTATCAACATCATGCAGAACATGAGGCAGACTTTCCTTCAATGTGGGCATTGGAAGGACTACAGAATATAATTTATGCTTTATTTAAACGACCCAAAAAAAAACCTCAGGCCTCTGCAACCCTTTGAAAAGCGCTTTTGTTTTGAAATTCCTTCAATATGGACCAGTCTACACTAAAAGAACTGAACTATTGTCGGGCCGAGTAATTATTCACTGATTAAGCATAAGGCAACGTTTTTATTACAAAATATAGCTACTTGAACAAGAGAAAACTATTTTTCCAGGTGATGTTCCCTTTCAACGTGCGCATGTTGTGATTTACACAGTTACAATTTAATTCTCAACCATGAATATCTCAGGTCTAATATACAAGTATTGACTGCTTCTGGTGGTGTATCAAAACTAGCCTCCTGCACCAATTCATGGCATTTTTCTTTTTTGCAAGGTGAAGCTGATGAGAAATGGAACACTTGGTGGATCACATCTCACTCACAGATGGAAATGCATTGAAATGTTTGAAACCAACCCTGTAGCACATGTGTAAATGGAACTCCAGTTGCTATGTTGGTCGTTATGTTGGTTGTTATGTGTATACTTTCTCAGAGTGAGGCTGCTGTGGTCTAGTCTCTTTGGCTGTGCATGGTAATATAGTAAAATAGCAAATTTCACGTGCGCGAGGTGACATTCCTGTAACATCATGATTAAGCAGTTACAAAGTTTGCTTCCAAACCAGGGCTCTGGTCACGGCCTCCGCTGAATGCAATGGCTGTTGTCAGCAATCAGCAGGCCTCTAACCAGTTTTTCAACATCCTGTGCAAAGTGCACGCATGTGGCAAGAGCGTAGTCTCCTAAAACTTTTTAAATACCGCCACTTTAACACTGAGCAATGTTTAAACAAATAAAACGACTCCTGTGATGGGGCTCTTGAACAATGTCAGAACAGGTAAACTGTCCCAAGTAACAGCATTACCTCCTACTGGTATGATGTCTGGTCTGGAGGCCTTCAATTCTTCCAGTAGTTGCATCATATCATTGCTTTTGTCAGGAGCCATGATGTCATCATGTCTGGAGTCCTGCTCTTCTGATGACGACGCTGCATCCAATATGTCCTCGCAATGACTCCTCTCTGTGCAGGCATCAAGTACAGTTGAAGATAAGATGGGAAGTGTACATATTTAAACAAGTTTTCCCATTTGATAGCAGTGGGTACCACGACCAAATGTTTTTCTTGCCCTTGTCCATGTTTAATATGTACTGTATGTTAATGTTCGGAAATGCAGACTGAACTTATAACACTAGATGTAAATGGTTTTAAGACTCGTCTCACCTACCTACATGTATGTTGAATCTGTATGGTCCACTGTACGTAACACGTGTTAGTCCATTTTAAGTGGACCCCATTCAGGAAGACAACCATTCATGACACTGGCTTGTACGTACAGGTTGGACACAATTTTCAATGTTTTCTACACACAAGTAAAACCTCCAACTCATGTGCAATGGTAAGTGGGTTCTTGGGCAAGACACCATGAGTATAAATGGGTACCTGTTAGAGTAAAAACCAGATTTTACTGATCTCAAGCTGTTGCAGAAAACTGGTTTCATGGCCTGATAAACAGGGGTCATAATTGAAAATTTGGTAAAAAGTTCTTTATTAGCACCACATATTTATTATTATTTTCATGTACAAAGTGAGTGATGGTTATCTAGGTCATACCTGTAGCTTGGTCTTGTGCTTGAGGCTCTGGCTCCAATGCTGGTGTAGTTGGATCTGATTTGAGCTTTTTAGCATGTGGTCTTCCACCAGGTGCCCTGTCCTCTCGTACAGCTGCAACAAATACAGGTCAATTATTGACCACTTCACTTGAGCCCGTGTGTCCTTCACATACATCCCGGTCCACTAGCTTGACCGTCCCCCCCCCCCCCACCAATCCAACTCCCCCTCGACCAAGGCCCCTCCACAATCATTTTGAAAATCACATTTATTTGCTAAAATTGTGCACCACTCAAAAACAAAATGTGAAAACTTCCAATAAGTCATCATTATGGACTCTGTGTATGCACATAGATGGCGCTTTCTGACCACATGGGACTCGCTGGAACCACTTTACTAAACTTATCTAAAGCCGTGTCCGAAACGGGCTTCCAGAGCTACGGCTACGTCTATTGTCAGCGCGTCCCCGCGTATTTTCAATGGGCGCAGACCTAGATCTAGCTCTAGACAGCTGATTCAGATGCAGCCTAATATAGTCCCCCACTCATTTTATGCAGCTTCCACAAGTTTTGCTACATGTAGATAACAAAAAATAAATAAATCACTCCAGTTGGTCAACCAACATTACAAGTTTCATAAAGGACAAGCTGGAAATGATTGCGGAAACTGCAGGGCCAACAAATTTCTGTTCATGCATGAGTGACATGTAATTTCTTGAAGTAGTGTTTTGAGTATAAAAATTAGGTTGTTAACCCTAGTGACCCCATGCTGTGGAGATCCATTAAAGTGAGACAAAAGAGGGCCAGGGCCTGAGGGATAAGTTGATATATAGCCATGCGATGCTCTCATGTTTCTTACTATCCAACAAACTGACAGAGAGATTTGTTGAGCTGCTGTCCGCAGCTAAAAAAATTAGAACCACTAATAAAGATTAGTTCAGTATATCAGTGGAGTTAGATTGGGGGGACAAATTCCCCTGGGGGAAGAATCCCCTAGCTTTGAGGACACATTTCCCTAGGGAATTCTTCCCCCACCCCCCTTCCCCGTGCCCCTGGACCATGGGGGGGGGGGCAGAATCCCCTGCCACACTCCCATTGACAGATATTCTGTATAAATGATCACTCAAATTCCTACCTCAAGTGCCACTTTGTACTTACCAGTCACATTCATGCCCACACTAAGGCATTTCTTGTATCTGCAATGCTGACAGTTGTTGCGGCTTTCCTTTGTGATGAGACATCCGCCCGAATGGCCGATGCCACGACATGCGTACTTCAACTGTTTCTGCACTGTTCGCTTGAAGAATCCTTTACAGCCTTCGCAGGTATTGACTGAGTAGTGTAACCCTGTTGCTTTATCTGAGCAGACCATGCACTCATTGTTGACAGTGCTGGATATATCCTCATCAAGACTACTTGTGACTGATTCTGCAGCTGTCGTTGAACTGTTGGGAAGCTGGGCTTCTGTATCCATCTTTGAAGTGCTCAATTCAATGCTGCATGATCAGTTTCGTATTGGCTACGGTACCTGTACATGGTCAACATAATTCAACTGATAAGAAAATGCACTAGTCTGTTGTCTGTGGCATATGAAAGGTTTGTCTATTATTCTGCCATCCACAACAATGTACACTGAGCACAGTCTGTGTCGGGGTGTATCAGCACAAGTTCATTGCCATCACGTGCATGAACCAGCAGTGAAGAATTTGGAAAACACAGTGTATCGCTACATGTACATGCAATACGAGCAGTATAAAGACCTTGTAACAAATGCATGAAAATGGAAAATAGGCCTACACAGAAAAAAGAAAGACAGTGTTAGGCCAAAAAAAAAAATATTCGGTCTCTGGTCAGACCAAAGTTCCGGAATTGACGCGGCCACGCGGCTTTTGGGGGGGGGGGGCTTTTTTTTCTTTTTCTTTTTTCAAGCTTGGATTGTACAGACAAGGTGGGTACTATTTTTCTTTTTTGGTGTCCTCATGTACATTGGTGTCCTCCATAATTTGCCTTGGTGCTTTCGATCATTTGCCTTGGTGCGATTTCCCATTCCTTGGTGCTCTTTGGTAAAAAAAAAATGAGGAGGTGCGGAAATAGAGGGCGCTGTTGGAGCTACCGCGGAACATTTTGGAAAAAAAACAGATCAACGCGCATGATTAAAATCGACGCGCGCGCTGACCAGAGACCGACTTATTTTTTTTTTGGTCTTATGTGAATTAACTTGCAGAAATGTTCTTTGCAACTATGTGTGCGTGACATTATGTCAAAATTCAACCATGTCGCCAAAATGAATGAACGCTGTGTACGCCAGCTGTAGACTATTCCTAGTCCCTCTGTTATCATGGCTATGGACTCGAGGCACAAAGTACCCCCCGAACGGTTACAAAAGAGTTGGGGGACGCCACTGAGAAGTGAGAGGGACAAAATTGAAAATGTTTCTCAGTCCCAGGTTCGTGTCTTATCATCATTTTTGCAACACTGACCATCATTGAGATGATATAAAGGAAAAAAGGCGTCAGGTTGCAAATATTAAAGGGACCCTGTGTCCTGGAACAGCCCAATTGGGCTACAAAACGCGCTTTGAACGAGATGATGTTAATCGGAAATAACATTTAAAAGAAGAATATAAACATCCACACAACTATCCTTTCAAAACTGGGCGTTTTTGTGCTATTCCTGTATTATGCGTGGGAGAACGAATTTCGGCTTCGGGGTCCACTTTTGCGACCCCAGAAATTTGAGCTGTTTGGATGCTACATGTAGTTGTGATTTCATTCGTAAAGTGTTTGCCTTTTGCGGCCTTTGAAGAAACCACTTTTTCTTGCATTGGTGATTGGTCACCGCGCGCTGTTCCCAAGACACATAACCTGTATATCGTACACTGAGAACGACACGAAAAATTGAAGTATTCGTACTCGCTCATGTCAGATGTAAACAAGCGGGGTTTTTTCGTCTTTTCTCGGGAACGGTAAGACATCAGGTTGGTTTCCTTCAACCAGATGTTTGAAATAGGCTAAGAAAACAATCCAAAACATGAAATATTCAGGGATTTCAGGACCTAGTGCCCCTTTAATCATCTCGATTGGAGGTCAGTCATTATATATAGTACTTAGTAGCAAAAATGCAGAGAATCTGGGGCTAAGAAACATTTCCAATTTGTTAGGAAATACTTCGAAAATGTTCTTGACTATCCATACACTCTGTACAAAACCGCCGAAGTAGCGTCAGGTTGCAACATTCATTCCAAAATGCAAACTTACCTCCTTCGTTTTAAGGGTTAAATTTTGCTCAACGTCTAGACGTCTTGGGTTTGTAAACATAGGCCCCTACATACGCCTACGTACAGCCATGGAGCTATAAAGCTAACGTACGTACGTACGGTCGGCGCATGCCGCGCCGGTTGTCGTCCTGAAATAAATATAGCGCCCCCTGTTGTTTGAGTAGTTACCATGATACAAGGCTGATATGGATCAATGAATTCATCTGAAACCAAAATTGGAGAGACCGGCTGGTGATCTTGAAGTTAAGGACACGTTGTCTGTATAGGTAGTAGGATTCACTTTTGTAGCATCCCGGTTCACCTGATTTATACTTTGACCACCACCACTGACCACGGTTTATAATTCTTCCAACATCGTGGTGTTACTTGTACCGTCCAGTCTTTATATAGAGATCAGTGGTGCACACCGAAATCTATTCCTAGCCTGCGAACGAGCTCATTATTCAGTTTGTGATCCCACCGATGATATTTGTGTGTCGGTTATCGAAAAAAAGACAGCCCCGTTTTTTATTAACCTTATTTAGTTGTAATTCACATTTAAAAAAGCACTATGTAATTCCGTTTCAAAAAGCACTATTTAAATTCAAATTAATCTAGGCCCCCCCCAAAAAAAAAAACGTTTTGTATCGGGCACAATTCGAAATTTGCCGGGCTGAGACCGAAGTGACCTTGTGTGTATTTTTGTCTTCGCTATCACGGGTGATTATTACTTCTTCTTTTTTTGTACTATTTTTTTTATTATTGTAATAACAATATCACGCATGTTATTACATTTAATTCGAGTGATTTTTGGTGGCTCTTCTTGAATGTATTTCATGATTCAGTCGCGGAATAATTGCCCTGCTGGTAGGTAGGATACATGTATGTGGGTGTAAACCCATAGAAGTGTTTGTAATTTTGCCAGGTACGCCAAACTATTTGGGGAGATACTTAAACACAGTGGCCAAGTATAAATGTTAGTATGAGGAGGATTGGTTGATGATGCAGTTTTTGCTGATGATTGTGCCCTCGTGGCACACTAGGATACCCACATCCCGCACATCATCACCAGGTTCTGTTAGGCTAAACTGTTTGGCCTGACTATCAGCGTTGACAAGTATGAGGTTCTTCACCAGCCCGCTCGGTCACAACTTCAACTGCGCCCACAATTTTCATTAATGGAACCCAGCTGAAGAATATGGACAGCTTCAAGGCAACGGGCCGCTTGCGCGTCAGAGTACCCGACCATCGCTCCATCGGCTGCCAACAAAACTATTGGTGTACAGAGCTAACGTGCTCTCCTCTCGCATGCGAGACCTAGACACCATACAGACGCAACATCAACAAACTTGAGATATTCCACATGCGCAGCCTTCGCTCTATCTTGAAGATCCGCTGGAAAGACAGGATACTTGGAGGTGCTTGAGCGAACCTAGATGACGAGCATTGAGGCAATGATCCTGATAAGCCCAGCTTCGCTGGACTGGGTACAGTCATCAGGATGGAATCCAGGATCCCTCGGCAGCTGCTGTATGGCGAGCTCAAACGAGACCAAAGACACGGTCGCCCCAGAAAGCGTCTTAAGGACGTCCAAAGCCAACATCCAGCTCGTTGGCATCCTTCCAAGAGACCTCGAGGCGGCTGCACGGGAGAGAATGAGATGTCGAACTGTGACCCGTACTGCCTGCAGAACCTTTGAGGACAGCTGCTGGCAAAACACGGAGGAAGCAAGAGAGAGACTTCAACAGGCAGTGCCAGCGGCACAAGCAGTGGCAGCCACATCGGACTTTCTTGCCCCTTCTGTACAAAATGTTGTGCTTCTACAATCGGCCTACACAGTGTAACCGGGGAGAGTGGAATTTATTAGTTTAAAATGTGGCACTCTCCTTTCAACCGAGGGGTTCCACTAAAAAATAATTTGGGTAGAGCGAATGTTTCAGTAGTCTCAATAATATGAAATGTTTTATTTATAGTACAAATTTGAGACAATAATTTTATATACAAATGATCAGGTACAGTATTTACAAAAAGAATTATACTAGGAACTTTGGTGAGTATATACAAACGACTTTGTAGGGTGTATAAAAACGACAGTCAAAAAGGGACAATAGGGTAATGAAGTTGCTCCAAGGATAGTATCTGAAATGCATAAAAACAATAAATGACTAATGAATTATGGGAATAACTTTCAGATCCAAATACATTGAACGATATTTAATTCCAAGAAATTTGGGAAAAACTGGTTTCCTTATTTGTAAATCAAAGAAAACTTTTTTATAAATACATCAGTCAGTAAACAGAATGTTGCATAAAAATGACTGTTGCATAAAAAGATTCAGGCATAAACAGCTTCAGGCATAAAAGAGTTTAATAACACACATGGGATTTACTCACCACTTGGGATAATCTACGTTCATGTCTTCTCCGTGCTCGATGTTAAAATCGATGTAGAAGCAGCAAAAATATTGCAAAATGCAATGCCGGCAACGCCGGATATAAAATTATATTGCTGCTATCGGTCAGCCGCACCAAAATCTTGCAGAAAAAGTGGAGTGTGCAATGCTCGCTGTAAATGCTGGTCGCAAAGCAGGAGCAGAACCAGGCAGATAGATGTCAACCCAAAGCAGAGTTGGAACGGAATCAAAGTTATTTCGCAGCTAGCCTTACAAGAAAACTAACCGAAACGCCCGGAATGTCAGCTATTTCTCTTAAACAAAGCGCGGTGGAATGTAAAACTCGCATGCTCGCTACGCCCATACATATTTGAGCAAAATTCTAGGCGGCGCGCGCAGTGCCAAAAAAAGTTTAGTTGGCCGCGAGAGGGCGCTAGGCAAAAAGCATGATCGCAATGGCTGCTCACATGTAATGACACAAACACAAAGTTAAGAAGTTATGAAATAATGCTGGAGTACATGGAGTAAGGAACCTGTCGGGTAAAAGTAAGTACTGAAACCCGACCTGGTTACAACAGTCACATGAGGGGGAAAACAGATGAGTCGCAAAGATAACCAAATGAAAGTTACATTAAAACTAACTGAATAACACCAAATTGACTGAATAAACATCTTACTTAACATGTTTTCTTCCCACTAGATTCACAAGTACAATTTCTAAAATGCGTATCAAAATTGTGAAGTTGAATTTACACTGACCTGTACAGATTATGTTCAAGTTTAAATTTCAGCAATGTGCCCAAGGTGTAATTACATTAAGAAAACTGCTAAGACATCAAAATATATGTCATGTCTTTACGTTTCAGTCGTGTGTGACTTAATCTGTACACGTATGTTGATAAGTTCACCGACAGTCACTTTTCAAGACTTCACTTCTTCCCTTCGGCTTTTCAAAATTCTTCAATTTCCAATTCTTTAATTTCTCAACATTAACATATTCAACAATGCACCTAATTATTCACAGTGATTGTTTCTAATACTTTATAACCGATTGACGATTAAATCACCAATGAAGTTTCACTTTTCTACAATGTATCACTTTAATATTAATCACAAATTGTTAAGTTTCTAAATTCATAATTTCAAATTCAATTCACTTTCAACCTTTCAGTTGGCTAACTCCCAATCCTCCTAAACATCCAAAACTGTTACCAATTTCTCTGCTTTCAAATTCTCAAAAATTATATTTAATTCTCAAATTCTATTGAACCTTACTTCTTTCTGATCAATCTCGGTCTTTCTTCCAATTATTCTTTCAATTAACTTGTAATTTAAAAAAAAAAATTACATGCACTTGTATATCAATCACACTTCATTTTGTTCGAGCTCTCTGAAATAATATCACTCTAAATACGGTACTTATTTTTAAAAAAAATCTATAACAAAATGTTGTCTACTGACACTCATTCAAACGGGCCTTGTTTTGTCGACCGTAAACTCCGTGGCAAACACTTGATGGCGCACTGTATTGTGAATAGCCCGATTTAACATCCGGGATTAGACTGTAAAATTATTAATATCCGGAATTCAACGAAAAAGTAGAAACGATTTCTTTCACAATAAACACGGGGGGAAGTGCACCGGAAAAAAAAATGAACATGTGCTGGACTGCATAGTGACTGAACTGTAACTGAACTTTGGTTTTTGTCCATGATGGTGTACAACCTATGCAACTGGCCTCACGCTCAAAGGTTGCGAGATCCCCCATCTTGTTGGATCCCTAGTAAAAAGGGCCGCATCATCTGCATATAGGAGGTCGGTAAACCTGTGGTCGCCTACATCAATTCCCAGTGTATCCTCACACTGTGACAGGATTGTGTCCATGGCTGAGCAGAACAGGGTTGGTGCCAGCACGCAACCATGCCGAACTCCGGAGGAAGTCAGGAAGGAGGTAGAGAGGCCGTTGCCAACCCTTACCTTGGCTCTGGTTTCCGAGTGTAGAGCTTTGACGAGATCTAAAATTGTGCCCGAGATTCTCTTTGAGGAGAGGATATCCCAAAGCTGGCTCCGGTCTACAGAGACGAAGGCTGCCTTGATGTTCACGTAAGCGACTGAAAGGGGGTGATTGTACTCATGGTGAAGTTCAGCAAGTACACGCAAAGCAAGAATTGCATCTGAAGTGGAACGGCTGGGAGTAAAACCTGACTGCTGTGGTCTCTGAAGGGAAATAAGCAGGGGGCGAATTCTGGCGAGCAGAATCTACGCAAACACCTTGCCAGAAATTGAAAGCCGGGTGATGGGGCGGTAACTGCTGCAAGCCATATTTGACCCTTTCCCTTTATAGAGGGGAAGAATTATACCATCTTTCCAGTCTGCTGGAACCAAACCTGAGGACCAGATGTTTGAATAAAACCTTATGAAGAGCCCTATTATGGGCATCTCGGTAGATTTAAGATACTCAGGGAAGATGCCGTCCTCTCCTGCAGCACGACCTGACTTTAACTAAGGGAATAAATATGTGTTCGGGAGGTATTATAACACTCTGTTTAAGACCGGTGGGAGTCTGGATGGGTGATAATTAACCGAGGCGGTAAAAAAAAAATCTTTTCGGTCCAAAAATCAAAACAAGTCAAAACTAGACGTTGCCAATCATTTTGTTTAACAATTTTACTTCATGTTTTACGAAACACCCCTCTGACTATAATATGGAATGCCCCTCCACAACTCGTTACCTCATAAAGACACTGGCTTGCGCGTCGCGCGTACTGCGCGATGTCGCGCAAAACGCAGCTGGGCTGGTGTAGTGTGAATTTCCGACCATGAAATCACTAATTCACTGGTAGTATTGTGCATGCATAAAAAAAAAGGTTAATTTTTCTGCTATGCTAAACACAACTTTTGTGCTAACTGTTAAGCAGCGCCGTGAAATTGGGCCCAGCAATGTCTTTATTATCCGTTTAAGACCGGCCACATGACGAGCTTTCGACCAATAGAAATGCGTAAACTGTCTTAGGTATGTATGAATTGCGAATAGCGAATAAAACTTTACCCAGAGACGGGGGATCGCAGGCGAGATCAGAGACCACAGATTCAGGAGGTTGGAATACATGTGGTCTGGGCGTTGCTGGTAGAAAGTTCAGAAACTTTTTGAAGAAAAACGTGTAAAAAACCTTCAGAGAAGAGTCTCGGGGGGGGGCAAATTTTAACGAAAACAAGAACTGTTACGGCTGACTTTACGAAATACCTAATGAATTAAATAATCACTTGTGACAATAAACACCAATAAAACCAAGATTGACGCAGTAGCAATAATGGGTCATGGCAACACGTTAATCAGACCGGAAGACCTGAGTGCTCAATATTAGCAGAAAATCGTGTGCCATGAAATTTGGCCTGTCGAGGGGATCGAGGCGCGTTCGTCGGTGCTATGCATCAACACCCCATCTCCCCCCCCCCCAAAAAAAGTAAATGAAATAAATAAATAAATAAACAAATATATAAATGAATAGCAACAAACAGTAATCAGCATATACATGTATAAGTACACCAGTTCACCGGATCGACACTGGAAATATCTGTATACTCTGTCCGAGGAGGAGACACTGGTAACAGCCCATCACAAGCCCTCCACCGTCTTCAGCAGTAGCCCAATAATGAGCGGTAAGAGGCAGATAGTTGGTACCAGGCCAATCACGATAAACGCCATGTCGTAGCTTCCTCTTGCTTCGTATATCAAGCCTATCAATAAACAATCAGACGCCAATATGATTAATAACTTTTATATCAATTCACATGCTGATTCACTGTTTTCTTGGAGCTTCGGTTTTCAAATAAAATAGAAGTTTTACGTCGGTAACATTATTTTGTCTTTAAACGCAATGTTTGATTCACTTGTTTTATTTATCGAGTCATTTATTAACACCATAATGAAAAAAATTGTACTATGGAAGAAGATCAAGCTAAAGAAATCATGTCTATATCATGTATCTCCATCAAATGTCTAAATACAAAATATTTGGTACAGTAAACCATCCTAGGAATGATCGGCATTTTACTTACCAGGTACGAAACCAGCAAGAAGTCCGGGTACGAAGAGGAAGACCTGACCCCATACGAAGGCGCTCACAAGTCGATCCATTTCATAGATGTCTCTAGTCAAGACGTCCTGGAGTGTGTACAAAGCGGCGGTAAACAACCCACAGATGAAGGTGACGACGGCATAGCTAGGGATGTCATTCACCCAGGGATCTACAACAAACGACATAGTCAGACATAAGCTGCTGACGATGATCGCTGTTGAGCATTTCATGATGCCTTGGTCGATGAAACGTGCCCAGAATATAGACCCAAGGAAATATCCGACGGCAGCTGCCGAGCAAAGAGCAGCTGCCACTTGGGGCGGGAAGCCCTTGACTTCTAGATGAGGAACGTAATACAGCATCCAAGCATTGAAGGCAAAGGACACTCCGAAACGACACATGAACGCAATCCAAAACTTGAACTCCAACAGTATTCCCAGATCTACAGCTTTTAAGAGATGAATAACAGACGCTTTACAACTCTTGTCGATGCTATCCTGGTGGTTATCTGAGGCTTCTGAGCTATCCATAAGAGGCTCGTACTGTGCTTTGCTGACTCTGACTAGGGCAGCACTTGATATTTGATGCATACTGATTCCAGCAATAAGCAGCGCCGCTCCTCTCCAGCCATATGTGTCAAGGAAAAGCTGCGTCATCGGTGCAAAAACAAGAAGGGAAAACGCTTGCCCAGCATGGCCAATCCCACAGGCCAAAGTGAATCGCTCACGGAAGTGGCGTCCTAGTAAGACTTTGTTCAGAACCATGATAATTCCAACGTTTGGTCCTAAAAAAAAAAGGATCCGGATGGTACATTAAAGCTATCTTAGTGATTTCCGAGCAAAGGTGGCGGTGTGTATACCAACCAAAATGAATTATTTCAATGTTTAACTATTTCAGATGTTAAAGATTTCTTTCTTTTGTATGTCATCATAATTCATACACAACACTTACCCACCATGACTGCCAATGCCAGAGCAATGTGAATGGTGGTTCTTGACAGAGAAAACAACAACAATCCTATGCTTTCCACTGCGCTGGTGACGATTAACAAATGTCGACAGCTGAATCTTTCATCCAACGGCAATGTTAGAAGACCTGAAATCAACCAGGGTATAATGGTAGCCATTTCGGATCGTCCATATGTCCTGATAATTATCCAGTCACCTATATGCCTCTGAAGATGTTTTTAAGTAAGGATATGTGAGTAGAATCCCCAAAATAGAATTTTCAAAAATAAGACAAATTTAAATATGCCAAAAACTGGGAATTAATATATTACATAGCAGCTATTTACGATCGGCAAATAAGTCACCCCTTCTACATATCTTCTCTGTGGCTATAAGAATATGTCTGCCAAGTTTGGTGCTTCGGACCAGCCGGTTACGATTCCGACCATAAACCACCTGACTAATGTGACACACGCAACATGTATCGTACATTGACTGAAAACGACAGGAAAAAAGTATGCGTACTCCGCCGTGTCCGATGTAAACAACCGGGGTTTGGGGGGGGGGGGTCGTCTTTTCTCGGGAATGGTAAAACATTAGGTTGGTTTCCTTTCAACCAGATGTTTGGAATAGAATAAGAAAACAATCTGAAGCATACATTTTCGGGGATTTCAGGATGCAGTTTTTAAAATAAAAATTATAAAATGGTTTTGCTACATTAAAGGGTTAATACTATACGTTAACCAACAAAAAAGCATATCGTATCATCTTAAAGCAGACGCTATACTTGACCTTCCAGGGTCACGCATGATTGAGCACCATTGTCTTGAAAACGTGGTACAAAATTTGACTTAGTTTACTTTCATGTAGAACTCGAAAAGTGTTGCGAGATGAAAGAGCACAAGCGCATAGGCAGGTAACAAACTGATATGACAAAATACACCCTTTATATAGGTATATACGCGTGTGAAATACAAAAGTCTACGATCCACACGTGTACAGAAGTCAAGTGATCATAACGTTGGTTTTACAAAGCAGTGGCCGTCCGTACGGGACTTTTCAGTGATGAATATGCAACTATAGCCCAAGATTGTATTTTTTCCGCGACCCAGTTGATCAACTGGGACCGCAAAACTTTCAATCGACGCCGGGCAGACATTCCACAATTTCGGTAGTTAACCGGCTGTCCGTACGTACTGGACTTAATCAACAACAGTTTCCGTTATTTGAACCAAAATAATTAATTCCAATGTGAACGCTGTTTCAGAATAAATTTGATAATCAAACTTTAAAAGAAAACGTTGCTGCTGTACCTCCAAAATTTGACGCTATTCCCATCAGCGAGGCAATAATGCCAATGATCCAGATGCACGTGGTGAATTGGTCCGTCAGCGTCGGCAACAAAATGCCCAGACTTTTGGCGACACATCCCCACATCAGATTGGCGGTGAATGAAAACAGGACGAGGAAACAACCATTTGTATCGAATTCCATGCCGAGGTTTTCGGGTTCTATATACCGCAGTACAAAGGTGTAATTCTTTCCACTGAGACTCGAACTTAAGTTTACCAACTGAGACTCGAACTTAAGTTTACCAACATATGTTATGATGATGTAGAACTAGGAGGCCCAAGACCAAAGTGGTTAAAATAGCCATGCAGCAAGAGTGTGTATCTATAATAGCCGCTAGACAGAACTGCGTACAATTGTTCAGAATAGAGTACGTTATGGGCCGTAGCTTAGCACAACAGCTGGTTCTATCATGGTCCAATGCTTTCACCTTCATCATGAAAGGAAGCCTCGAAATATAATAGCGAATAAGGGCATATATGACCTCGGCTAGGCTTATTGTGAAAATGCGTGACCTTTTATATCAATTGTGAAAAGGAACAAAATGATATGACTTTTCATGATAAAAATCATCTCAGCCTACACATGCAGGTGGATCCATGTTTGGATCAAGAGGGGATTATAAGCTACCGGAAAGGGGGGGGGGGATAGCCGGCTTGCTGTGTTTTCTGCATGATTTTTCCTTTCTTGCGGCCCAAGGTAGTGGGTGACCTCCCTAACCCCGTGTTACTTCGTGTTATCATATAAACACTCTAGCTACATGTATATAGAAAGAAAGTACCCTACTGTAAAAATACCAAACTACAGAGGTCATGCAGTCATGTCAAGCAGTCATGCTTCCAGATAGTCTCGAGTTCATGGGTCGAATGAATAAAAGCTAGCAAATGCTAGGAAGTTGAAGCTAAAAGTAAAAGCATTTACTTTGTAAAAGCAGTAAGAAAAAGCAAATCCTTGATTCCGTATGAATAAAACTTTTCCTTTACTGTTCAGCTTACTAGACAACAGGTAGCAATTAATAAATGCCCCTTACTGTTGGATTGTAAATGATTTGACATAACTTTTGTGGCCCATTTTATAGCTTTCGTGGTGTAAATGGAACTGGTTCAGAGCATTTTGACTAGAATTTGAAGGTCTTACAAAATTGAAACCGCTGCGGTCGATCGGTGCGGCTTATACGCAGGTGCGGCTTATACGCCGACTTCAAATCTTAATTTGCAGGTTTTTGCAGGCTGCGGCTTATACTCCGCGCGGCTTATATTCCGAAAATTACGGTAATTCTTTCCAGTAGGCGACCGAGACTCGAACTTAGGTTTACCAACATATTTTATGATGATGTAGAAGGCCCAAGACCAAAGTGGCTTAAATAGCCATACAGCAAGAGTGTGTATCTATAAAAAGCTGCTAGACAGAGTCATGGAGTGTAACTGCGCAGCTGCAGCCTCTGCAAAACCTATAGGGCGCCCTCTTCTGACAACTCGGATTGTACTTGTTGAAGGTAGCAGACCAGTAAATAAACTTCCATAGACCCCAATGGTAAATGCTCCCACTTCAAAAATTCGGGAAAAATACTCACAACTCTCCAAGGTGTTCGAGACGCACATCAAATTAAAGCTTATTGCATCATCTTTCATTTTCTTTTCAATTTTCGGGGGGTCAACTGATGACTTTTAGGAGAAATTTCCATCTGAAGATGATCACCCCTGAAAATAGTCCTGAAGCCCATCGCCATTTTGAAAAACGATGCCTACACTCCATTGCAAAATAGAGCGCTTTTAGGGTCCAAATTACATCAAAATTACACAGAACTGCAAGCTCCCAGTCCTGTGCACGGCTTCCACCCATATTTTTTACAAACCCTCAAGTTCATGGCCCACAGCATGCCCAAATACCGAAGATTTTGAGGGCATGCAAATCGTGATTTGGCCGGCGCAGGCAATTTCGGACCGATTTACTGGTCTGCACCCTGAAAGCACATTGTTTTAGTAGCCATCTTTATTGCATGTTTTATATTGTACTCCAGAGCGTCCAAAAAGGACAACCAGAACCTGATTGTTTTTAAGGCCTAAATAACCCCCAGAAGAAGCAAGGAGGTATTGATTAATGATTACTCATATCATTGAGGACTTTCTAGAGTCTTTTGAAGCGTTAGTTTATTCAGTTTTTATAAGAAAAGTACTGGACTCTCATTTATATGTTATTTGCATGTAAACATAGTGTAATTCCATGATATTGAACTTTGTATTTGGATTTGTTCTTGTAATTGCAGTTTTCATGGAGCTCTGCCACTTCATGTTTCGTATTCATTGGATGGAACTGTAGCCTAGATCACAGAGCCTCAATTATTGGAGATTATTTGAACTTGAGCCTGTGTGCTCTGATCCCTAATCCTTGAATCCTTGTTCTGTATTGGAGCTGTGTTACCAAACTACCATACTGAAGTGAGAGCTTTACAATACATTCTTGAAACGGCAAGCTTCTGTCGAGACCCTTGTTTATTTGTCTTCATCTTATCTTGCGAGACACTGCGCCCCCTAGTGGCACACCTTAACATAGGCCACCGACTTCATGCAAATCGATAAGGCTGCCGCTACAGTGAAAACTCCGAACATAACTTGAAATCATCAAGAACTACGTGATTAGCCTGTCCTCATTTGGAACCTGGAATGCTGAAACATTTTGAGACGAGACTTTCTACCCACTCACCTTAAATCCATCCTGGCTTTGATGTGTTTCCTGCGAAGAAACCGGAACTACATGTACCTGTCGTTCCTGTGTACTACGAGTGCGACAGTTTTGCGAATTTTCCTCTCACCGTCCCCCCCCCCCTGTCATTATCACTGCGAGAACAGCCAAGCAAGAGGACATGCACCGACACCGTAGGAGAGAGGGATTATTCTCTGAAGCTGTATTCTGAACTGCTGGTCCCAAGGACTTATTTGAAATAACTTTTGTTACACAATCAAGTTAATTTGTGTGCCTTGCGTATAATAATTATTGTAGATTTGCATCACAAATTGTAAGCATAAAATGGGAATGTTTCCATCAGCAGTAATTGTGTAACATACAGACTTGCATATTGCAGTATTGCGGAATTACAGTATTGCGGAATTACATTTGCTCATCATTGTATCATAACGTGTATTGTACATGCGTTTCATACATAACCTTTTTTTATATGTAAACAAAAATGGGTATGTGTATACTGTACAACATACATGTATCTTGTATGTACGTTTAACCACTGTTTATGTGATGGTGCATACTATTAACATGAATGTACATTGATGCATACATTTTCACTTGAAGGTTTATCCCAGTACAGTAAATAGGTTCTGGCCATGTCACGCACAGACACAGACGAAAGCAATGCTGCGACTGCCAAGGCTGAAGGAGGTGAGGATGGAATCATGGAAATGGAGTCGAAACCGCCCGAGAAAGACAACTTATAGAGAAGGGTGGCAAGTCAGCCTACATGAGCGGAGGTTCCGAAGTTCCCTGTCAGCCTGGCATAGATGTGCCAACCAATTGAAGGAATTATTATCAGATTCAGATCATGTCTCTGCAATTAAAGCTGGACGAGATGCCATGCATAAAGCCATGCAACAGCTGCAGGAGTCAAGTCACCAACTTGAAGAATTGCAGGCAGCAGAATATTGGGTCAGTGAACTTTGTAGAAAATATGAGAGGACTGAAGAAGAAAACCATCATCTTGTGAAAAGAGCTTGCAAACCCATCATTGACATTGAAGATAATCTGCGTGAGATGAGATCCAGAATGTCTGAAAAAAGTCATTATTCAAGACGATCTGCAAGCTCGAAAGGTTCCGGTGCTATTGACAGAGCTGTTGTTGCTGCTGAAGCTGCAGCCCTTAAAGCCAAGCTGAAATTCGCTGACATAGAGGCAAACAAACGAGCAGAATTGGAACTTAAGAAAGCAGAACTCGAGCAACTAAACACAATGAAAGACTTGCACGCTGCAGAGGCAACATTAGAGGCAATTGATCAGGCACAAGATCAACACTTGTTTGGCTCCCAAGGGAGCCTGGCTAGTATACCTGCACAAGAGAAACGTGCCCTTGTTGCAGATTACTTGATGAGACGAGGGGAGCTTAAAACAACACCTGCATTTTGCATGAAGCCACCGTCAGATGCGAACAACCATGCGAACAATTCTCCAGTAGATCGAGATGCCTCACACTCCAGCATCTAAGGCAAATGTTGAGCAGCCAATGACAGGATCTTCGATGTACCACCCTCAGACCATGCAAACTTCAGACAAGTGTGGAGCCACTAAACCTGCCAGCAACTCTCAAAACACTACTGAGAGCACGAACAATTCACCACCTCTCACATCTACAACCCAAGTACATACTACTGAAGCGGTTTCAAACGAACCACAACAGCAGCTGATAGACTTTACCAAGTCCCTTGCGAAGCAACTGAGCTTAAGTCGGCTGCCCCCTCGAGAACCAGGAGTGTTTGTGGGTGATGCACTTGAATATCCCAACTGGAAAAGTGCATTTGAAACACTGATAGAACAACGTGGCATCCCCTCATCAGAGCAACTCCATTACTTGAAGAAATACACTGTAGGTGCAGCAAGAGGGGCAGTTGAAGGCTACTTCTACCTCACTGCCGACGATGCATACGACCAAGCAAAGAAACTACTAGAGAAACGCTATGGAGATCCATTTGTCGTCGCAAATGCCTTCAGGGACAAAGTGGATTCTTGGCCAAAGATCCCCCCTCGTGATGGAATAGCCCTGCGAAACTTTGCGGATTTTCTGATACAGTGTGAAAAACTGCCACAAGGACCATTGGCACCTTAGATGTTCTCAACGATGAACGCGAAAACAGAAAGATGCTCTCCAAACTCCCTGACTGGTTAATCGGCAGATGGGCCAGAAAGGTTGCGGATAAGAAGGAACAAGATGGAAAGTTTCCTACCTTTTGCGAGTTTGCTAAGTTCATTGAAAAGGAAGCAAACGTTGCGTGCAATCCCGTGACCACCCTGCAAGGCCTGAAGGGAGATGACAAACGATACAAGTCTTCAGAATCTCACAGCAAGGCTGACAAGAATGTCGAAAAACGAACTCCAGGAGCTAATTCCTTTTCTACCAGAGTAGATGAGTCTCCATCCAAGGGGCAGAAGGGAAACCACATGCAGCAATGGAAGGAGTGTCTTCTATGCAACAAGACCCACTACGTAGACTCCTGTCCTATCTTCCTGTCTAAGGAAATAGGCGAGCGTAAGGAGTTTGCAAAGAAGAAAGGCTTATGCTTTGGATGCTTGTCAAAGGGGCACATGTCAAAGTACTGCCGACGAAGACTGACCTGCAGAACTTGCTCTAAACACCACCCTACATCCCTGCATGGCGACACCAAGGAAGAGGTCAAGATAAGTGTGAACTCAAGTGCAGAAGGAGCCCAACAAGAACATAAAGCAGTCAGCTCAAACACTCGAATAAGTCTCTTCAGCGGAGTTGAGGATTGCAGCCAGAGCTCAATGACTGTTCCCGTATGGATTTCCCATTGTGATCGACCAGGACATGAGCGACTAGTCTACGCATTACTGGATACACAATCTGATACCACATTTATCCTAAGAGACACATGCGATGCTCTTGGCCTGGATGGACCAAAGGTTCATCTTCTGCTTTCTACCATGACTGCGAAGGAGCAGAGGGTATCAATCCGCAAGATTAATGGACTGCTCGTGAGAGGATACAACAGTGAGACCAAGATTCCACTACCAGGTGCATACTGCAGAGAAGCCATTCCAGCTAATCGTGATCACATACCGACGGCAGACATGGCCAGAAAATGGCCTCACCTCGAAGGAATGGCAAATCACCTGATGCCTGCAACAGAATGAATGGGTTTATCATCCCAAGAAACCGGGGAAGATTCGCGTGGTGTTCGATTGCAGTGCACAGTATAAGGGAGAGTCCTTGAATGACCATTTACTTCAAGGCCCAGACCTAATGAACAGCCTCGTCGGGATACTCTGCAGATTCCGATTGCGTCGAGTGGCATTCATGTGCGATTTCGAACAGATGTTCCACCAGTTTAAAGTCGAAGCAAGGCATAAAGATTATCTGCGATTCGTATGGTGGAAAGATGCCAACTTCAACAACGAACCTACAGAATACCGAATGGGTGTACACCTCTTCGGTGCAGTTTCATCACCCGGATGTGCAAACTTCGGCCTGAAACAGATCGCAGAAGACTACGAAGCTAAGTAAGGCTCAGATGCTGCAGACTTTGTTCGACACAACTTCTATGTTGACGACGGCCAAAAGTCAGTCCCGTCCACATCTGAAGCTGTCACCTTGATCAGACAAACCAAAGAAATGTGTGCACAGGGCGGACTACGACTGCACAAGTTTATCTCGAATTCCAGAGAGGTCATGGAAAGTGTACCACAGGAAGACCGAGCCAGTAATGTGAAAATTCTTGACCTCCTCCACGATGCCCTTCCCATAGAAAGAGCACTCGGAGTTGAATGGTGTGTGGAATCTGATGCATTCAACTTCCGCATTATCTTGCGAGACAAACCTTTGACGAGGCGTGGAATTCTTTCCACCATCTGCTCCATCTACGATCCTCTTGGCTTCGTTGCTCCAGTCATGTTGGTGGGCAGACTCATTCTTCAAGACTTGTGTAGAGTTCAAGCTGACTGGGACACCCCCTTGAATGAAGAAATGAGCTCACGCTGGGAAAAGTGGAGAAAGGACCTACCTCTTCTAGAGAAACTCAAGATTCCACGATGTGTTTGTCCGATTTACAGCCATACGTGGCCCAATGCGGGTGCTGAGGTCTGACCAGGGAACAAATCTAGTTGGCGCAAGGTCAGAACTAAAGCGAGCACTAGAAGAAATGGATCATGACAGGTTGCGACATTCCTCATTGAATGTGGGTGCGACTATCCAGAATTCAAGATGAATGCTCCTACAGCTAGTCACACTGGGGGCGCATGGGAAAGGCTCATTCGGTTCGTGCGAAGAGTTCTCCAAGCTCTCATGGAACACTCGGGAACCCAGTTGGATGACGAGTCTCTCCGAACCTTCATGTGCGAAGCAGCAGCAATAGTGAATAGCAGACCATTATCGGTAGCCACTCTGAATGAGCCCACCGCCTTAGAACCTCTGACACAACCACTTGCTCACTCTGAAATCAAGTGTGGTTCTGCCACCTCCTGGCGAGTTTCAGCGTGTCGATGTCTACTCCCAAAAACGTTGGCGAAGAGTGCAGTATCTAGCCAATGAATTTTGGAATCGCTGGAAAGGGGAGTTTGTGCAGACTCTTCAAGCAAGACAGAAGTGGACACGCAGGGTACCTGACGTCCAAGTCGGAGATGTTGTCCTGATTGTTGACAACAATCTACCCCGAAACCAGTGGCAACTTGGTAGAATCTCCGAAGCTATTCCTGGCACTGACGGCCAAGTCAGAAGAGTGAAGCTTGTTGTTGCCGACAGATCCTTAGATGTCAAGGGCAAACGAACACGACCAGTGACAACCCTAGAACGCCCCATCCAGAAGCTTGTCTTGCTTCTTAAGAGTCAGGAGCACTGGGTATTCCCCATCGGGGAGCCTTAGTCCCAATTTAGAGTTTCGCGTTGATGAGTTGTGTTTGACCAGTGTTCGAATTATTGAACTTAGATTTGAAGAGCTCTTTAACTAGTCGTGTTTTTTAGCAAGTTGTTGAACAGTAGTTTATACCTTTTGATCTTAACACACAAGTGACGAGTAGGAATAGATATCCAATGTCAGTTTGTAATAAGGCTTTGAATTGGAAAAATTAGAAGTCACTAATTTTGGGGAGCCATGTAACTGCAGCCTCTGCAAAACCTATAGGGTGCACTCTTTTGACAACTAGGATTGTACTTGTTGAAAGCATATTGTTTTAGTAGCCATCTTTATTGCATGTTTTATATTGTACTCCAGGACCAGAGCATCCAAAAGGACCACCAGAACCTGATTGTTTTTAAGGCCTAAATAACCCACAGAAGAAGCAAGGAAGTATTGTTTAATGATTACTCATATCATTGAGGACTTTCTAGAGTCTTTTGAAGCTCTAGTTTATTCAGTTTTTATAAGAAAAGTACTGGACTCTCATTTATATGTTATTTGCATGTAAACATAGTGTAATTCCATAATATTGAACTTTGTATTTGGATTTGTTCTTGTAATTGCAGTTTTCACGGAGCTTTGCCAGTTCATGTTTCGTATTCAATGGATGGAACTGTAGCCTAGATCACAGAGCCTCAATTATTGGAGATTATTTGAACTTGAGCCTGTGTGCTCTGATCCCTGATCCTTGAATCTTTGTTCTGTATTGGAGCTGTGTTACCATACTACCATACTGAAGTGAGAGCTTTACAATACATTCTTGAAACAGCAAGCTTCTGTCGAGACCCTTGTTTATTTGTCTTCATCTTATCTTGCGAGCCTGAGCCCCCTAGTGGCACACCTTAACATAGGCCACCGACTTCATGCAAATCGATAAGGCTGCCGCTACACACAAGGGCGGATCCAGAACACAATTTTTGGGGGGCCAAAAAAAAATTTGGTCCCCCCAAAAAAGTGGGTCCAAAAAATTATGGCGTGGGGTTCGGGTCCCGCTTAAGGGCCCCCCCAAAAAAAAAATTGGATTCTAGATGCTCTGTGGTGCGATCTGAGGCAATATCTGACCAATTTAACCAATGTTTTTTCAGGAAAAGATGGTGGTGTACTCATTGCCTGCCTTTATTGCGATGTCATGAAAAAAAGAAAAAAATGGTTTCGTTTTTGGGGGGGCCATGGCCCCCTTTGGCCCCCCCCCCCCGGATCCGCCCTTGGCTACACAGAGTAACTGCGTACAAAATTGTACAGAATAGAGTCCGTCATCGGCCGTAGCTTAGCACAACAGCTGGTTCTGTTTTCGCGTTCGTCATGAAAGGAAGCCTCTTTGATAGCATAAAAAGGGCATGACCTCGGCTAGGCTTATTGTGGAAACTCGCGACTTTCAATTGTGAAAAGGAACAAAAGGATATGACCTCATGAAAAAAATCACCTCAGCCTACGGGCAGATCCATTTTTGGATCAAAAAGTGGATTGAGTTGCCGGTGGACGATATTTTTTCCGTACACATGGGCGTATTTTGAAGTACGTCGAGTCGCAAGTCAGGTTCTCGGACTTTATTTTCCCTTGAAAAAAATCCTCCAAACCACCACATATTGGTAAAAGAAAAAAGTTCCAAATGACTAACAAACCTTTATAAGAGAAAAAAAAAAGAAGAAGAAATTCAAAGCATCCAATGGGAATCGAACTCACACCATCGGATTTGTTATCCAATGCAGTATCCATGACACTACACACTCTCAAAAAGATATGTAAAAAATAATTAGGTTAAACTTGTTATGTAAAATACACGCCGGGAAAAAAACGAAGTCGAAAAACATGTAAATTGTAAAATACATGTTGAATAAGAAAAGCAGTCAGTTTACCTTTATTATGTAAAAACGTACTGCCATCAGGTAACACTCAATTTATGAAACACCCCTCTGACTATAATAAATGTCCATCTACAACTCCTATCCTTGTTAGGAGTGCGTTCGATTACTTCCCCCGCGCTTACTCGTGCAAGCGCGACAGCGTTCGATTTACCTCTCACGTGACTTCTCGCGCTTACTCGAGCCTGGCCCAAGTAACCGACTCGGGTAAGTATCCCATAAGGCCATGCAATAAACATGGCTGTCGGCGGGCGCCTCAGACCGTGTCCGAAACGGGTGGGGGGAAAATGTTGCAACCTGGCGCCACTTTTTTTCTTTATATATCATCTCAATGAAGGTCATTCATTGCAAAAATGACGATAAGACGTGCAGCTACTTTCGGTCTTTGAAGATAACATTTTCCTCAAGCTCTTTGTGATTGTCATACCGTCCCCAATCCATAGCAGTTCTTGGACACTTTGCAAGATAAGATACAACAGTACAGGATGCGTAACCCATGGCGTATGTATTCATTCCTGTATTCATGCGTGCATACTCGCCGTGGCCGAGCTGTGGAATACAGGTCAACTCGTACGCGAATTGCGAACCATCTCGTATGCGGTCAAACTCGTACACAGATTTAAACTCGTATACAAAATTATATGTGGTCGACGATTCTTGACTATGTACTGGGAACGGTGTACCGTTCAATTTCTTGAAATTGGCTAATTTTGGCCGGCATACGAGTTGGCTGGCGTACGAGTTGTCTCGCTACGAGTTGGTTCGCGTACGAGTTGTATAATACGCGCAGTGGCCGAGTTAATGACGATACAACATTTGCAAACATTTGCACAAAACGAAATGATCAAATTATCATGAAATACCTTACTGGATTGTTAGGGAATAACAGTCTAAAGCATCCTGTAAAATCAGGGCTCCTCGTGTGCTATCATTCTCAAGAAAAATGGTATTTTTCCAACGCTGGTCGGCCGACCAGCGTTGGAAAAAACTGGCTTTTTTCAAAACTTGCTTCTAATTTTTCATAATTAGTTATTCATTGTTTTCTTTGCAATGGATTGCACACCTGTGAAGGGGTACAAGCCTGCGAGACTGATTCTCTGACCTTACAATTCCCAAAAGTCTATAAATTGCTCCGTTTCATCTTAAGTGGCGTCGGGGAATCAGACTACAAGAACATGATTGGTTTTCTTGGTTTTTCCAACATCTACAAGCCCAAAACGTGAAACAAGTCATTTTAACATTTTTTTGCGATAACATATTTTTTTACTAATCCTCCAAATCCACTTATTTCTGAAACTTGCAGCAAAAGCAAATGTTGTACATTCCCTTTAAACACACTTAGGCCTATATTAAGAATATCCTGGGGTTTTTATCGTACAAAGTGTCCAGGCATTTCTGGAGCTTGGGGACGGTATAACAATCCAAGAACTTTAGAAAATGTTACCTTCAAAGACCGAAATTAGCTGCGGCACATCCCCTCGTTGTTACAGACGTCACGGTGTACTCCATCTTCACTTATGCTGTGCTGTGCTAGCTGCATCGCGTCACCGCGTGTACGTGTGTACCTTGTTATTAGTACGTTTAAAGTACGTTTTCACATAATTAAGGTAAACTGACTTCTTTACTTATTCAACACGTATTTTTCAATGTACATGTTTTCGAGGTCCTTTTTTCGGCGAATTTTACCGAAACAGTGTATTATTTATATTACAATTTTTACCTAATATTTTTTTTTACATAGGAAAGGAGTATTAACGGGGACTTTCTTTTCTGGTTGAGTGTAGTTGCTTTAACGTACTTAACGTACTCAACCAAAGGGTCATTATGTTTTTTCAACGATGGCAAGATTTTCAGTCACTCACCGAGGTAAACTACTACTTCCGCTGCCGGGAATCTACAACAACAGACATAAAGGATGACTAATACACACACCGAGTGACACTATTTTTATCATGTAAGCGTATGGCTGTCTCCGACTCGAACAAGTTTCTTTCTAGCACTAATCGGGAATGGATTAGGGTAACACCGTCCTCAACACTTTTAGATTCTTTGAAGCAGGACCTACTTTGCGGATGTATTGAGAACTTGAGGATCAAGTGTGGCGATCAGCATGGGATCCACAACTACGGAAGCGATGTTGTCTGCTGCAATGAGCGGTGACACACAAACAGTCACAAGATGCATCGACGAGGGTGTGAATGTTAATGCTAAGGATATTCCATTACTGGTAAGTGCGACATGTTTGAACAGAGGAAATGTTAAACAAAAACAGATCGCAAATCTTTTCCTATACGAGCAAAGCTATATAGTGGGCCATCAAAAACAATTGGCGGTTCTTCAAGTTTGACAAAATAACCCTTCTAGGATTTCGTGAATGTTTGGGTACTGTTCAAACCCCGCCCCTTTCTCCCATTTGTCATTAATGTCCGCAAAACCATATGTCATTGAAAGAAGCATTGATACAGCCAAGTCCAATCCACATTAATGAAATTAATTGAAACCCAGGTTGTGTCACAGCTAATGACTTTGTCAGTAGGTTTTAACAGCGACGTCGTGTGTCAGATGATTTGCATATCTGCACCTTTTGTCCAAAGTATGAGTTTCTTCTTTTCATCAGTTTGCTAGAACACCATTGCACTATGCCGCTGGTAGTGGCTATGACGTCATTTGTGATCTACTTCTTCAGGCTGGTGCAGACGTCAATGCTGTGGACAAGGTATGAAAGGCTACAACAAATCGGTCCCACAGTTATTGTTGCTATAGCAATCTTTTTGGGTTTTTTCTAAAGTAAGTTTGAAAGTAGAATTTTGTTAAGAATCTGTTTTCTCGTTGATATGTGAGGAGATTTATTTCCTATTTTTGACTTTTTAAATACTGAAAAAGAAATCAAAGGATTTCAAAGAACGGTATCAAGGCAGATAATTTGAAATCATGGGCAAATCAGAAACTCTCACGAGGACTGAGACATATTAAAATATTGCGTAAGTACGTGTTGGTTGCATCGAGAACTAGTTGATTTTGCTTCAAACAGCAACTTTTTTCATGCAATGTTCATTTGAATTTATAGTTTATTCTTCTTCTGTCTTTATGACATCAGAGGGCGCCCTAGGCCTCGCGTTTCATCCCGATTGCGCCCCCATACGTTTAGAGTTACCGCTTCACAGTGTAAACATTTGCTCATCGATCCAAGGCGCTGGTGGCCACTTATTATCTGGAAGCTCACGTGGGATGAATTATGTCCACCCAATGCTGACGGAGTTCAATACTTTATTACTACACGTACGCACCAGCCTCGTTCCTACAGTGTGTCGCGCTCCCACTACGACGCCCAGTTTCATTGCGCTACTTAAAACTTAATAGCGGAAAGCACTGTTTCATGGTGTGATGTGTTAACGGTTACGCGTACATTTCTTTTGTTACGTTACTGATTTAAGCAACTGTTTACTCTGAGGTAAAGCGTGCCCTTTGTCTGCTTACTGCTTACTGTCTCCACTAGACGGAGGATTTGTTAATGGACAATTATGTGCTTTTGGGCCCGGATGCAGGTGTTTGTCTGTCTTTACATCAGTGTGTGTGGTGTTCGGGTAGAGACAGAAAAACTGTTGCTAAATGAGATCTTTTTCCTATTCTTTTACCATTTTTTTCGGTTATAACGTTAAACCCTTACCCATTCAATAGGAAGTATACTTATAAGCAAAATAGAAAACGGAGGATTGTTTTTCAGAGTTGACGTAAAATTCACAATAAATGATCAAACACTAAATACACGTTGGAAATAAAATTACAAAGATCCAGATATTCGCTCCATTCACAAGTACCCCCTCACCGGCAAAGAAAGCACAGTTGGGGGTGACCGACCGACGCCATCTTGCCTGACTGCAATTTTGCCGCGACGCGCTGCCGTACCATGTACCACTGCGTGTACATAGTACAAAATCCCCTGGTGTACGTGCGTCACACACAAGGAATGGTGCACGTCAACCAGCTAAATCCCGCCCATGGGAGTCCCATGGGACGTCAATGCTAGGTAAAAGGGTGCCCTCTTTCGTTGGCGCACGGAGCCCATAGATCCATTACTTGCTATTAAATTCGAATCAGGATACAGAAAGCAAGCTTCCCTCCCAGGGGCTTCTATTGGAAACAGTTCGGGAAAAAAGATCCGTGAGACGAGTTTGTGCGCGCGCAGGGTAATTTCAAAGTACATTGTGTTACAACTTTTCCTCAAAAAAGATTGTTTCGAAACTGTTTTTGCTGCATCAACAGAATGGAAGAAGTCCGTTACACTACGCCACCAAGAGCGGTCATATCTACATCTGCAAGGCACTGATACGGACACCGCGTACATCACTAGAACTGAATGATCAGGTATTGGAATAGACTATACGTACATAGTTAAAGGACAATGGTTTTGTATCGCTAACACAGAGTCTGCGAACATGTTATACTCACACTGTTACCAATTTAAATAAACCCCCATGAGATATCTCCATCGCATATAAGGATTGTAAGTGTTATTATTAATGATGTGCTTCAGATGTAAAGCTTGTTATATTCTTGCTTTTTATATTTTTGCGTGCAACCTACGCTTATATCAGATTAAAGAAGTGAATGAGATTAAAGACGTGAGTGTAATTGAAACTCAATTGCATTATGCAAAGAAGACATAAACGAATAATCGGCCCACAACTTATCAGATGTTTCAAATTATGAATTTGGAGCGTCATAGTTCAATAAGTATACTATGTATTTTAACATTCGCGCTCAGTAGAATGAAAATGTGTATGTTCTTTCATAAAAATAGTTGTTTTATAAATCGATTGCATGGACAAATTCAGACTGAACCCGAATCGCTCTGCTTCACTGATCCAGTGCTTTTGTGTTAATGGTGTGCTTCAGATGTAAAGCTGTTTATACTCTTGCAGGTGAATTTGAAACATGATTGCTTGAAATAGTTTGCATTTGTATGTCTTTTATCAGTTTGGTGACACGCCATTGCTGACGGCTGCTTCGTGGGGCAACACGCTCATATGTGAAGCACTCATAGGTGTCGGTGCAAATGTCTCATCAAAAAACAAGGTCTGATATCAAGTCAAAGTCTTCTTTTTAGGAAATGAGAGTCTACTATAAGTGCGCAAGAACAATAAACGTAATCAGTAGTTCTAGAAGTCCAAAGCGAATTTGGTAGGGACTGTACTTTATGACGGCATGAGTTTGATGGAATTAAACGAAATTTAGTTCAAAGATTAAATGTTTTCAAAGCAACAAACTTGTGTGTATCAAATCTATTTATAGCAAGACCGTTGTTACACCAACCACGGCGAAAGGCCGATTGGGCAAGTTGTATCAACTCAATTGTGAGGCGACTAGAGGCGATGCCACTTTCTTATTTCTTGTTCAAACCTTTATTTGTGTATCCAGCAGGCTACCTAAATCCAACCCTTGTATTGAATTACGCCATTTTGCGAGTTCCGCTTGGGGGAAGTCGAATTACCCTCTCTAATTGTGGAATGGTCCACTGAAAGCCAGGCCTCACGAAAGCACCTTCATACATTTTCGTAGCCTTATTAGATGGTTCGTAATATATCTTTGATTTACCGTAGATATTTCAATAAATCTTTAAATTACAATGACTTATCTGCAGCGTGGTCGCACCGCCCTGCATGAAGCATCAGAAGCGGGTCACGTGGACACATGTAAGGCTCTCATTTCCGCCGGTGCGAGCCCCTTCGATATCGATCAGGTATGTATTTGAACCTCACAAACAAATTGGATACTCGATAGTCAACTATCAAAACTTACCGATCTTTAAAACAAAATAAAATAACAAACACAAAACACACAAATTGGACTAGACTTCAAAGGTTCAAACAAGAACAGTTTTTACTCTCTGACGTTATTATTTCAGTCTTGCCTGAAACAGACGTCAAAAACTGTATCCTGAAAATGAAAACCAAACACTTTCCTTTGTGAATTATTTGCATTTTTTTATCTATAGCTTTCTGACATATGCATTTAATTTCATTGCCTTTTATTACAAATGATAATGTCAAGCCCCAACTATACCATCGGTCACAACTTTAGTGTTGCAGTTGGGCTTAGCGTGGCATGTTAAATAGGGCAAATTTACGAACCATGCAGTGCGTGCACGTCGGTCGCACTTGCCGTTAAGTTCCTAAGAAATAAGCTTGTGTTAAGTTACTGAATTTGTATTTCCGACATAGATGGAAACGGTGAACTAACCTTTAAAGGATTTTCACCTTATCCGACAAACATTAATCTACACATTATGGCTTCCCAATATGTGAGTGACACATAACCAGTTCAGCACTTCTTCAACACAGGACGGTTGATGATCTGCCAAAAATTGTTACTCCTTCAAAGACTCCGTTTCTTTGGAAAGATGCCTCAAGTGATGCCTGCAGACTATAAAGAGAAGTCATATGTGCTGCGTTTATAGTTTCGGATTCTTAATTTTAAAAAAATCATTTTTATGTTGGACAATTAAACTGGGCTTTAATTTGTATGAGATTTGGTTCATGAAATAGTTTGAGGATTTTGATGGCCAAATAGTATTTGTTAATAGACTTTTGTTTGCATTATTTTATGTCCCAGTCTGGCGTAGAATAATGATATTGTTTTTATCACAGGGATGCAATACACCGCTTCATCTTGCGGCAGGTAGTGGTGGCAGCAGGTTATGTACCATGTTCATGGATAAAGGGGCCGATATGTCTGCTAGAAACAAGGTCGGCTCATTGCTTGCTGCTATTGGATGCAATGTCTCCACATTTTGAATTTTGTTTTCTCATAAATACAATTTGTCTGTGGGAAATTCATTCGTTTATAAAATGTGGGCACAATTTTTGCATGGGGCATCAGAATTAACCGGGCACCATTTTTATATGGCTGCCACGCCCCTAAACGGTTGTGTTCGCGATTGCTCCACATCTGGATTTTTTCTCATGAATGTAAATGATTGTGGGAAGTTTTATTTATTTATGAATTTGGGAACAATTTTTCCATAGTTGGTATGATGTTAAATCCCGCCCCCTTTCCCCCAATGTGGTTGCCACGACACTGAAAGGGTATGTTTGAGATGCTCCACATTTGGAAATGTTTTTCTCATGAATGTAAACGTCTGTGGGAAGTTTCATCCCTTTATGAGATGTGGGCACTTTTTTTCCATGGTGGGCATGAGTACCCCCCCCCCCCTTTTAAAAAATGGCTGCCACGCCACCAAGAGGGTACTTTTGCGATGGCTCCACATCTGGAAACAATTCTAATATTTATATATAGGCTAAATATCTGTGCCAAGTTTCACGATTTTATGAAAAAGTGCACAATTTTTTCCCAGATCTGCTGAATGGCTAGTGAAATTAATGATGATGATCTTGTTATTAATTTGTTTGACACATTGATTTACATGCGCAGGATGGAAATACACCCCTTCACACAGCCTGTATGAAGGGACATGTTCAAATCTGCCAAATTCTGCTAGACGGCGGTGCAGATGTCACAGCACGAAATCAGGTATTATATAACAAATTCAGTTGTGACGTGATAGTGAGATAGGCCTTTGAAATCAGTCTCAGGGTTTTTTACTTCTAAATTGTCTACATAGTGTCCAGACATGAAATGCATTAATGGCATCATAATATGACATAACAGCAATGATCACCTGCAGACGTTTTAACCACGCAACCAACGGGATTGCAAGTGCTGGCTAGTAGCTAACGCTGATATCTGATCAAACGTCAAATAAATGCCATGAACTATTAATGGATGGTTTCAGGCTGGCGATACAGTGCTTCACATAACGGCTGCGTATGGTAGACTTGAATGCTGTCGAGTGATTCTACGGAACACTGGAGATATTTGCGCAAAGAACAAGGTAAGTTTATCTCATTACGACAGCTTCTAGCTATAGAATCAAGCACTAAAAAGTTTATGTCTTGCCTGCATAAATAAGTCGTTTGCACACGAAATTTATACAAGATAAGTTTAAGCATCAGTTACTGCACTGTGCATGGATCCCTTTTGTATTTATTAAGTTTGCTATGCACGTAAATGATTTCCTGGGTTTTTTTCCTTCTTCAGATTGGCAACACACCGTTACATGTAGCAGCAAGCACTGCAAATGCAGACATCTGTAATTTGTTCATCGCAGAAAATGCAGATGCTCTGCTCAGGAACAATGTAAGACGTACATGATGCTGCTAGAGTTAAGCAAATACCAGCAATTATAATACGTAGAATATTTTCTCCGTAAACCCATACATTTACAGTTCTGGAAAAGGGCCTATACTCTATTATGATGTGCTGGTTTTCAAATATCGATATATAATTAACATGGATGCAGGTGATACTAATTACTGTTCGGTTTTAATATACCTTGTCCCAAAAATAAATGTCGTTTGCTATCTATCAGACTGAACCATAGTTTTGTTCAATCATGGGTACCTGCAGGATGGAAAAACACCCAAAGGACTCCTGCCTCGCACATCTGGTAATGCTGGTAAGATCATCACACAGACAGAAAAGGTATGCACGTCATTCTCATGTTTATTTTCAATATTTCTTTTAGGTAGAAAACATATACTGGGTGCAACAATTACGTAGAGATTAATGAAGCTCTCGTTTCTCAGAGTTCTGTTAAAACAACTGCACAGTTGCACACCTTTGGCATCACAAATTAACTGACAACTAATGGTTGTACCTCTTTCAACTTGTAGCCCTTTTTCAACAGTGATTTGCGTTTACTTTTGATATTACAGAAGCAAAGGTTTGACAAGTTGGTTCAGATGGGTACTGAGCCGGTGAATATTGTTAAGCTGTTCCTTGTCGGAGATCCCAAAGCAGGCAAGACAACATTACAAAAAGCTCTTATCAAGGTACATCATCTGCTCCTGAACCTAATTTCTTTCTGCATGAACGGAATGTTTCCATTTCAAAACCATTGGCAAAATGCATCTCCTAGACAGGTTCTAAAGTTACAACGCATGTTTAGGATTACTTGCTTCCTTTCAACTGAGCTTTTTGTGTTTATCATTACATCTGGATCAATAGCTTCCAGGAATAAGTACTGTACATGTATACCCTTGCCATAAATGCGGAAGTAGTCAGTAGCAGAAGTAGCAGTGCTGGTGGCAGAGGCAATATGAGAAGTAATGAGGTAGCAATGATAGAAGTAGTATCATGAACAGTACAGAAGAAATGAAGTATCATGATCTGCTAGCATTGTGAACAGTAATAATATATAGAAGTTGTACACGTAGAAGTAGAAGTAGCAGTATACTGCAGTAAAGACACATCTTTACTGCAGTAGTTAAGACTACAACAACAGACTGGTTTCGCAAAGATTACATGACACAGACTAAATGTCTATACGAGTCGGGTTCCAGAGGGAATTTTAGGTGCTACCAGAAAAAAAATACTGCACGGCAGCGAGCTGGATACTCATCGGGATGACGTCAAATGGGCGCGTATAATTTTTACTTTCTGGACGCGCGGCGGAATCGGCCAATGACATTTTGATCAGGAATATTTATGAGGTGTAGTGACATAACAGTAGCAGTATGGTACTACAAAAAAGAGCAACAGAAGCATTGTTTGATATCATCTTGCTTTCAGATAGAAGCTTTGTGTCAAACAGTAAATTAGAATAAAATATTTGTTTTACATTTTGTTCGTTTAAATTAGTATGATAAATAATTCCAACCTTTTTTTAACTGTCATTGTGCAGAGGCGGCAATGGTGGCTACCAGGCGATTGGCAAACTTTGGCTACTGACTATTGTGACTATCATGCCACACCAGGCATTGAGCTGTGCAAGCAGTATGTACCAGGGGCTGGAAACTTTGCATTCTGGGATTGTGCAGGACAACTCGAGTATCACGTGACACATGCCATGTTTCTTGGAGCCCAAAACTGTATTTATCTGCTTGTGTATGACGTCACCAAATCAAATCATCTCGAAGGAGTACGTTTGGGTAATTTTGTTTATAAAATTATATTTATTATATCATCCCGTTTTAGAATAGCAGAATATTTGACAATCATTTACACATATCCGATTTTAACATTTCTTAAGATGGGATATTTAGGAAGTGAAGGCCTAATAGAGGAATAACCAGTCAAATAAGATATTGTTTTTGCCTCAAAGTCTCAAAATAAATGACACAAATTTGAGTAAATTCTGTCTGTGAACATGCATGATCCACACAAATACTGATGTGCAAGATCCATAATGTAGAATCGATTAAAATATCGATATTTTAATCATGGAAAGCTAACGAACCAAAATAGTTTCCTCCCAATTACACCATGGTATTCTCAATGTACTTATTAGTTGCGCAGATGGTTGGCATTTGTGAAAGCAGGACATGACTATGCCTACCAGACGAAGCCTGACGTAGTTATTGTGGCTACACACCTCGACCAAATGACCAGCAAAACGGATGGTAACTTGATCATATTCAACCACATCCTGACACTTTCATTGTGGGGTGGGGTGGGGTGGGGTGGGATGGGGTGGGATGGGGTGGGCTGGGCTGGGCTGGGCTGGGCTGGGCTGGGCTGGGCTGGGCGGGGCGGGGCGGGGCGGGGTGGGGTGGGGTGGGGTGGGTGTGGTGGGTGTGGTGTGGTCTGTGTGGTGAGGTGTGTGTGGTGAGGTGTGTGTGGTGTGGTGGGGTCGGGTGGGGTGGGGTGTGGTGGGGTCGGGTGGGGTGGGAAGGATTTGTGTGGTGTACCGAGTATATAATCTTTTAATGTTATTTCTCATGCAGTTCCGAAAGGATGAAATTAACATGTCACTTTGACATGCAGGCTTAGGTTTTGTGAGACTGAGTTGCACAGTGAAATATTACTTGGTTTCGTCAAACAAAACATGGGATTTTAAGTTGGCCTTATACCCTTTCTTCGCCCAATTATGACTAACCGCTGCTTTACCATGTAGGTAAGACACTGGCCGCTTCCATTTTGCAACATGTCAGGGCTGACTTCAACAACCACCTGGATATTTTGAATGACGTCATTGCCATAAATAGCATCAAGTTCGCTTCCAAAGCTATGGCCCGATTACGACACACCCTGGAATGTCTTGCATCAAGGATAAAGGTATGAACATTTATATTAACAATCTACATGTGAACATCTTGCAGGCAAATCGAAGGGGCGCTGTTACATATGTACTGCTGCTTGTAGCCCCGTATCTAGCGTTTGATATTATGTGGATTTTAAATAAAATACCACGTGCAAGACTCTGTCATGCGTTTTGCCCAAGACTCTGTCATGCGTTTTGCCCAAACTGGAATAATTATACAACCTTTCCATCGCAAGTTACTTGCAATTTTTAACCAAATGTTGTTTATGGTTTGCTTATCTGCAGGGTAGCAGGATGATGCCGCGTCTGTGTGAAGAAATTAGGAGATTGAAGCATACCTGGTATCAAGCCAAGTATCCAGTCATCTCCTGGAATGAATTCTGCTCCAAGGTCAAAGCTATCAACAGACTTGCCGATGATAGTTTGATTAGGACGGCTGCTGTCTTCCTGGCTGATATGAGCGAGGTATGAAGTATAAAAGTAGGATGACAAGAAGTATGATCCAAGAAGTATGATCCAAGACAGCAAGGGAAATTTTCATGGAGCGCTTATATCAAGGCGGTGCATCATTCGTCAAATAAAACATTCCATAAAACCATTTTATCTCCCTGGAGATCAATGCTTGAGGCAGCTCCCCTCAATCCAATGTTACAACTTGGTGGGGGCTTAGAATGGTTGATGTTTATAGCGTTGGTTTCGTTATCTGATTAATTTTGGCTTTTTATTATGTGTGTCTGGAGCTCTTTCGTTCAACTTAATATTCTGGTTATTGGTGTTTTAGTATTTTCATTTTTTTAAATAAATATTGTTCAGTTTTCAGGGGATAAGTACTGTCTTAAACCATATGACTTTGCAAAAGAAAGATGAACATCCTCTCCATAATCATGGTATCATTTTTTCTCAATCTGTAACAGATATACTTCAAGAAGCAATGTGGTGATATGGACTGGGTTGTATTGGAGCCAAGATGGCTGAGTCGTGTCATCATTGGCAGGGTGTTCGCAGGAGAGGATTTCCCAAGTCCCACCAATCGTCTTGAAAACAAGCAGATATACTCCGTTTCAGACATCAGACAGTTACTGAGGAATGTAGCTGATGTATACAATGTCTTGGACCTACTTCAGCATTTAGAGCTAGTTTATCAATATGACGACACCCATTATATCATACCAGCCAGGCTGCCTACCAATTTGAACCCAGTGGTTTGGAGTAAAGACACTCGCTTCACTGAGTACTATGGGCGCAGAGTACAGTGTAAAGACATTACTGATATCTTCTCTCCGGATGTTTTTCCATGTCTACAAGTGCGCATTATGCGGTGGTTTTGTGATGGACATGGAAGGGTAGCTATCTCCAGGCAATCACTCAAGTTTTCAGGAAAGATTGAAGGCATGGTTCAACTTACAAGTGACCAGAAGGCTATTCACATATGTGTACGGGGACGATCAAGTAGGGAAGATAGGGGTGCATGCTACTCTCAACTGGAACACGTCTTGGGGATGGTTCTGAGTGAGTTAGTACAAAGGTCACCAGGTACGGCCACAGACATCTGCTATCTGAGTCCCAGATCATTGATGCAACATGAAGACGTGGGAGACATATCATACTACACAGAGACGGACATAGAACTTAGTGCCAAGGAAGGAGTAGTGGTGCACCCTCAGACTAGCAACACAGAGCTGACAACTGATATACTCTGCGCTGGGTATGATAGCAGGTTCCTGCAACGCAATGGATTAGAATGCAAATGCACTTGGCTATTAGAAGAAGATGTGCGAGCATTATGCAGATGCCTGGATGTTATCCACCCACTGGGGCAAGACTACAGGTCACTGGCCGAGGCACTGGGTGTGTCGGAGGATGAGCTGGATTACATCTATCAGATCTGTCTACATAGAGATTCTTCACCAACCAGGGCACTACTTGACCGTAGTCAGCCTACTGTGGGGCGGCTGAGGGCCATTTGTAAGCATCCTGGTCTGGTCGGTAACATCGACGCAGTACACGTCATCGACGCACTGCTTGACAGATTTGGACACCGGGTTAGCTGATATTCACTACTTCAATTACAGGCATTACATATTACAGCACAGTTTGTTTTAGTTTCATCAATTATAGCAAAACCAGGAGTTATTTGTGATATCTGTGGGTTTTTTTCAAGTCTCAATGAGATTTGGTATTTGCATTATATAGGTTTTCCCGGCTATTTTAAAACATTTTCCAATCAGATTTACCAACTCTAGCATTCAATTTCGTCCGAAAAAAAATACATGCTTTTAACAAAACCAATTTACCCGGTAGTCATTTATCGTTCAATTTCAAAGTTTAGTCACCTTTTTTAGTCAGTGTGTCGAGAATATTCGTCAGTACAGATCAAATTCGTCTAAGCTGTTGCCGAATGGCAGCATTCAGAGATCGAATTCGTCATATAAATCAATTAGACGAATTTGATTTCTGAATAGCAAGTTTTTGCATGGACGAGACGAAATGGAATACTCTGGGACGAAAACGTGTGCTCATTGTTTGCATTTGCTTGAACTGAATTTGAAATTGTGTGACAAAAGACGAAATTAAACATTGGAAGTGCACTAAATCGATGTTGATTGACAAATTTGAATATTAGAAACGGTGAGTTCGAATGATAAACGTTTTAAATAGCCGGGAAAACCTATATTAAAAAAATGGTAAGATTTTGTCGGTGTCAATATAAATTAATTTCCAGTAATAACTTCTGTGTCGATTTTTCTTTCTGTCCAGGTTAATGATGAAGAGTCCAAGATTAAGGCTGGTATGTGTCGGCAATTAAAGTGGATATATAGATTTGTACCAATAATAATTATTCTACTTATCACATGAGTGCATGGAGTGTTAAGTGATTTTCTTAGGTCAAAATTAATACGGATCAAATTCTGGAAATACTTTCTGTACCTAATGCATCTTTCTAGAGGAGAGTTTTAAACCTGACAACATCAGTGTTGAAGTGTTAGTATGGAGGGAAGACTTAAGACAACAAGCCAGCAATCTGCGCCTGGTGTTAGACCCAGTGTCTTTGTTAGCAAGATTCACTCATCTCTTTGGTGTCAGTGACCAAGAGGAGATAGAAGCGACACAACGGACACTGGGAAGGACCAAAGCAGTAGACAACATGCTGTATAAAGTCATCAAGTCACAGCGTGTGGAGCTATATCATGAATTCTATGGAGCACTGGAGATGCATCACAACACGGGCAAGGGTAACTTATGAGATTGTTCATATATATAATGTCACCTCAATTATATTTAAAATATTATAGTATGTCGCATTACAACTTTTAAATTTTATCAACTACAGGTGTTTTTTATTTTATCTTATCAAACGTAACAAAAATGTACGTCAAACAAGTAGTGTGGCAACGTTTCTAGTTGGTTTGTTCCCATATAGTTGTAATGGAGATAGGCCCAGGTGCCCTGGGGTACGGCGTCATGCTTGGGAATTTCGATGGCCTCACGGATGCAGCATGGAAAGAAGTGCTCAATGCTGGTGATGAGTTCAGCTCTAGTCAATTGATCTATCTCCACGTCCATTTTGGGCTTTGTGCTCGTTAAATCTGGTGAGAAGGTGTCTTATACATTTGGCCAGATAAGTACGTACGGTGTTCTGTAGACTCCTGAATTCTGCACTTGGGAATCTTGCAGGTCCTTGTTCGATCGGAGCGGGTAATTGTGAATCTTCAAGGGTGTTGTGTAAACGACACGGATGCCGTGCTTGTGGATGGTATGTACATAATAGAAGTACATAAACTGCATAACTAGGGAAGAGTAATGGAACTAGTTGCCCTTACCTTGAGTATACGAAACCCTCTGTTCTCTTAGACACTACACTTGGCTGGGCTTGGACCCGTTGCGTTGTAGTGCTGTCGTGATGTGATGGAGTTCCCGGAAGATGTTCCTTGTCGCAGATGTTGTACGCTCTGTGGACCGTAAGTGCCTGGTTGCCTGACGCCAGCCTAGATTTTAAGAGAACTATTGTGGAGGTATTTGTCGGTGTATGTCGGTTCCAGGTAGGTCTAGCGGATGAAAGTGCCGTTCATATCTTGCAGAAACCTCGATATAAAAACCTGTGATAAAACCCTATGGTGAAAACATTGTCAACATAATCTTTGACAATTGATTTTGTTTTTCTTGCAAATGTTATCTTATTTGTCCGATTGTAGTCTCATCTGTTTTGCCCAACTTTGTTTGTTTTGAAGTTGTTGATGCTTCCACAGAGGTCATCCCTGATTCTGAGGGGTCTTACAAAGACTACATCATTGCCCCAGCAAAACCATCTCAGGTACAGCTAGATCCACACAATGTAAGTAAATGGTCATCTCATGGAACAAAACAGTGTACATGTATTTAACGAAGCATATCTGCTGTTAATCATCTCATTTGATGTAAAAATACCATTCCTTTAATTTACCATCTCAAGAACCATCGATGTTACAAGCCATCTTAAGACTCACGAACATCGGCGGACCAATTTGATTTGGGACAACAATTTCACCTCCTCCGGTCAACAGATCGCTGCAAAGTTTAAAAAAAAAAAAATGGGTTGGGGATTGCGCATAATCTTGGTCTCTCGGGTGACTGTTCAACGCGAACAAGACTGGACTCAATAGTTGCTGCTATTCGTTGTGGTATATTTGCCATTAGACACATAATTTTGCAAACAGGACGACGATTTATTTTCGAACAAAAGAGCACATATAATGAGGACATCCCTCGTAACCCTAGCGACCACTCTATTACTCTAAATAAACAACTGAATATGATTACATAAATTTTAAAAAAAAGCAAACGAGTATTAATCTTCTGGAGACAAACTTAAAAGAGCGAAATTCTCTTATCTTTAACAGATGAAAACACTTGTACATTCATAAACTTGTAACTCAACTGAATACAGTCAAGGGCGGGTCCGGAGGTGGTTAGAGTGGCTAGTGTAAATTAGGGACATAATGAGAGAAAAATATTAAAGGGAAAATACAACATTTGCAAACATCAAAAAATAAAACTGCCAAATCATTTTGAAATACCTTGCTGGACTGTAAGTGAATGACAGTGTAAAGCATCCTGTAAAATCATGGCACCTGGTATACTGTCATTTTCAAGAAAAGTGGTATTTTTGTATCAATTTCCAACGCTGGTCGGCCGACCAGCGTTGGAAAACACTGGCTTTTTTTTCAAATACTGGCCCCAATTGACCATCGCACTTATTTGCAATCGATTGAATACCTATGAACGGGTACAAGCCAGCTAGACTGGTTCCCTGACCTAACAATTCCCCAATGTATGTAAACTGCTCTGTTTCTTCTTATATGGAGTCAGGGAACCAGACTACAGGAAAACGATTGTTTTTCTTGGGTTTTATAGCATTTTCGAACCCAAAACCTCAAAAAAGTCAGTGTAACTATATTTGCTATATATCTCCAACCCCCCAATTCCATCCATTTCTGAAAATCACAGCAAAAGCAAATGATGTATATTCCCTTTAAATTCCCTGAAACAATGAATCAAGATTTGCAGATGAGATACACAACTGCAAATCTTGATTCATTGTGTCAGACATTTGACCTGCAATTGACTTGGAATTGACTGCATTCCCGAAGCACCCCCTGTACCGCCCAAAAGGTGTGGGTCGCTTCTACTAACGAGTACGTATAGAGCATTGACCAAATATGCATTGTCCCCTAAAAGTACATGTATTCGCTGAGATATATTTCAAGCATTATCTTGCAAGCGGCCGATCCATCAGAACACTTCATCTTTTCTCGAGCGAACATACAAGCACGAGGGACACGCGTATGCGAGAGTGGAGCGCTCTACGATAAAGCTTGATGCGATGACGTTTGCTGGATGCAAGGAAGCGGTCTGACGGTCACCGGAGATGGTCACCATCCGATGTTAGTACCGTATAAGGACACGTCTCGGATGGGACCCAAAGTCTGTCATCCACAATGGGAAGCTCGATATCAAGATATCAGGCGGAGAATTAAAATATAGCCGAAGTGTTCTTCGTTATTTATGGGGTGGGAAAGGGGGTTAGGATGAAAACGACCTGGCCCCAAAGGAATATGACCTGAAGTAAGTAAAACCACACACTGCAGAAGGGTGCGTTGGGGTTATAAAACCGTTCTGTCGAAAAGATGTGCAAGGGCAGACGGAAGAACGATTCAGAAATCCGTCGTGTATTACCATGATCATCATGATTGAAATAGTTCTAAATTGAAAGAATGTCAAGGCCAGACTGGACAAGTTTATTAAGAAATGCCGAATTGGCAGCGAAGGGACACAGTGACAAAAAAAATGACCGTTGTTGACAGCACATGTTGACCGTCGAAAGTCCCGCTCATCTGAAGAGGTGCTGAACAGACGACCAGCCGGAGGTTGTACTACACGTGAGACGAGCAAAGTACCTTAGACTTCAACACCCCAGCTATCCCTGGATCCGCCCCTGCCAGTGAAAAAGCTTATAACACCCCTAGAATAGCAATAAGGACACATGTATACTTAACATTGAAGCAAAGGTGCATATAAAGGATGAATAATTACATAGGCCTAAGTTAAGTATGTTCCAGCAAATATTTAGTACATTAGTTCAGGATTCTTAGCGGCATTTTAGAGATGAATCGCAACAAATTATGTTCATCAGCCATTGGTGTGTTTCATTTACTAGAATTACTGTATGTGGAAGGGCAGTAAGGGATTGGCCTATGTATTGAATAACAACGACTTCCATGGTAAAGGCAGACAAGGTTCTGGAGTGGACCTGGGTAATATGTGTCATGTCCTTCAAGAACTGGGATATGTACTGCAGGTACACACCAACCTGACAGCAAAGGTAATTATCTCCAATTTTACTGGCCTCATTCAACTTTATCATTATTATTTTCAGCAATTTCTTAAACCATGGTTTTTAGAGTTCAGCTATGGCCCAAAACTGAGCTACTGCTAAAACAGCCTCTGTCCATTTCATGAAGACAGTAGGCCTATAGTGTGAATCTATCCTATAATACTCAAGGGCCAGTGAATAACGGGTCTTAACTTACTGGCCCTAATTATAAACTGGCCCTATTATAATGAAGCTAACTTTAGTGGCAGAACTTGTTTAACAGTGATGCATCATAATGCACATGCAGATATTGGCATGTCTATGCTGTACCAAGTGCTTATAAAGTAAAGACCGCTTTTCTGTTTTAGTAAGTAGTGCCATCAAATTGGCCTGAAATATGTACACTGGCATGGTGCTGCGAATTTTCAGATGTATATTTATTCATCAATTAAATTTGTATTGTTGACTTTCTACAACAGAAGCATCATGATAGTGTCTGTTTTCCCATGCTAGGATACATCAGAGAGCCTAGCCAAGTTTGTCCGTCGGTTTGATGACGCTGAGTATTGCTCAGCTGTAGTGGTTCTCATGAGTCACGGTAACACTGGAGTCATTACAGGAGTAGATGAGAAATGCATTCAACTCAGAGATATTTATTCCATGTTTGAGGGTCATCGATGCCCCGCTCTGCTTGGCAAACCGAAGCTCTTTTTCATCCAAGCCTGCAGAGGAGGTAATCTTCATTTTAGACTTGCCTTCCAGAGTCAAAAGGAGGGTCTCGAGTTGAACCAAATGAGTGAACTTTTTAAGCTTTCTTATAATCTTTCTTATAATTTATACTTCATAGCCTAATCTTCATTTATACTGATTTATTTTCTGCATTCAAAGGCTTTAAATTTATTTGGTCAGAGGGAAAGGTACAATATTCCTACCAAGTCTGAGATAAAGAAGCGCTTTTTGGTCTTAATACATCAACAACTTCGACTTTTAAGTCTATCCTGACACACAATGAAAATCAAGAATTTGTTGTATTAATTTATAAGATAAGTGTTAGTAGCTGCATCCATATGGCAATAAAAAAGCAGAACTGTAGTTAATATCAAGACATACTTTTGCTTAAAGTTACCAGGACACAGCTTGTTGAAGCTGACAGTGATGTCACTCAGTTAGAACCTGAAGACCATTCCGATGAAGAAGATCCTAGCATAGAGATGCAAGCTGATTATTCCTTTGCTCGAGATCTACCAGCCAATGCCGACATGTTCTTCGCTTATGCAACTACCGAAGGTATGCAGTGAATGAATGTGATCAGAGACAAAAGCTTGAGTAGAACTACGAGCCAGGAGTATGACGTTTCTCGGGAAACAATTTAAACAAATTCAGGGTGTATATTTTAAATAAATGCATTTATGACTAAATTGTAAATGCTTGGGATTTGTAACTTTCTATATAGCATAATATATAAAGTTAGCCAGTCAGAAACCACAGTCTATTACTAGTATTAGGGTCTACTAGAGTCACTACCCATACATGTGCCTGATGGCTCAGCACCAATCCGAATGACTTCTAGAAAGGTTGAATGTACAAGAGTTGTTATATAAAGGTACTTCTCTATATTTGTTCTAGGTAACCTCTCACTGCGAAGTCAAGTTGCTGGTTCTTGGTTTATACAAGCACTATGTGAGGTATTCATCAAGTGGGCATCACATGATAGTCTGGATGTACTCATGAATAAGGTATAGTTAGTCTTCATCGAACAATTGCTGCTTGAATAAAACTAGAAGTGCAATGTACTAGTACTTGACTAAGGCCACATCTGAATTACTTGTGTACGGCCAGCAGAAACACAAACATCTGGGAAGTAGAAGTTTGCTGCATCCATGTGGGAAGTAGAGTTTGCTGCATCCACATGCACATGTGTATTGCTAGCTGTCACCAAGTAAATCTGACTTTGCCCAAGTCGCTTCATCACACATTTCAGACTGTAATATAAACCAAAATCCAAGTAAAAAAAAAAGAGTCACAAAACGGAATGAATATATATGTGTGTGACATGTTAAGGTCTAAATATATTTGGGTTTTGCAGCGAGGGAGAATCAGGGTTATGGGGAGGGGAGGGGCAACAGCGACATATTTTATTTGCAATTTCAAGACAGTTTAGGTAGGACATATTCTAAAACATTTCAATGCAGAAGGTGATTTGGGGGATATATCAGGAACCATATTTGTCTCCACAACAAAAAAGAAGCACTTGGTCCAACGTGACACTGTAAGTGCATTCTAAGATTCTAAGTGCATTCCAAACTTGATAGTGCCAATGTATTTTTGTCAGCCACATTTAGTCCATCGCAGTCTAACATGACAATGGTTACTTTTTATGAGAATTATTTTTTTCATCTATAAATTAACTTATTCATAAAATACTGCATGACATAATAGACAGCTTATGTCTACGATGATCTTGTCAACAGGTGACAAACAGAGTGACAGGTCAACGTGGTGAGATACGCGACCCTTTGACACGGACACTAAAAAGTGCCTCACAAACACCAGAATGCATCAAATGCATGCGGAAAAATATGTACTTCCTGCCCAAGTATCCCAGCAGTGCCCTAGCAGGTGCTACCTGGATGTAGTGATGATAGATGAATACGGTCTTCAGATGAGGAGCAAGTGTGGTCACGAACATCTGCATGCCTTTTAAGAGTTTGACTTTAGAAGATGCATGCTCAAATATTTTGGACATACATGTAGTCACTTGTACAAATTTACCTAGCATCATTTTTGCGTTACCCATCAGAGGTGTCATTGTTATGTGATGAGATAAAGTTGCAGGTTATGCAAAGCAAATTACCCATTGTACAATTTAACAAGTGCAATGGGGTGCATTGCTTATGAGCAGGCTAATTTCTCAGTCTCTCAGTAGGCCAAAAGAATATGTAGAGTGGAAGTTGCACGATGCTGAGTCCTTTCCAAAGAAGTTGATCAATTTATACTGCTGCCTTTTCTATACACTCTGCATAACTTCAATGGTCAAAATAGATGGGAAAATAATCAATCCATTTTTTTTTTCAATGTTGAATGTTCAACGTAGTAGTTACTTTTTAAAATGCACTTGACTGAATAAATTGGAGCAATGAATCTTTTTATTTGTTCTACTGTTACAATGAATAAGTTGCCATATTTACACAACGATACGATGGGGAAGAGCCTTATCCCTCCTGGATCCTTCAAACCCCACTCAGACATTTGAGATTTTGCAGGATTGAGGATAACAGTATTAATCGACATGTATGACTGGAGGCTTTGCATTGTAGAATACAAGATGAGGCCATCAAATCTGAGTTGTGAGAATGTTATTCAACATTTTGGTCAGAATTCTCTCTCCGTCTTCATGAGTTAATCTTTGCATGCAAATAATGCATCACTTACATTTACACTTAGTTTGATGGGCAATTATCAGGCTGAAGCCTTCACGACCCCATATCCTTTTTCCTTCCAAAACTTATCCAGCTGTGTCTTGAACTGGTTTATGGTCTTAGCTTCTATGACGCTTGCTGGGAGACTATTCCACTCTGTGATCACTCTGACTGAGAAGAAATATATTCTACAGTTCAGACCCGTTTTCAGAGCTGGCTTATACAGCTTGTAACTGTGTCATCATGGGCTTGTCATTCCGGTCATTCATGTGTATGCATAGTATCTGGAGGGCTTGGGCATTTCCTTACAAGACTGCCCAGCCACAGCGAGTTCAATTTCATCTGCACAATTCATAGGAAAAGATTAATGTCCACAATTTTCCCAAACTGGCTTTTACCTAATTTCCACAATTCCGCTATAAACATGAAACACAATCCAGCTGACCATATTTCAATCACATGTACATAGTATGCTTTATTTCTTACAAGTTACATTTTAAAAATTGTTTACAAAACATTCTTTTTACAAAGCTTATACATGAAGTAATTGTGGCCAGCATTTTCTGCAACTGAGTCTGCTATTGTACATTATTAAGCCTATCAGTAAAATACAGCAGTATATATCATGAAAAAATAAAAATACATTTTCAAACCAATATAACAGATACATGATTTTCAAATAATCATTACAAGAACAAAACAGTTATGTGTTCAAAGTGCACATGAAACTTGGCTGATGAAAGGATGCCTAAGATTAGTCACAATGGAACTTGTTATAGCAACTGCGTGGCAGTTTATGACTGCTGGTATGTCTGGGTTTATTCTCCTAAACATTGGATTTTGTAATTGATTAATGTACAGCACTATGCCACTATACATTGACATCGCACTACAACAGGCTGATAATTCAACCATTCCAAAACACAGTGGTCAAGGTTTACATTTAATGCATGTGTACTTCTATTTCCTCCTAACATTTGTAGATTGTTGTTTTAGGTTTTTTAAACTAAATTGTATTAAGTTTTACGATGCTTAACTAGCTATCAAAATGAGCATTTAAACTAACCAATGTCAGAATATTGTCATCCCTTCAACATCATCTGTTTTGGGAGCTTGTAAGTTCGTATCTTAGTCCAAACACGCTTGATTCCACCTTTTCTTGTTTTATTACAGAATGAGATTTACAACTTCTAAAAAAGCCAGGTATTTTGGTCCAAATAAATTAGGCATAATTTTGTTATGAAGGTATGGTTTGCATGAGCACGTAATACTTGTCATCAGTGTTGTAGTTGTGTTCATCACAGTCTGGTCACAAGTCAATTACATAGTTCCGAAATTCCAAATAACAGAGATGTTTGAACAGTTCATTTAAATAGCTTGTGACATGAAACTGGAGGACTTGTGATGGACATGCCAGAACTCAACTACACCACTTGTGTCATGTTGTTTAGATTTGTAAATAAGTGCTAAAAGAACGCAGGTAATTAAGTGAATACAACTCTGAAAACTGAAATGACTTCAAATTGTGCCCCAAGACCCACCCAATCTTATTGCTTTATCTGACACACCATGTACAGAATATACAGCCCTTTCCTATAATTACAGCTTTATTAAGCTTTTTTTATTATTAATTTTCACTGCTTTGAAGGCATTTGCATTCTTGTCATTGTATTAACATAAATGGCAAGTAAGTATTTGAGTTGCTCAAGAGAGTAAAATGTGTGCAGTGTTTCTACTGTCTAATGAATATTCATTAAAATCCCACAACAATTTGTGACAACCAAAAACTTGGGTTTGGATCAAATATGTAAATCCTGTTGTGTTTAGTGTCAATTATTTACAGTAAGACTGATGTTCAGTTTGAATAATAATAGATATTTACTTTCTTAACATTAACCCTCTGGATTTCCTCAAAATCCACATGGAGGTGTTGGAGCCCAGCCACTTGCAGCTGACATGAAAGAAAAAATACCTGGAGATGTGACATTAATTTCCTGCACAAGGGTGGATTTTGGAGGGATATTTGACATGGCTTACAAATTGGAGACATAGTCGACAAACATATTTCATCTAAGGCATAATGACCACTTATTGTCATGCTATTTTAAGAAACTGGACATCTCGAAAGCAATATTGATCCTTATCAAAGCAGATCTCAAGCAATCTTGGATGTAAACATGCTTCCACTATAAAGCTATTTCATGCAAGTTTTCTCGTAACGCAAAATTTAACTGATTAGTTTGCAAGATTGAATTTGATTGGCAAGTTACAGATATTGATCATACATGTGTAGTGTTCATAAACAAAGCTTATAGTTGGGTTTGAGCATGAAGCCTAAACATTGCCAGCTTCTTTCCACAGCAGCCACTGTACGCTGCATGTGCTTGAGTCACACTTTTTGAAAGGGTTTTGGCAGATTTCATTAAAATAAATCACTAGCAATTCACATGCAAGGAACACTTACACACATACTGGATGGATACATAATAAGCAAACTGAGCTCTGTCTTTCAGAGCAACTTAATTCAAAGGTGTTCTATTCATGCTTACTGCATGTGCTTCACTGTATCCAGACATGGCAACGCTGTCAGCAGTAACAGATCAGCAAACAAGTCACTTACTGTTGATTTATTAACATACATTTTAAAGCCATGAAGGATCATTTGCAGTTACCAGGAAGGTCCCTACTGATTGAATGGCAGTAACCTTGCTCAAGTAAAGATGCTTTGGTTTGGAAGAAAACTTTAACACTGAGGGTGGTTTGAACACCTTAAGCATTAGCAACTGATTTTTTTAAGAGACACAAAAAAAAAGGGCATACATGTACATTTTCTGTGTTTTCTGTAAAATATTTAGTATCTACCGAGCTAAAAGTTGATCAGGCTAGTTGTAATGCACCCTGCTTAAGATTTTGAGTAATTTTGTTGCTTCAAATGAAAACAAAAGTAGAAAAAGCAAATGATTCTACACACCTTTAAAGGAAGGCTTATTTCAAACTGTTAATACTCAAGGCCTAAGTCTTGACACATGGGCATTTTCTGAGGTGATTGCTGATCATTTCTTTCAAAATGTCTTCATACAAACGCACAGTGATGCTTGTCATGCACAAACAGCGTCAGCAGACTTCTAATCCATTTCCTGGAATTGGTCACAAATTCTCGGTGGCCTCTTCCATAACATTGTTAAATTATCATCATATAATACAACATGGCACCAACATTGGTCCAGGGACCCAGTTAGTACTTAAGATATCTTTGGTGATGCTTTTAAATAACATCCTGCTAATGTAATGTACATAGTGAAGGGCAGAGCTGTACTGTGCGGTTTTATAACTTACATGTTATACAAAGGCTCCTTTTCGAATAACACTTTTATAGAAAATATAGCTTTTACACTTGTGATTTTGACAATCTCTGAATACTTAAATAAGTCGACAATTCAACATCGCTGCCATCTCTAAAAGAATGTCCTGTGACAATCATTAATTATGCCGTCACACAGACAGACAAGCTATCCAACCCTACCAGCCAACCCTACGATGGTTTCATTTTACTTGCGCATACCGACACTGATTAGACCTGTACTCTCCACTTACTGTGAGTAACCAGCAGATATGTTGACTAGTCACTCATGCTGGAGTTAGGATTCTTTGACAGGTAAGTTCAGAGAGCTCATTCTAACAACCACCGGCTCATACCTTCATCGTTTCTTTTTTCTCATGAGCAAATGCCATGGGGTTGGCAGTGACAGTCAATCCAGCATTGTTGGTATCTTTGATGACCAGTTTATCAGGATTGATTTTGATAGGTTTGTCTCTGTGTTGCCTGGCTGTGATGGGTAACGTTGGATGCATGGAAGATGACATGGCTGTTGTGCGTCGATTATCGGGTAATCTCTTCATTCCACCTAGAAGTAAGACATGAAATGCAACATATTACTCTCGTTGATTGTTCTCCAACATACATGTTCATGCACATGTTCTAAATATATGGACATGACGACCCGGGTTAAAAGTCAGTCCATTATGACTTCCAAGACAAATTCGCACTCTTAGATATGGCAGTGCATTGGGTTCAAGCAAAGATTTTTTTATTGATTACAAGGAAAATCAATGTGCTGTTAATGCTGCCAACATGGACACGGTCCATGCTACATGCTGAATTCAGTGAAAGATTTGTGAAATTGTGGCCATAATTCCTGCAGGCCTAATACAATTGAATTTAAATAATATACAGTTAACACTGAGCCCATATATCGACTGATCATCTTCTATGGGTGCCATTTTGGGTTTGTTAATTATTGAAGTGTAGGGATTGATCTCTGTTACCTTGTTTGTCATGTCTGTGAGATTGCTCACAGGGTTGGTTACGTCCAGTACTAGCCTCCCGTCCATTATGTCCTACAGTACTGGCATCATGACCATTAGTAGTCACCCTAGACGGAGCCACACCGCGTCTACTGTGCCTCTTACCTGCAATATAACAAACACAAAGAAGCTTCCAGTCTTTGTACAAATTATTATTTCCATAAGCATTAGGGACTTCATAGCCAGCTTTTGGTTTTGATACATTAAACGGTTTGACATTGTGATGATTATTGATGTTAGATGGATGCAGTGTTAACAGTTCTTATTAATTTGTATTGAGCATGATTGGTTGTATAGATCTGTAACTTGGAAGATGCTCTGCTATAATTCTAACTACCTTTTGTATGGTTCAGTCACATTTGACTTTTTTAAATTTCTGATCACTGTATTGCTGTATTTCTGTACAGTTTTGTAGTGTGAAGCTTGTTGAAAGTGGCAAAGATATGAGAAGCATTTCTTAATAAGGAGTTAACTAACTGACTCAGAACTAAAACACTTCTTCATGAGGTTCTAGTTCAATACATTCCAAAGATAAATTCCAAGTCCAATTTTACGCACAATTTAAATAAAAACCTTTGAAAGACAGTCCTTAGGCTGACTCGATTTCAGAATGATACATCCTAGCAATGGAAACCTGCATGGCACACAATCAGCTATTCTAAACAGCCCTTTGATACCAAACTTTTTTCCTTTTGGAGAAGAAATTTGATATATTTGAAGCTGGTTCATACTGGTTCAATTCAAAACTGTGACTTCATGGCCTGTTTGTGCACTGCTAATGCCTAAAGATTGAACCCACTTCAACTATGGCAGGTTAATTGTACACAGCTTTCAAGACTTTTAAAAAGTTATTTAACATTTTCAAGACAAGTCAGAACAATGGGATTGGTATAAAGGTTATCTATACATTTAAGATTTGTAAGTGGATTTACCTGCTCTAGGATCTGTGACTGTGGATCCAATGACTTGCATGCCAGAATTCTGGGCTGCTGCTGCTACTGCACTAGCAAAATCAGCATCAGTAAAGAAAGATCCCTCCGAACTCTCACTCACGCTGCTATGACGACCACTGCTGGAGCTACCATTCATAGACGACCACGAACCCAACATTGCATCTGACAAATGGAATATTTCAAGTAATACATTTTCAAATAAACCAAAAAGCAAAGCTGAATAGGTGCATTATAATATTGCTTTAAACTGAATAATTTATGTGTTGAAAACACTGCTTTGCCTTCTAATGCACCACATATGATTTAAAATCTCTACAGAATCAATTTCTGCCAGAATTTCCTGATTTTGAATGCAAATTGGAGTCAGTGTTTGTTCACAATTGCCTTGCACTGCATAGAATAAACTCTTCAAGAACTAACATTAACTACTTTATAGAGTGAAAAATCATGGAATAAACGAGATGAGATTTGCTCACGCTGGAACGGAACAGCACATTATTTATATTCCATGACTCTGTCATCCAGCCTATTTGACACATGATGCAATATGGTCATAGCAAAGCATTCCATGTACCTGTGCAGTTGCTTTCTGTTTCTACATCTGTCTCTAGTTCATCTCTGACAGGCAGATCCATCTCTGATAAGCACAGAGACTGTGGCTGATACACAGGCTCATCGATATCTATGGCAAAGATTGACAACACTCATCAGCTACAAACAAGTTGCACTGTCAAATGCCATTCAATGAGAACTGTGTCAAGCCCGTGTAACACACCAATTTCAGATTGCCATTCAAGCCATTTTGAAATTGGTCATACACACTGTAAGAGATGTCCAACAAGTTATGAAGGAATAGTATTTACAGGAAGGTATGCAACTATACATGGATTAATAAGGATCGTTTACAGATGAGGTTGGTCGATGTACATTTAGCAAACTTGCTCAAAATTGCAAAGCATTGTGGACAAAGCACAAACTAAAGACAACTTAGTTATTGGACATCATTAGGAAACTATGGTAAGTACACCCTGCATGCTGAAAAAGAAGAGATGGTGAACACTTGAGTGCATTTGCCACTGTACACTCATTTGCAATTTTGTCATACGACCATAAACCAGCACTAATGCGTAATGCCTCCAACAAACTGGCTTCCATGAGTAATCCATATCCACTATTCTTACCGCTAAGGAGTAAGAACACAGAGTAATATGATGGGGAACTAACTCCATTTTAAAATAAAATGGTATGGAATCCATGCATAAGTATGACCTAGTTACAAAAGGAGACATGGCATACACGCGAAGACACTGCAGGTTTGTTTGTACTTTGGCCTTACGAGCATAAACCAGTATGCGCACGTGGTGTGTCCTTCTCACTGGGGCTTAGTACTTGTAAGTGGTCACTACAAGCGCCATGTACTGTTTGCGTCTGGATTCCATAGGTAGTAGATTTCCACTTGATTACTGTCTACTCACCTGTATGTTTGGATTGATGCGTCCCTACAGGTGACATGGGTGCATAATCATTATCAGAGAGTATCTCACTCTGTGACATATCATCATTGAACTCCAACAACTCCTTGCCGAGTTGCTCATGCCTAGGATCCTCAAAGAGACGCTTTGAAGCTAGGTAGGGTACCCCCCGTTGTGTGTGATCAGGATCTGAAGGCCTGTCATGGGTTTCACTATGAGGCTGCTGCCTATGGTCAGCAGGGGTGCCACTCCTATTGTTGCCTAGCTTGTTAGGCAATGAGTTTGTAGGTGGTGGTCGATGTGAGGAGTGACCATCATATGGCACTCCACCTGGGTAGGTATGATGCACGTCATGCTGATACACAGCAGGAGTCATTGAATGATGCTGCCTGACAGGTGGTATGGGGGCTTTATCGGTGGACTGATGCATGATGGGACAGCAGTGGCCATCCATATGTGGATTAGCGTTGGCATGAGAACAAGGTGGGGCTGGGCAGGCTGATCCTGTGGGTGAATCTATGTCAGTTGGTGGTTGTTCAGGGGGAGGTGGCAGTAACTCTGTCCAGTTACGTGCTGGTTGTTTGGATCCACCTCTGTGGTGCTTCTTTCTACTCGAGCGATCACCTGTGAAAGGACATGAGGCACAAATAGCAATAACTAACATCTCTTATTCACACAATAAATGGTTCCAAATTACACAAATGGCTCTAAAGTACAGTGTTGCACTCTGCCTTTTGAATACTCGAGAAAAGGAGTACTTGAATAAAATTAAGAAACCTTTGTGTCTTCAAAGAACACTTAGAAACCGTGATGCTCAATCCACCCTAAAATTCATTCTCTAGATGATCAATGCTTTTTTGTTTACTTTCACAATAGTAAACCACTAACAAACAAACAAATGAACAAACCAGAAACCTACCTACTGAACTTGTTCCTGAATCGCTGGGTAAACTCGGGCATTCAGAAGCACTGGGCAAACTGCCTTCTGCACAAACAAACAACACATTTTCCTCAAGTAAATACTCATCATAGAAAAATCAACAAATTTTGGCAAAAAAATTATCAAGGTTGATACAAGATATTCACAGTATGCTGGTTTAATCATGAGGGAGCTACTTCAACAACTGTTTTTGTGACCAATATGAAAGTGGACACAAATGGATGTCATTGAATCTGTGCTTATCTGCATCAAAGTGCTTCTAAATATACATAAAACATTGTACACCAAACTTGGTATGTCCATTGCGTAACAAATTGGTCATGTAAATCCTATGTATGGTATAAGAAATGCACAGTTTCATGACATCAGCTTATATAATGTCAATCCAATGCTGCATGTACTGACCTCTCTTTGGTAAGACTGGTAATCCTGAGCCTGCACTGCTACTATAGGCAGCATTATCAGCCCCAGACCGACTGGTCTTACGTATGCCCACAGGCCGCGTATTGCAGCCAGAGCCGGAATTAGAGCTGCTATCACTACACTTCTGTCTCCTTGCTGCGTACTCTCGGAGATTGGGAGGTAGAACCAGGGTAGCTGAGGCATAGGGTTCAGTGTCATGGATGCATAGCAGATGAGGAGTTCTAGGATAACTACCTTGGCAACATGGTGTGTGCAACTCACTCTCAACAACGGCATACTCTGGGCTTCTACAAGGAAATATTTCAGCCAAAAAATAATCAAATGTTTTATCTGTAGCCCCAATTAAAAAAAGGGATCTTGTATTTATTGTAAATTATAAAGAATCCTATCACACATCAAACCAACCCGTGGGCCAAATTGCATGGCACTGCTAAGCACACCGTTTCAGCGAGTATTGTAAGAGCCATGCTAACCTCAGGATTGGTGACTCAATAATAGAAATATCCATGTGCACTTGATAATTAGCAAGTACACACTGTATAGTAGCACCAACGCTAGCATAATTTCCTGCTGTAGTTAGCACAACATTTCTGCTAAGCATCAACATGAAATTGCCCTACATAAAGAGTTAAGACCCTGACATTTGAGTGAGTGTGCATACCCTGCTTGCTTAGGAATGGAGCCCTGGAAGGTCGATAGTGCAGGAGTTACAGTGTCAAAGTTGCCGCTATGCTGGCTATCCGTTAGCTGTGGCATAGTCCCATCTAGATTCTCTCCTTGACAATCACTAACAAGCATAGCTTGCTTGCATAACTCAGCATCTGTTCAAGATTCCACATAGATCATCTATATATTAGCTGATTAAGATGTGTCACTACAGAAAACACAACACAAGGGTTTACAATACATACAAAGATCAAGGACCAATGTGTGACAGCATCATGACAAGTCATACTATTTTCTGTATTCACCAAATATTGACTTAGTTGGCATCAAAGGAATGCCATGTAGCAAAATTTGGATGAACACCGTACAGTATGTTGAATAACTAGTAAAAATTTAACAGTAATTGATTTTTGCACCAGTGTTGTAGTCAAGCGCTTTTCTGAATCAGATGCATATTACCAAATGTAATGTGATACAGTAGAAAATTACACAGAACAACACAGTATGGTCCAAATATAAACACAGAAACTGTGATATAAATGATAATGAATGTTCACTTGTTTCATTGCATGCTTGTTAAGTTTACATCAAAACATATCTCTTTAATTCAATAATTGTCAAGCAGGTAATGGCAAATCTAAAGAAAAGACAAATGCCCCATTTCAAATCTAATCAGTCTACAAAAATCCAGACCTATAGAATCCAGCTCAGTATCCTCAATGAAATGAATAGGTGTATTCTTTTCAGAGTCATCCTTCTAGCATTGAAATATTGATATATCGATATTAACTATCATACAGAAACTTTTCAGTCGCTGTTTATTTATGCAAGACCATTCAGGCAAATGCAGTCATACACTAAAATATTTCTAATGCCATGCATGCAAACTGGTTGGATAGTCAAGGGATAGCATAACAGGAATCAAAGGTTTATAAACAATTCAATATTTTTTATGCTTCTATTATCACACAATACACTCTCTACAACGGCTCTCCATTATTTCAAGCACACAGAAACATAATACAGCACGTATTAGCTTTTGCAACAGCATGCAATCCCTATCCATACACATGCAACAGCCATGCATGCAGCTGTGGGTTTTTTTTCAAAGCATGCAATGTTTATAGAAGGTCTGATGCTTCCATCCTAGCAGAGTCATTCTCAAAGACAACTCTCCGCAAGACTATAAAACATCAGGCCCTCTACTTTTACAATTTGTCTGGTATCACGTCACTCCAGTCAAAAAGCTGTTTGCAGCAGGATTAGTTTTTGTTTCTATTGAAGCCGTTAAGTCGTAGAAGTCATACAGATATTGAATGCTTTGAGTGGTTTAGCAAAAACTGGGCTCTGGAGGTCATTTGTTGAGTGTTCCGATCCCAAGGGAATGCTGAATGAAACTAAATTGTACATTAAGCAAGCTTCTCACTTTGACAAATGTTAGATGTTGTTGCATTGGGAAGAGTTCTAGCTTAAATACCCTCCAAGGATAGAGTTAATATGGTAAATAGTGAATAGATAGAACATACAATGTATGGGTGTTATTATGTCTATGCCACACAAAGCATGACATTTGTGAAGTATAAAGTAATGTTTTACAAGTAGTCAGAAGTCACATTGTACACAGTATTCAGTATGCTATTGAGCATGCAAGCAAACGGTACAAGTAGCAAACAGGCCAAACAAATTCAAAACCTGCTCCCCAAGACAAGCCAGTCAATGTTCTTAGTTACATCTCAAGTTTTTCAGTCATTTTATTTCCAAACATTTAAAATGTTTGTCAAAATATGACTGAGAAAATTGTTCTTTAATGTGGGAGATCAGAATACCTTCAAAAATTGCAGGCTTTGGAATTTGCTTTGTTTAAGTTTGCCAAAAAGAACAGAAAGGTTTGAGCCATGAACAAGCATAATATGCCTGCAAGTATTCGGCTTTCAATCAATTAATCATTCATGTTTCAGTTATTGTTTCAAGTTATCAACATGCTGATTTCTTTTTGCATCATTTGTTCAATACCAAAGAATCTGACACTTTTTCCAGAACAATGGTCTTCAAGTTATTTCTATCAAGTGCATGTTTATCCTTTTTTGTCCAACATTCATGTGGAGAAGTTTTGGAATTTTTAAGGTTTTGCTCTTTATCAGAAACTTTCTGGAAGTTGCACAACTTGAAAGAAAGCCAGAGTGGTTTTTGATTAATCACACTGAAATACGAAAAAACTGACACCACGATCAATTGATCCAACCAAATATTTGCAACAGATCTAAGCAGCATAGGGGTGGGGGTAGAGTGGGGGGTTAGTGAATATTACATGAAGTGAGCGCACCATTAGCACGGAACCAGCTTGCACCAGTGCCCCAGTTAGGATAAAAGTAGTTGCTTTTTTCCAGTGTATCGCTGAGTGAGCTATTGGCATTACAGCATGTAGTCATGCAGCCGTGGTTACCCTGTCCATCCCTCGTTGCTGTGTGCAGCCAGGACTGTGTCTCAGCCCACGCCTGGTTGTTACTCGCATTACTCCCTGCGTTACCACCACCAACACCACTACTGCAAATCAAAATAAACAATCCTTCTGATGTAGGCGTTACTCTATTAAACATCTCAAGAAGTAAACACCTTGGTTTTGTTGGAAACTCTTACATATGCGTGTTGCATACAGAAGTTGTTCTCAAGTATGTTTGACATATTTTCACTAAGGTTTAGGGACTGTGTTTGAAAAGTCGAAAAAAGCATATTTATTTGAACAAATGTCCCTTACAAGTTCTGTTTAGATTCATAATATGAGCTTTCAATAATACTATCATATTGTAACTTATTTTCCCTATTTAAGTTGTTATTAGGTAAATTGCAAGTAATGTCAAAATAAGTAACACCTATGTACTGTTTATTGAATATAGTATTTCACTTGGCATAAAACCGGCTCATGCTTCATGCGAATGTGAAGCAAATTTGACATCATGAAACATTCGCTGCATAATTCAGCAAAGCTGTAATGTGCTCAACTTCTGCAAATTCCCAGTGCAAACACTAGATGTTTACCAAATCCTTGTTTGCCTTTGCTTTTACGCAGAGTACAAACCTGCCTCCAGACTTTATTTTACAATGTGCTATGATTGAACTAGTCTTGTCTACCAGTCTAGGAAGGGTTTGTTGTATCACTGGTTATCACTAGCCAAGCAGAAAGCCTGCACTGTCTGTGCTGAAATTCGACTAGTTCAACTGTTGCAAGTTCAACAAGGGAATTTTTCACTTTGCAATTTTAATATATAAGAGTGCGAGCACCAAGTCATGACTAAACTACAAACCATGACTACCAATTGACCAATATTCCTTGAAGGGAGAATGCAACATTAAACAGGCGGTAATAAAAGGTTTACCGTGAGGTTATACAAGGTTTAACAAGGTACCTCTAGATTCAACCTTGACTTACCACTTGTTAAAATTAATTTTGCATTCGTGCCTAATCCAACATACTCACTATCAAGACTACTGTTAATCAACATATCTCAGATGATTTATTCATTCAATGAAAAAAAAACCTTTACCTGGCTTTACATAATATTAAGTGCTCTGTGCAATCTACACTAAACCACAGTAATCCTACACGTAGTCATATCATGAGATACTTACACATTCTGCAGGACACCACTGTCTTTCCCAATGGCCGCTGTGCAGAAACATACACAAAGAGATGTACATTGTTACATTGTATCTAACATGTAACTAAAGGTAGCATATGCTTTGATATCGAAGTTGGAAAATGTCCCTTCCTTATGAACCACAGAGCTATATTAAATACTACAACTCATACAATAATAAATTTGTACACCAACCAATGGATAGTTCAATAATTTTAGTAACATTTGTCTCGCAAATTGTTCTATACTGCTGCATTATTGAAGCTATCGCACCCGAATCGGAAACAATCAGTAAATGATACCCTTACTTTGCTTTGCATTAACAATGCATAAATTATTCTTTCTGGTGCATGATGGGAGTCAGGTTGGTGTAGCAGTACTTTCCCTGCCTTCCACCACTGTGACCTGGGTTCAAATCCCGCCTGGGCCAACATTGGGTTTTCAGTCCCTACCTCATTCCGTGGGTTTCCCCAGAATATTCTTCTGGGGTTTTCCTCCCACCTATAAAACTGTAACTTCTTCTCATTGTCTTCCCTCTACATGTTTCTTCAGGCTTGTGAGCTACAGTGCCTAGGGCACTTTTGAGGAATCCTTGGTTTCACTACCAGAAATAAATGATAATGATAATGAACTAACAAGGATAGCCCGAGGATAAAGACACAATTTACTCACCTTTAGTCATGGTTGTTGACTGCTTCTGTTTGCGTCGTCGTCTCCATACCCAGACTGTGATCAGACCGATGGTTACCAGCATGATACCAGCTAAGGTACTGATAAACCAGGGTTGTGAGACCACCATAGTGATACCGCCACCCAAATCATCCTCATCATCCCCAGCACCAGGCGTCAGTAAAGCTGCCATCATCAACAAAACATTGTCTCAATGTGTCAGGTTCGGTTGAGGGTGGAGTAGGTCATATGAACTGAAAAATGATTCTTGATATTACACAGGGGTGTGACCAAGCTATGATAAGTGTTCAACCTGTTTCAGTCATTAGAGAGTCGCACTGAACCAAATTTGTGAGAACTCAAATGAAACTACATAGAATTTGCATAGTTTCAGACCGGCAAAAGTCATGTGCTAATTTTCCATGAAGACTCTTGAGTTGTTTATAACAACTCAGACATTGACGTGAGACTACTCCAAATTGTGTACAGCATTAAGCATGATTCTCGTCTTCAGTTATATAATTTTGTGCAACTATGGAACACCAATCTTAACCAGGTGTGAGGTAATTCAAATAAAGATGCAACAGGGTTGAATACAATATGTGAATGGGGTTGGTTTGAAAGAATCCAAGTACCTTATTCAAGTTGTTTTGTGGAAGCTGTCACGTGTACTAAACTCTTAACGTAACTCACTATTTACAATTTACTTGGCCATTTTCCTAAATCTTTTATAATCCAATACTTTGCAGAAAACCAACAGAAGTCTATGTGATAATCATTTGCACAAGCATTTTTCTGCATAATCGTGTAACTATCGCACAGCGAACTGGCAGTTAACATTCCCAGACGCATTGAAACACCACCCAATGAAAAAGCATTTGGTCCATAAATATGTATAAGGTGTACGAATATCAACTATCCACCTACAAACCATATCATATTTGCATATCATTTGTCTTAACTATTAGACTTGAATAAGCTCTATTACCTGGTGGAATGTGTACACTGACTGCTGTACTGTTAGGTCCAGGGCCAACGGTTGTATAAGCTGCAACGACGACGGTGTACACCTTGCCATGATTCAGGCCTGTCACTACCTGACTGTGACTAGCATTACTGACAGTCACTCGCTTATGTTGTGAAGTATGGTTGCCTAGGACATACACATAGTAGCCAGCAAGAATACCGGGAATTTGAGAAGCTGGGGGAGGTAGCCAGGTAACCAGAACGGCCGAGGAGCCATTACTGTTGCTGTGAACACTCCCTGGAGCCGCTAGAGGAACTGTGTGGTTGAAATGATAGATAGACGCAATATGATGACAATGTGGTATATGTGTTCACAAACCTGGATTCCTCAAAATGCAAGCACTGTGCACTATGGCAAATTCTTTTACATACCTTGCAAGAGGCAAATGAACTTTGGTTTCATGAAGAAAGTATTTATACTCCATTAAGTAGACTCTAGAGTAAATACCCATTGACATGCAAAAGATAATTTTCAAACATCAAACTGAACTTGAATCTAAGGAATGATTTGGTTCAGCGCAACTGTGGAATGTCAGTCTGAAAAGATGCATTTGAAGAGGGTATGTTGCACTTACCATCAGGGCCAGTCTTGCCAATAAATACTTGACTCTCTCTACCCACAAAGAGACTATTGACGGGCGTTACAGTGATTGCATACTTGGTCCATGGTGTTAGATTTGTCACTGTTTTCATCTGTTCACGAGCATGGTCTCTGTTCTCTATAGTGAAGCTATGTGACCATGTAGTATCCAGGGATTGGATTCGAATGGAGAAGCTTTCAATGTAGGCACTGTGTCTGCTAACCTGATAGACAATTGAAAACACAAAACAATCTCCTGTTAGATTTACATTCATATAAGTCTCAAGATTATTTTTTTCAACCATAATCATTCCCTGTTCAGTTAGATACCATCTAATCAAATTTTCCTTAAAATTCCTGGCCTACCATCAATGCTGTTATGAATTTCCTGGCCTGTGCCAATGTAACACAATGTGTAGGGTAGTATTTGAGCGACATCATTGATGACAATTGCTTGTAAATACTTGACACATGACTGTTATAGACCAATGAAATTTAGGTACCCAAGACAAGATATAGGATTGTCTTTGAAACATACCTGCCACAGGACTTTGAGTGTTGTTGAGTCGACGGTCTCCACATTCTGGATGCTGATACCACATGAATCCAGCTTATTCTGCAGCACATTACTGCCAGGTCTGACAGTTACATCTGTCATAGATACAACAATGTTAGGATCTGTCAGGAATCATTTCAGGCACAACTTCACCAACTCATATTACAACATCAAATGATATAATATCAAAGTCATAGATGCCATCACAATCATTGTTGTCTTCATTTATTAATGAACAAAAGACCCATCTCATTTCAAAATTTCTCAGACGGTAAACTGGAATTTTCATAACCATGGCCGAAAGTTGAATGAACTTACCGGTGGTGGTAAATGAGGCACTTGGGGAGTCCGATCCCCTTATACCTCCCACAAATGGCTGTACAGATACGCTGTAACGTGTGTCTGGTTGCAGACCCACTATCTTCTTGTTGGTAGCACCAATAACTACCAGTTCTTCCACTTCACCCGAAGGATTGGAACTCAGCCAATACTTGAGATAATAACCCTCAATCAGATCAGCATGCTGATCAACCTATAGACAAACACAATTGAGATTAGGGCCCAATCATAGCTTCTTACTGTTTGCAATCACTGTAGCAGAACATTCATTGTTCAAAGTTAGTATATTACATTAGGTTATCAAGGAATTATGCATATATCCCGTAATATGCTTACAGGGTTAGAACAAAATTTTTCTGCTAGCCCTGTTAACACAAAATAGTGATCGTAAGCCCAGAATTCAGTGGTTATCAGAGCTATGGATTAAGTGTATGAGCATGGCCTCAACAAGTCACCCAGATATAGCATCAGAGAATAGCCAGCATATTGAACTTTGCCAATCATACTATACGTTAGGTATACACAATTTGGGAATCTGTTGAGCATATTGCCTGACCTCATGTCTGCGTTCAGGTCTCCAGTCTAGCTTGACCTACCTGCCAACTAATCTTGACCTCAGTGTTGCTAAGCACCAGAGTGTTCTTGATAGATACTCCTGCCTCTGCTAACTGAAGCGTGACAGAGTTCCTCCCTGAATCTGTAGAAGTTATAAATACAACATCAGACACACTCAGTCAGCCTATGAGCACACTGACTGCCAACTCAGATAGAATCGTAGTGACAGACGTACCGGGTTTTGTCACTACGAGTATACTCGTAGTAAATTAAAGGTGTTTGTATTGTAAACTGAATATATTGGCGTCACTGAAAATGCAACAAATTAGCTGCTGCCAGTTTGAGAACAAAACTCTATTGAATGGTTCTATTTTTTATGAAGTAACAAATAAATAAGCACACATGTACACATGGCATAGTTGGCAAAGGGGGGCACCTTGTAACAGTTTCGTCGGCAGTCAACATGTTAACGACCCTTTTGTATTGAACACAGCAATTCCTTACCCAATCTGCCATACTCTGCCACAAATTTATAAAGACCACTTCATACTTACCCAAAAACAAAAGGCAAACAAAAGGTAAGCTTCTTACCTCTGGTTGTGATTGGCTGAGAGATGGGACTTGGTGGTCCAATCCCTCGATCATTCACAGCTCTGACCAGAAACAAGTAGGTAGTTCCTGGTCGTAACTGCTGAACTAGAAACAACTCATCCTCAATACGATCTGCCAAGAGCTGCCAACCTATTTGAAAAAGAAAGGAGATCATTTCATTTTGCAGAGAAGGAAACTAGATAATGTTTTAAGTTTTAGGCATTTATGTTTGCTGTCATAAGTCCTTCAAATTGTCCACAACGTGGTTTCAATTTGTAGACCAAAGACCTCTGACCCTACAGAAATCCCTTTGTACATTTTCTTCTGATATCACTGTGATACTTCTTTGTGCCAAGACTTACTTTGTATTTTGGCTGATGTCGGGTGCATTTTTATGACAACCAATTTATAAACATTTCACTCTAGTTTCACTGCTAAATGTCAAGTTCCTGAATTTATGATTTATCAACCTTTCCGGGGGGGGGGGGGGGGGAGCATTCTCACTCCCAGACCAAAGTGGGAAATTTTAAAGATGATAATTACAAAACACTACAGGTGTATTACACACAAATACTTTTGTGAGTATACCAAAATTATTAAAAACCTGCCCTCCACGCACCTGAAAAGGTTGTGAAAGGTCAGAACAAGGCTCTTTGGGGTTAGGACACTATCACACAAAATTACAAAATCATTTCATATTGCTTTGTGGTGACTGTTGCTGCATACTGTCCATACCTGTAACATGCTGGTTAAAATATTCCAATCTGTAATGTGTCACAGGAGTGCTTGAAGTTGGCGGTTGCCATGACAAATTGACGGTTGTCCTGGTGATGTTGCTAGGCAACAGAGGTCCAGGTGATGAGGGAAGTTGGGACAGGCTTGGAGCCGTTTGTAGAGACACGCCCAAGCCTAGGGCTTCTTCTTCTGCAACATAAAAACACCAAGAGGATTAGACTCATATGGGACTTTGCAATCCTGACTTGAGCTTGTACACGAAGTTTAGTCTGAAAGTCAAAACAGGTCGTGCATGGAAGTTGGGCACGAAATAGGTTGGCTACCCTGCAGCTTTTAACTGGAAAACGATAATTCTTTTAAACTTTTTTGTTGTTGTAAGGGTGTAAATGAAAGAATATAAGATTACATAAGGCTAATAATTTGCTGAAATGTGAAGTAAATGTATGTGGTTTGTTAATGTGTTAGATGACACATACCCAGCTGTATTTGTTTCAACTTACCAATAACCTGAAGCGATGCTGACCAGCTAGTCTGGCCCCAGTCATTGGAAACAGTGCATGTGTAGAGTCCAGAATCAGACAGCTGTAGGCTGCGTAACTCTAGAGTGCCTGAATCTCGGACTGAAATCCTGTATAAATGAGAAAATATCAATCAAATATCGCCAAAAATATACAATGTTTCCTTTTCAGTTCCTTTTCCCCCCAATTACTATTAATACAATTCTGCTGATATATAAATGACAAAGAATTGTCACTAACCAATCATTCACTTTGTGTGCGTACAACTTTCTTTCCATAAGAGTTTTGTGCATGAAATTTCTGAGCTTTTTTTTACTTGAGAATTGGAGGTACAAATGTATCTCCAATTCTCAAGTAAAAAAAAGCATTACATGGTCAGATCAATTTGTAAAAAATGTTCTGGAAATTCTCATTTTCAAGTTTATAATTAGAGAAATCTGTGTGGAATTGAGTTTACTACTAACCTTGAATTAGTCTGAATAGGCAGAGAGTTTCTGCTCCACTGTAGAGTAGGTTGCGGATGACCCATAGCTTCACATGGAATCAAGCCTAATGCTCCTGCTAAGTATGTCTGGTTGCTAGGGACATAACGGATGATTGGGGGTGGCTCACCAAGCGTTGCTATGGAGAAATCAATGTCAACACAACATGAGAATCAACAAGATAGGCCTATCAAAATTAAATTTATCAAAAAAGATGCACTAAGTGCATTATAATAACTTTCAAGTTGAACAAAGAAATTGACTGGAGTGGGGTTAAACCTGTGACCTCCGGAATGCCATTCCGGTGCTCTACCTACTAATCTTGATAGAGCCCTTATTGACGGTTCATTTGTCAAAGAACTTGCTGAAGGGGCGCAACTCCGAAACCACAACCCCTATAGCAAGGGATCACGCCCCAAAATCACAATACTAGCAATTCAAAGTTAGCGGTTTCAAATTCTTTGTTGAACTTCAAAATTATAATAATACACCTTGGCAGTTCCCTTTGTGGTTCATATGAAAAAGAAATAATGGTTGTTGTTTAATAGTTACTTAAGAAAAACATTTATTTAAATAATAAAGGTGAAGAATTCCATGATTTGCCAAAATGCTGTAAGATTTCTGCAAATTATACACAGCCTATTTATGGATTTCCACTTGCATGAGGTCAAGAAGCCAAAGTTACATGTACATACACCAATACTCATATGTATTTAGCGTGTGTTTATGGCATAAATCGAGGACACACACGTGCAACACCATCGGTAAATCAAGGACAGGAACCGAATGGAGGACTCCATGGTTGGAAAACGTGTACAAAACCAATGAGAGCTGCGAAGTACAAACAAATGAAAAGGGAACAGGAACAAAAGAAAATCCTTGATTTACACCATAAACAAACGTGCTACTACATGTACATGTACTAATGGTATTCATTATTTGTGTACATTAATCCCATATCCAAGACTTGTAGTTGACAACACATCATCCAGACAGCTATACATGTATTAACATCAAGAGCATGTTACAAGCTTCAAAGGCCAAAGCAACATGATTTATATGATTGATAAACATCAGGATAAGTTGGCAATTTTACACAAAATGGAATACCAGTCACCTTAAACAGAAACAGAGAGTGACTTATAAATTAATAATGAAGTACACCAAACTAGCTACATGTATGGACCTGAAACATGCATGCAGAGAACAGCAATGTTATAGTCACAGAGTTCTGCTCATATTAAATGGTTTACTGGATGCAGTGTTGTAGTGCTCGTACTCATAATCATACTCAATCACATTTTCTCGTTACTTGTACTCATGAGAATGTACTTTTACTCGTACTCATAAGAAAAAAAAACCTGTACTTGTACTCATATACTCATGGTAAATGTCTTCATTACATAGGTACATGCAGGAAAGAAAACCAATTTTCTGCTCTTTGTCAGGCTTTTACAACTGTCTAATGCCAAGCCCTTATGAACAAACATATGTATCCATTGAATGATGCTCCTCCAAGTGAAAAAACATTCATAGTCATGGAAATGTTCGCATACTTGTAAGAAATAACCTCGCACTCGTATTCGTATTCGTGGCAGGGTACTCGTAATGCTTCTCATTCTCATGGCACAGTAGTCTTACTTGTTATCATGGAATGTACTCAGCTACAACACTGACTGCAAGCATGCAAACAGCCCAGGTTAACAGCATCATTGGTTGGAACTTATTTGCCAACTGATTCAATTGTTTTCTTCAAAATGCTAGTTTGTTGGACAGAACACCAACACAATTCAATTAGCTGTACAAAAAGCCATACAAAGTTTCAAGGTTATTATCTCTTGATCCCATACTGGATATGGCTTTTATTCCCCTAATGTACCCGATCCCTGACAAGCGGTCAAACAGCCACGGCGGTAGCGGTCACTATCAACAACATCAATCAAATGCAGTCATGGGAACATCGGCAGCACTACCAGGAAATCTGATCATACCTCACGTGCATGCATTAGCTTGAATACAGCGCGCATGTGGTAGCTTGAATACAGCACATTTCCAGTATGCTCAGAATTTGGTGGGTAGTGCAGCAGAAGTTCGCAAGACTGAATTTGATCGATCTTGATGAAACCAACCTCTATCTACCACCATGTTGGTCTTACCATGTCAGTCAGGGACCAGCTGCATTAGGGAAACTCCAAATCCAGATCAAAACTGCCGGGGGATATCTAGGTTTGTGCACAAACCTACGATAGATGGCATCAACTAGCTGACGATAAAACCAGTTCAGCTGATAGGGATTCAAAATACATTTCACCACAAAAGCTTGCCTCATAAAAAGGCCACTTTCAACTTCATCCCAACTTTGTGCATATTATTTGTTGCATGTGTCTTTTATTGCTAGTGTGCTGAACCACACAATCGCTGATGCATTTTAAAGCCTCGTATGTAAAAATCATCATGATTTCATGGAGGGAAAAAATGCCAAAAAAAACACAAGCACCCCCAAAAGGTGTATAAAAACAAGCTGCTGACTTTGTCACCTACAACAAAAAGAAAACCATTTGTCAATGTCTTCAAAGGAATGTGAACTTCTTTCCACGATACACAGCAGACAGGATTTGCACCTGCATAGTGCAACACTCAAGTTGCCAATTGCAAAGGGTGCATTCGAGAAGCTCACCCGGATCGACTCGGGTAAAGGCAGGCAGGTTAGCCACGAGACCCGGCTAATTTTTGAATGCTCAAAAGCATGCCGTCACGATCTTCACGTGACCTCCGCAGCCGCGGCCATATAGCCACGGATCAATTGGTTCGTCCTTTGAGATTTACTGCTTTTCCGTCAATGGCAAAAATGAAAAAGGTAGGGCCGGAATTATGGACTCTTAAGTCACAATGGAATGACTAATTATATTTAGACTTCAAAAAAACTTGGTATTTGGGTCCACTTGATCTTTCCGGCTGCCATTTTGTCCATTTCTTGGAATGAACAACACATGTGTGTGACGTATTTCCACCAGTGACTCTGCTCCACGAGCAGGGTCTGTGGTGGCTGACCCGGTGAACCCGAGAATGACGTCAGAGCTAACAGGGCTGACCAGTCTCAAACCGGGTAAGCTAATCCAATGCACCCAATGTGTTACAGCAAACAACATGATTGAAACAAAGTTTACAGGATTAGGAATTTTGTGTAGTTTGTTCCTCCTAGTAAGTTTGCTAGCTGATATTTTTCTTAGAACACCAGATCCACGTACACAGAACATCATGTTAGGCACAACGCATGCAGGTTAAACAGCTAGCTTACCTTGAGCTATGGTGCTGGTGGGAACTGGCAAGTATCAAGGCAAAGTATAGCACAGAACGAAAAAATAAAACAATAAAACCAGATCAGGAAGAGATTACAAGAAACAGGAGTCAATGAAGATGAAATATGGGGAGCAGTGATATGAGCCAAGTTTGCAACGCTGAAATCAAGATCAGAATGCTTTTATACAGATCAGTGTGAATTTGTCAGACTGAAGTTTAGACAAAATAGAGACATTAAAGATTTGCAGAAATGTTGGAAATGGTTCTCCAACGATGAAAATATGTCAGTTATATAGATTTTGGAACATTTGTGTGTTTCTGTAATTATCAAGACTTTGGGCACAATGACCGTGAGTTTTGTACAGGGCTCTTGACACCGAGGCAGGCAAGCTATGTGTTATTTCGTCGATCACAAAGGGGTGTTTTTGTAGGCATGGGCCACAAGGAAATAATACACTTTTGAGCAGAGCTTACAATGGAGACATTATAAGTCATCCCATGAGCGCTTGTGGAACACGGAATAATGTACATGTAGTGTGTCTGTGTCTCACATGTTGGACAAAGACGCACTACATTGTTCCGTGTTCCACAAACGCGAGCGCGCTAACGAATTTATCTTCAAGCAAACTTGACGCACAGTAATGATGGAACATGGCGCATTCAGTACACAAACTTTTCAGCAGTTATCCTATTACACCTGCGTGTTGTATGAAATGGCGCACGCATCTTAGAAAAGCGTACACGCAGAGTGCGGTATGGACCGAGGCCGTGGTTATATGTAGCACGGCTTGTTGCCATGGATCGACCAATCAGGATCGAGGATTCAAGTTTATACTTCAAGTTTTTTACCAATTTTGAGAGCCATGTGGACTGGACACACCACGTGTGCATACTGTACTAGTTCACGTGCAAAGTATGCACAACTATCCTAAATGTGCCAAAGCTGTAAGCCATAGCATCTTCGTATCAGCGTCAGGCGTCGTCGGTGCAAATGCATTCAATTTCTCTTATACGGAGCCCATATCTGTAAACCTGTGAAAGTTGATATGCCAGTTTCCCAACCAGGGGTACTTGATGAAGCCTTCTTATTAGCTTACTGGAATTAATTACAGTCAGTCAAGTATTTACTTTTTGATACAGCTTATAGGTGGACGCAGACTTCCAGGAATATTTTTACATTTGCTTATCTAGCTCCCAGACCCATTTTTTTGAAATTCAATGGTTCTTGAGTCTGGAGTGCTGAATGGTAACACATAGCAACCAATGAAAGCTGGTGTGCAATTGAATAGATGTTTTCACCGGCAGACGTAAATCCTGCCCCCACCTATAAGGTATTACCAAGCTAAGCAGAGTGTAGTTAATGCAATTGCATAGACGGGACTCTAGAATCTGTGGCTAAGGGAAATGGATGTCAGTTCATCAATTCACCAAATTGTAATATGTTAACCCCAGCGGTTAATACACACATTATACATTAGCAATCTACAGTGAGGGTAGAGGCGTTACAATACATTCATATATTGATGATCACAAAATGAGAGTGATGTGATATGACATCCAGAAACGAAAACCTGTACCAAAATGATCAGATGTGAATAAACGAAGGCAAGGTCAGGTTTCAGGAACCAAATTTGTGGACGTCATTTTGTAAGAGTTAACAAAATGCCAACCATTATAGAAAAATAAAACCCACTGACCACCACACATGGCAGCATGTACAGTACACAAAATGCATATGTAAGCTATAACTGCTGATGTGAATAATATCATGACCTGTGTCATGATGCATATCGTATCCTGAACAAGTGGTATTGTTACACCCCTAAGTGTGAGTTTAGAGACTGGTAAGCTGGATTTATTCTCTGGATATTCCTGATGTCCTAGTATACCAACCTAATACTGTCAGATAAGCTGAGACTTCAGCTGTACCAGAGACACTGAGAGCTGAACACACATAGAACCCTTCATCTTCAGTTGTGACTTCATAGATGCGTAATTCCCCATCCTCACTGACTGTCAAGCGACCTGAGCTATAACTCTGATCATTGTACCATAGATCCTGCAAAACAACAATTGGAGATCACATAGGAAACAGTATGAAGAATAATCCCATGAAGGAAAGTATACAAAAGTATGCAGCATGATTGGAGGAGGAGAATTTTTTTCTGGTCAGCTGGCCATCACAAATCAAAAGGGGAGGGAGGGGGGCAATCATCTGACTAGTGGAGGCAGACAACAGTGGACACCATCGGACAGTAGTTGGCACTCTTTGTTGCAGCAAGTCAACAATTAAGCTGTGAAACACCCTTTTGACCCCCTAAATATTAATCAGTTTGACATTCTAATGAATTTGGATATTTTGTGTGTCTTGATATTCACTGTGCAAGATGTTACTGTGCAAAATGTGTTGCCTTATATGTTAATCAGTGTTTACTTAATAACTGTAACCTCTTTACACTGCGTGCATTCAGTTACCTTGCCTAATTTGCATATCTATGAAGCATGGACGAGCTGGACGTGCTTTGGATTATTAGTGTTAGTTTGGAGTGTTTTCTGGTGGGAGCTGACATCTATCTTTTACCTTATCTTGCCTTATTTTACCGTGACTTCACTTGATCATTATATGTGAATATTGGACAAAACTTATGGAACTCAATGAACTTCATAAACCCTGTGAACATTATGAAATCTGTGCAGTTTGTGAACTGCACTGTGTACAGTTGTAGGCTACTGTGAGTCACTTTCTCGTTGATTGTTGCATTCTACCTTTGTATAAGCTATCGTAACCGTCTTATCAGCTCAGAAATACTCAAAAATAAAAGGCAGATATGAGTACAGATAATTACTTCTACACCTGTAACTCAAATGTAACTACACCTTTTACTCAAATATCGTTCCAAAAAAAAAATTCCATCTTATGAAAAGCATCTTCTTACTCAATTCATAGAGTTTAGCCAGCCATGACAACCTGCTTGAGTATATACAGTACCTGAAGGCCATCCTTCTGCCAGAAGATTGCAGGAAGTGGACTTCCCGTCACTTTACATTCAAACGACACCATTTGACCAACGGATACTGTCTGATCTACAGGCTCCCTGGTAAAGGTAGGCTCAGCTGAAAGACATCAATCAACACATGTGTCATTAAAAATACAGTCAAACTACAACAGAAGGGTTGGAAAGCAAGTCATGCATTTTATCAACTATACATTTCCAGACTCTAGTTTTGCTATTGCTCTGGAAAAAAAAGAGTAAAGTAACTGCCAAAAAACACACCCCTAGAATGTCAAAACTGTGCACACTTTGGAGTTTTTTCCCAAACTTGGGCTTAGTCTCTGTCTTCAACCTTATCTCTAGCTGGAGAACATTTGCAGAGCCTCCAATGCTTGAAATAAGGGATACTCTAACAAACATCATAATGATATGAATTGATGATAAGTGGCAGAAAATGGAGCAAATAACCAAGTTTGTGTCTCCCACATTATCGATCTAAGGCCAAAAAAAAAAAATATTCGGTCTCTGGTCAGACCAAAGTTCCGGAATTGACGCGGCCACGCGGCTTTTTTTTTTTTTTCCTTTTTTTTTTTTTACTTCAGCTTGGATTGTACAGACAAGGTGGGTACTATTTTGCTTTTTTGGTGTCCTCATGTACATTGGTGTCCTCCATAATTTGCCTTGGTGCTTTTGATCATTTGCCTTGGTGCAATTTCCCATTCCTTGGTGCTCTTTGGTAAAAAAAATTGAGGAGGTGCGGAAATAGAGAGCGCTGTTGGAGCTACCGCGGACCATTTTGGAAAAAAAAAAGATCGACGCGCATGCTTAAAATCGACGCGCGCGCGCTGACCAGAGACCGACTTATTTTTTTTTTTGGCCTAAACAAATGAAACTGGAGCATGAAGCCTAAGGTAGAGAGAGGGTTTGGAAAACTTCCAAATTTGTGTTTTTACTTGCTGTCACAAACAACCCACACAGATAGACTCATTTAACAATTGTTGACTGCTTTGATGTGAGATAGAGTGTTTTTAACACCGAAGGGGAACATAGCACTAAGTGAAGCCGAGGGTGCTATGTGCCCCAAGGGGGTTAACACGCCATATCCCACATCACAACAGTCAATAATTGTTTTGTTATATCGTGCCAAGAAGGCAAAAAGATAAAGCCTAGTAAAAAAAAAAGTTAAGTGTCCTGCCTTTTAAAAAAAAAAAGGAATGAGGAGGCCTGTTTTTCCCTCCAAAATGGCCGCCCCACCAGGTTATTTTTCAAGATGGCCACCAGCTTTTTTTTAATGGCCACAATTTGGACACAGGAAATGACATACTAGCTTTATATGGGCTAGATGCAACAGACAAAGAGGCCAAAATGATGTCACTGTTTAAATTTTTAATTTTTTTTCAGTCAAAGAATTTGAAGAAAAAAAAGGAGGTGGCCTCCAAAAAGAAAGTGGGCGAAGAAGCTAAACATGTTTTTTTCTTTTTGGCCTAAAGGCTTGTAACTCACTATTCAACAAATGAATTAAATCATTGCAGTGTGGCCTTTTGATTACTGTGAGCTTTCCTGCCAACCACAAGTGAGGTTACAGTTCTCTGTTACAAGGCGCGCAGGCGCTACTCATACACCCTTCACGCATGTGCAATATGCAACGTGATGTATATGAGATAATTTACATGCAACACAGTGTACATTGTATATGAGATAATGTATATGCAACAGTGTATTTGAGATAATCTATATGCAACGCAGTGTATATAATGTAATTTATATTCGACACAGTGTATATGAACTAAAAAGTCATTTTTATAGACTGGAAACGTTGCTGTCCAAGACCAATAAAATTAAAGTATCCAAAACACAATATTGCAATTACACTACACATGTCAAGAATGGCGTGACTTACTGTTGACTTCAAGGGTGATGGTCAGTGTTTCTGTGCCCCAGCTATTCTCAGCTCTACAGATGTACGTTCCCTCATCCTCCTGTAACACTTGGCGGATGTGTAGAGTGTTGTCATCACTTATTTGAAATCTGTAATAAAACAAGCAGTTGCAAGCAATTGGGTAAAGAATATACTGCATCTCTCGAGCAGTCAATATTTTTATTATTTTGTGGTGCCATTGTTGTCCTTCCCATTTTTAACCTTCCTACTGTTTAAACAGTTACAGACAGTCCAAAATTCCATCCACTTCCCCTGCCTTGCCTTTTACACAGGCTAGTCACCAACAGTCAGATCATATTTCACACAAGCACTCTGACTAGTCAAATTCAGTCAACAGACAATAGCAGGCAACTGCTATACAATCAAAGCATAGCTGTATCAAGTTACATAAACAGTCACAGCTGAAGTGAGATGAATCAATGAAGAACTCAGAGGAGATTATTCTCAGGTTCTGTGCCACTGCAGCTTTATTCATCAGACATAATGTAAGAGTGAGCGCGGGCGAACTGTTCACCTAATGTGCTTGCGCGCATACAAAGTAGTGCTCATGAAGTATCACAACATCCCTCCCCTTTTGAAAGTACAATTTCAGGAATAATTATTGGTGTACACATAAAACTGGAATTTACTTAATTAGCAAGCATTTACATGAAATGTGTAGTGATGGCTTTTCAATTGACAGGTATATGAAACATTGGTGGTCATATCTTACTGACAACTACAACTTTTGTTTCTCTGCAATATGTGGCAAACAGTCTGAGTACCTTCTTTTCGAACGGTAACAAATTTAACTTTGAATCAGTAACAAAGTGAACTTTAGTACTTTGAACAAAGTGAACAAAGTGAACTTTTAGTACAAATTAAGTGAACTTTAGTACTAAATTTAACTCAAGTGAACTTTAGTACTTTCTTTCTTTTGAAATTTGACTTTGGTACTTTCTTGCTTTCTTCCTTTTTGAACGGTTAACAAATTTAACTTTAAACAACAATAAATGTACTGAAACGGGTTTAATAAACATATGAAACTTTGAGTTCTGTTTCAAATCGTGTGGGTTATTTTTTTGTTTCCATATGAAATTAAATGTGTCATATCGTTTCTGAACCAAATTGTTTGTCATTGTACGGCATGTTTGAAGTATCTGCTATGTATAATCTGGGTGTGTGATATTATTCAGTGTATCTGGCTGGTTTTCGGATTGTGCGTCCAGATTTTGTTTTGCGAGTGACAGTCGGAGACTTGTTTCGATCTGTGTTGTTTCGGTCTGTTTTGTTTCGGTCTGTTTGTTTCACAGCTTCTGTGTCTAGCTTTTTGTTGGACAGTGGAAGTGATTCATCAGCGAATCGAACTCGTTTGGGCATAGCCAGGGATTTCATTTGGCTGGGCATCTCACGTAGGTGCGAACGGTTGCGACGTAGTCTGTGTCCATTGGGTGTGGTGACTTCATATGATCTAGGTTCCTTACAGACTGTTGTGACTTCACCAGGCAACCAAGTGTGGTTCTGCTGGTCCAGGATTCGCACTCGTTGGCCAACATAGAGTTGTGGGAGTTCTTTTACTGCTTGTTTGGCATCATGGTCGGTCTTCATCTTTTGTCGTCTTGCCTCTAGCTGGTCTCTGATATCCTCAGCTTTCTGGGGGTTTGCTTGCAGGTGGTTGTTTGGCAAGGTAGTTTGTATCGGTCTGCCGAAGAGAATTTCAGCTGGTGACGGTAGTTTGGAGTCCACAGGGGTTGCACGGAGGTTCAAGAGTGCTATGTCGACATTTTGTCCAGACTTCTGGCATTTCTTGATCACTGACTTGACGGTTCTGACTGAACGTTCCACGAAACCGTTTGAACGTGGATAACGTGGAGACGAAGTTGTGTGCTTGATGCCCCATGTGTTACACATGTCTTCGTAGTGTTTGCCTACGAATTGGGGGCCGTTGTCTGACATAACCTCAGCTGGTGCTCCAAGGAGGCTGAATGTGTGTGAAGTGATGCCAGCAACTGCTGCACTGGTAGTGCTGTTCAACTTGTGAACGACAGGGTACTTCGAATGATAGTCAACTATCAGTAGATAGTTGTCTCCGTGGATTTCAAACAGATCAGTGCCAAGTTTGGTCCAGGGGGTCGAAGGTACTTGATGTGGCTCCAATGGTTCCTTTTGCTGTTTGGGTTGGGATTCCTGGCAGTAGGAACACGCTTTGACAAGTTCATCAATATGGCGATTGATGTTGGGCCAGTAGACCGACTCTCTGGCTAGACGTCTTGTCTTCTCTATACCCATATGGCCTGTATGGAGCTGTTGTAAGATATCCGTCTGAAGTGAGTCTGGAATGATGACCTGTCTTCCTTTGAAGATTATTCCCCAGGAGATACCAAGCTCATCCCTGTATGGCCAGTAGACCCGTAGGTCTCGAGGTAGTTCCTTGACGGAGTCTGGCCAGCCACTGTATATTATCTGACACAGTGCACTTAGTACAGGGTCTCTTGCTGTTTCTCTCTGCAGTTGCTCTTGCTTAGACTGCCCAAAATGCACAAGGTCCATGCACATGGCGTCTTGGCCTTCATAGACATCAAAACTGCCGACCAGTCTGTCTAGGGGTATGTCATCACTCTTTGTCGGGTTTGGCAATCTGCTCAGGGCATCTGATAGCGTCATTGTTTTCCCTGGTCTGTACTGTACGTCAAAGTTGTATCCTTGCACCTTAATTAGCAAGCGTTGCAGACGAGGTGGTGCACTCGAGAGGGGTTTCTTCCAGATCATCTCAAGTGGCTTGTGGTCAGTGTGGAGTGTAAACTCTTTCCCGAAGAGATAGCTATGGAACCTGGTGATGCCGAACACTAGGGCTAGTGTTTCTCTCTCTATGTTAGAGTAGTTGGCTTGTGCCGGGGAAAGACTCTTCGACGCAAATGCTATCGGCCTGTTGTTTTGAAGGAGGCAGGCTCCCAGACCCTTCTGTGATGCGTCGACTTCCAGCACAGTGTGTATCTCTGGGTTGTAGTACTGGAGACACGCGTCAGTGGTGATGGAATATTTCAAGGCTTCGAATGCTGCTTGATGGTCATCCTGCCACAGATATGGCACATTCTTCTTTAGGAGATCCCTGAGGGTCGCTGCTTTGTCTGCCAGGTTAGGGATATATGCAGAGACGTATGTGATAAGGCCTAGGAATTTTTGCAGGTCTTCCTTGTCCTGAGGTGTTGGAATGCTGTGGATGTCCTCAATTCTGCCTGGGTCCGGCCGGATGCCGGTGTCGGAGTACAGTGACCCAAAGAAGTTGATTTGGTTGGTCTTGATGTGGCACTTGTTGCTGTTGAAAACTAAGCCTTCACGGCTGGCTGTTTGAAGTAGATTCAGGAGGTTGGCATCGTGTTCTTCCTCAGTACGGCCATATACAGCAACATCGTCAGCAATGCCGACGCATCCTGGAACCTGTTCTATGATGTCGTCCATGCACTGCTGGAAGATGTCTTGGCTGATGGAGAGACCAAATGGAAGGCGCTGGAAACAGTACCGGCCAAATGGCGTTCGAAAGGTGGTCAGCTCTTGGGATTCTTCCTCGAGCTTGACGGCCCAATACCCAGCTTTAGCATCAAGTTTCGAGAAGAATTTGGCTTGAGAAAATGCTGGGTTGAGTTCCTCCAGTGTGGGTATTTTGTGCGGACATCTCTTGAGGCTCTGGTTCAGCCGCTTAGGATCCAGACAGACCCTAAGTGTCCCATCTTGTTTCAAGCTCGTGGTTATCGAACTACACCAGTCGGTGTGATGGGTGACCTTTCTAATTACACCTTGCTGTTCCATCTTGTCGATCTCTATTTTGAGCTTCGGCTTCAGGTGTATGCTACACTTCCTGGGTGCGTCAATGCTCGGTTTAGCATCCTCCTTTAGATGAAGAGTTGCTCTGGCTTTGAAGTTTCCAATTGTGTCAAATTGGTTGGGGTACAACCTCACGAGGTCGTGGACCGACTTGATGGTGTCATGTGACAGATTTTGGGGTTCACCCACTCCTGGTTCTTTGGGTGATGCAGGGGGTTGAGGTGACGATTCAGTGGAGTGGATGGTGACCACTTCAAGCTCGCTGCACATGGGCAGGCCGGCTATGGCTGGTCCAGGGACATCTACGACGTAGAATCTGTTCTTTGTCCACTTCGGTGTCTTGTAGCGGCATAAAAGCTCAATGCACCCTAGGCATACAATCTCTGTACCGTTGTACGCCGTCAGCTTGGTCTTCACAGGCTGGACGAAAGACTTCCATCGACTTCCATACATCTGTTTGATCGTACGGAGTGGCAACGTGTTTCCTCCGGCTCCAGTGTCAACTTTTGTGATTAGTCGGTGTTTGCCGATGAGGTCGGGGCAGATAACGTCAAGCGTTGTGTATGCCTCCCTGTTGTTGTCTATCGAGCTCATGCAGAGGTTCGAGACAGTAACTGTGTGGAATACTGTTTCATATTCCTCTGAAGCTTCTGCTGAATGGATGGGTTGTTCATCTCTGTTGGTGTCATTTGGCTTCTGCTTGCCGGCATTGGATCGACTTTTGGATCTTGGTCTGCGAGTTGTATTTCCTCGCGATGGGCTGCGGCCACGTCTGGACGGAGATTTGCCCTTGCGTTTACCCTGGCTTCGGGTCTTTCTGCAGAATTTGGCCCAATGGCCCTTGGAACCACATGATTTACATGTGTCCCGGTAGGCAGGACACCGTCTTGGTGGGTGGGATAGACCACAGTTGCCACAGGTTCTGCCAGTGGGTCGGAAAGCATGGACAGCTGTATGTGACGCCTCCAACGTCTCAAGGCACTTTTTGCCAGCAAGGATGGCTTCGTACTTCCGTCCCTCTTGTAGCATGTCATCGATGCTAAAACCAATGGGTTTGTCTAGAAGATCTTTCTGGAAAGATTCAGATGTGGTAGACGCAATCACTAATTCGATGATGCGTTCCGTCATTTCCTCTGGCCCGAAGTTACATTCGTGTGCCTTTGCTCGGCATCTGTTGACGAAGTTGTCCAGGGATTCATCTGGTTTCTGGCGATACCGCATAAGCTCCAGGCGATGTATGCGGAAGTTCACTTTGATGTGTAGCTGCTTCTCGAACAACTCCCATAAC